GTTGCCAAGAAGCCACATAACCAATGATTTTTTTTTTCATACAATCATTATTCAATTTTTGTGGAACTCTACTCTGAACAATGTCTGGGAAACACTGCTCAACTGAGTTCTTTATAGAGACTTCAAATAAAATCTCCACAAGATAAAAGCTACAGATTTGATTACAAGAAAATGCATTTAGGACTGAGGTGTTAAATATCTGTTAGAGAAAAGCTTACACTTTCTATTTTGTATGTTATTTATTCAAAATGTAATTGATCAAAATAATATTATAGGGTTTAATTTTCTTTTCCAATCTATTCTCTTCTGTTTTTAACTATTACTAATACTTAATACTTTATACTAATATTGATAATAATATATACTAGTCATAGTAGCCAAAATTATTGATAAAAAACATGCAAATATAACAGATACTATTGAAACATAATGCACTTTGTTGCATCTGACCCTTGTCAGCAGTATAATGTCTTTTCAAACATAATGGTCCAAATTTGCAGCTTTTCAAATGCTCAAAGAATCTCTGCTCAAGCTCAAAAAATCTCTCCCTCAACTAGCATTATTACAGTTGAATTTACATGAAGTACAATCTTCACTAACACTTTATTACTACAGGTACTCCTCTACTTATAACTACAATGAAGCCAAAAATTTATGTTGCTAAACAAGAGTGAGTTTTACCCCATTTTATACAACCCTTCTTGCCACAGCTGTTAGGTGAATCACTGTAGTTAAGTTAATACACAGTTAAATGAAGCTAACTTCCCTATTGACTTTGATTGTCAGAAGGTTGCAAAAGGTGATCAAGAGGACCCTGGACACTGAAACTGTCATAAATATGAATCACTTGCCAAACATCCAAATTTGATCACATGACTATGGGGATGCTACAACAGCTGTAAGTATGAAAACCAGTCATAAGTCACTTTTTTCAGTGCCCTTGTAACTTTGAATGGTCACTAAATGAATGCTTGTAAATTGAGGACCACCTGCAGTTGTAAGACAATATAGCACTTCTGAATCAAAAGTTAAAGCTAGTTTAAAAGTATAGCAAGGCAGACTGACATACACCAGGGATGTTCCTCTACTGTTGATGAAAGTCTTTCATTCCTGGGACCACAAACAATTGCTCTGCCTATTAGTTTACTTTGCCTATACTGAAATCCTCAGAACAAATAAGTTATTATTTAAATGAAGTAATGAATAGGAATTTAGTCTGGCTCCAACCTAATAGAAAAATAATCTCTGACTTTAGGAAAATTAGAATTTTATTTGAAACTTTTAATAAACATATACATACATACATGCATGCATGCATACATACACACATATACATATACATACATACACACATATATATCAGCAATAACTTTAAAAGTGAAATTGATTCTGTAGTGATCTTGGTTTATTTTTACAGAATCTTATTATACTCAGTTTTCAAAATTTAAAATATATGACTCTATCAGACAACAGGAAATATCTTGTTCAACAAATTTATTTATTTTCCTACACCACTTAAAGTATTTGTGAAAAATAATTTACCCCTTTCAGAATCAGCATTACAAAACTGATTTTTCAAATTTTCATATCGTTTATTTACAAACAATTATACTAAACAAAGTATTCCAAATTTTAAACATTAAGGTTTCAACTATATCCACTTAATAGGAGGTAATAAAAAGGAGTGTTGGATATATTCGCTTATAATAAATGCAAGATATAAACAAACAAATAAATACATTAAATAAATAACCTGCCAGAATTCATTCTCCAGAAAGGCAATAGTGTATTCAATTTAGTTTACTGTAACTGGTTTATACAGAATTTTAAATTGTGATGCATAAATTCTGCAATCCATGCTGTTCACTAGCTATAGCATACTCTTCCACATTAAAGAAAATATTTCTAAACAGAGCATGAAAAATTTAAAATAGGAAAATTAACTAAATTATTTCATTGCCTCATATTTTCATATTCAATGTCAAGTTAAATAAAAGAAACTTTATCTGACTATATATTTAATAAGAACCAGAAGATAAGTATTATAAATAACCAATATAAAAGCCTCAATCCACATTATGCCAATTAGGCTGTCAAGCTATGTTTTGAAAGTAATACAAGAGTAATAGCCATTTAATTATTATAAGCATTTTTAAAAATTGTATTTAGATTGCAGTCTTACACTTCCCAGCATTGTCAGATTTCTCTTGTAAATTATTACAGAAACAGGTTCAATCTCAAATAGGAAAATCCAGCTGTAGAAACTATCTGCTAGATTCCTCCAAATTGGAGCACTCCAACAGAAATTTTAAGATTGCCCTGCTTGGATGCAACATTACACATTTACTAGAAAATAAGCTTCTCTGCTTATAAATAAATTCACTTCGGAAAAGACAAATACAGGATTGTGCAGTTAACATTCAATATAAATCATGCACTTTTACAGGGAGAGGGGAGAGACCAGTGAATTCATTAAGACTTACTTTCAGAATAAAAATATATTAGGCTGGCCTCTGAATAACGTCTGTCACTATTCCACCTTGTATAAATGTGTAATAATTTGAATTCCTGATATATATGTACATATACACACACATGTACATATTATAGATATGTTCAAAGAAAAAATTTCTTTGAACATCTCCCATATAAAAATGATTTCTTCTTTATTTCATCACTCTATAATTAAGAGTACTTTTAAACAAGTGCAAGTAGCTACAATATAGCATCAATATCAATCTATATTCTGCATTTAATCATATTATTCTGTACTAGGAAAGGAACTTTTAACTCTGAAGACTTAATTTACTCTTACACATATCTCGATAGTTATGTATCACATATTTCAAAGCTAAAGAACATTTATTATAATATTTGCATAAAGCGACAGGGCTAAAATTTAATAATATCCATTATCATTGGACTCCAGATAGTTTACATTAATAAAATAATTGAACAATGTAAGATATCGGCAACAAATCTTTTAATATGTAAGTCATTCATTATACATATAATAACCAATTGAAAAGCTACTTCTAGCAAAGTTGGTTAGGAAATCTAAAAGGAATTGAGTTATTACTTACATTTCACTGTAACATGCCTTGTTTTACATACTTCAGAACAATATTAAAGCATTTTTGTCTAATAAAATAGAACAGCCTACTCCAAAGGAAGATAGTCTAGGTTTATACTACAAATTCAATCCTATATTTTATTTTATTTTAGTTAGTACACTAAGCTCAACTGATTTACTTCTAACACATGCAGACAAGATTGGGAAGTTAGGCTCCAATTCCAAATACAATACTAAGAAGAAAAATGCACTTTTAAAAGTTTGATATATTGCTAAGTAAGCACACATAGCAAGAAGCCCTTTTTTCTTCTTGCATTTCTACAAAACAAATATTTAAAGAATTTATAAATTTAGTTCAAAATCAAGTAAGCCTAAATTGAACAAACATAATTTTATTAAAAATCTAATAATGTCTACTATATTTAGAACTGCAAGATGAACCAAACTCTAAATTAGTGGAAGTGATCTTGAGAATTAAATAGCTGCAATTTTCAATAGTGCATGCCACTGACATAGCACTTTTAGAATTAAGTCAACTTTAGACTTAAAATATTGAAATGCACATAATTTTATACAAGGCATTTACTGCAATAAAACCTACATTTTCCAACAATACAGTTCCGAAGAACACCACTTTCTACACTTCTTTTTAACCAGAAATACTATGCAATGTACCCATCCTAAAATTTTACTTTCAAGCAAATGTAATCTAGGATGTCATAAAATGATTGTTGTGCTACAGTAACTTCTTTTAGCAAATTATTCAGAATGAAAACTACACACATACAATTCTTTGGAATTGAGATTGAATCTTTTTTACATGTCCTAATCAATTCTCTTTACTGCTCTCCCATAGTCCTAATCAGTTATTATGAAGTTACACCGGAAGAGGTTCAATTTTTGTTCTAATCAAAGAATTGATTGATTTGGAAATCAAGACATACCCAACTCCTATGTGTACAGGATTCATATTCAGATGTTTGTTTCATTTCAACAGGATTTGCTCCTTGATAAGTGTATCTTTAATGAGTTAAATTTCTGCTTATGTGGAATCCAGGGATAGAATTTACATAAAACAGTATGTGTAGTTAAACAATATATTCAGTATAAATAGTAAGACAAAACCATGGAGTATTGATTTAGAGTTTACAGAAGATAAAAGTATATTTTGTGTTTTCTGGTAAGTTAATGAAAGTATAATAAATAGCCTAGTCTCCATGGAGAAATAATCTGATTTGACTGGAATGTCCAGTCTTATTACAGAATTCTGTAAAAATCAATGCTTATCTCTGAGTAGGTGTAGTTCAAGATAAAATGTACTTTAGAAATCAATTGAATGCATTTATTCTAGTGAAATTCTCTTTTTAGCTGATATTTGATGCTAAATCTATTTTATTTTTAGTTCATTTTATATTAAAATTAAGACCTTCCTGTGACAAGACTCTAGAATATGTATATACTGCAATGACCCTAGATGAATAAAAATAGAAGACTTGCTGTGATTATACCAGTACCTAGGAGGTTAACAGACTAGTCCTTACATTCGTCTCTTCTTATAACAGGTGCTAATTCAAACCTGCCGATTTTTCTGCCTACCTGCCCGAAAGGTTGCGGAAAGACCAGAACTTCTTCCTCCTCCACCATCTCGGGCCAGGTAAGAGCAACGCCGAGTTACCAGAACCAATCCATTACCCAGGTGGGAAAAGGCCTCAGCCTCACCTTCACAACTTAGAACAGAACTTCCCTGCAAAGCTAACCGGGAATAAAAGGGTACAAGAAACCGGTGTCTGCTTTTCCCTCCGCTAGGTCGGCCTCCTCGTTTGCCTAACCACCGAAGCGGCCCAGGCTCCCTCTTCAAGATGGCAGCGGCCCCTCTCTCCCAATGCCATTGAGCCGGCGGCCCACTGCTAGAGGCTCTACCACTTACCGTATATCGGGGCGGTGGCCGCCTCTGGTTACTGTCCGGGCTGCCGCAGTTGTCCTGTGCTGACCAAGGCCTCCCTCCTGTCTCGGGATTCAGGAGGGGAGTGAGCGGCGGCTGGGTTCAGTTCATTACCCTCCTCAGCCAGCGGCCCAGCCCAGCAGCCTCTCCGCAGTCTTTCCCACCCGGCGTGGATCACTTCGCCCGACACGCTCGGGGCCCGTGCAAAAGGGACCAGGGCCTTGGCCCCGAAGCGGAGCCAATCGCGCACCTCCCTCTCCTGGAGGAGGGCAGCCCGGCCCGGCGGGCGGATCCGCGGCGTTTCCTGGCCGGGCAGATTTTCTATCGCTCACAAAATGGCGCGCGTTCCAAACCTGCGCAGCGATCGGCAGCGGGGCACGGGCAGAGCTCGGTGGTGGCGACTTCAGCTGCTGCTTGAGCCCAGGGCAGGGAGAGCGGAGAGAGTCAGAGCGGCACGGGCGAGAGGGGAACGCGGCGCAGCGCCGAACAGAGCCCCCGGGAACTCACTCGCGCCCCCTCCCTGCCTGCTTGCTGCCAGCCAGCCAGCCGCCTGCTCTCCTCCCCCTTTCTGAGCGCCGCCGCCGAACCGGCTTCTCAGGAACTGCGCTTCGGATCACTTCAGACCGCACACGCGTGCTCCCGGAGTCGTCCCGCTTCGTTCCGGTGCAACTGTCCAAAGGGAAGGTACCCCTCCGCCACCGAAATCCGAAGGAAAAATAATCCACGTAAAGTTATAATTCGGGCGGGAAGAAAAATTATTTTTAAAAAAGCCCAACTGACAAAATGGCGACGAGAAGAGCCTGTTACTATAGCAACTGTCAATCACTCCACAAGAGTCCCGCCCATGCCAGGCGGGAATCCGTGCTGAGGAGAGAGGAGAGAAAGGCATGGCCGAAGGCGGAGCTTGGTCGCCTTGGCGACTGCTGCTTCATTCCGTTCCCAATTCTGTGATATAAATTCCGAGACGGGTTTCTTTCGTGATCATTAGCCCTTGGTGGAAGAACGCGGTCGCTAGCTTCAGTCATCTAAGTGGATTTCTTTCGGAATGGACCGAATGAGGGGGACTTAAATCTTTTCAATATTAATCTGGGAAGAATGCTCCAAGGTTAGAACTGAACCTGTTCCGCACAAGCGATAGCTGCTACCTTTTTTCGTCTGCTTTTGGATTTGTTATGGATGTAGATGGTGGGAAGCAGTCAAAATAGCTTCAGGCACAAATATCCGTCGTACTTGTAGATCAAGTCCGGAGCAGGAGAGTGCAATCTTTTCTGTCTGACTACCACCTAAGTAAATCCAAGATGCGGGATTGCGTTCCTCTGTTTGCGAGGGCCAATTTCTTTTATACAAGCGCAAACGACTGATTGCCTGGCCCTGGGACTCTATATTTTTGCTGGAGACCAATATAATTTCTGTTATAAACTTCAGGCTTCTTGCAAGAAATCAACTGATAATGGTACAAAACTTGGGAATGTCTGGAAGATGCATCAGCGATTACAACTGGAATTAATTCATCATTGAACTTTTTATTTTTATGTGCAAATAATTCTATAGATACCTCATATCCCTTGAGCACACAACTTTTGTTAACAAAAGCCAGCATGGACAATGTGGTGAGATGTTTTGAAATCCAGTAGCATCTGGAGGACCACACTTCTAATTTCTGCTCTAATTGGCTGTCTTAATTTATGGTATTTCTATATTGCTAGCTTAACAAAAAGTCCTATCAGGTTAATAATATAAAACCACAAAAACATGTCCCCAACAAAACAACTTTTGACATTTTCCCCAAAAATGTTAGGGAGATTTCATTTGAATATTCAGAGGTAAGTTCTATAATACTTAAGGTGAGCTAGAAAAATGGAATTTCAAACTCCACTCATCTTATCTCACCTGGGGTGGACGGGACACACAATTTATCCTTTCAGAACAGATGAGTTAGTTCTATCTGAAATAGGCAACCCCATAGAGACTTGGAGGCCAAGCCATAAAATACTTTATAGGTCAAAACCAGTATTTTGTACTTGGAAGCCTTACAGTAGCCAGTGTAGTTTTCACAAAACCAGTGATATAGGGCACCCACTAATAGATGGAATGTTGCATTTGCACCAGTTGTGGCTTCTTTATAGTTTTAAATTTTAAGCCCAATTTAAAGCACATTGCAATACTCAGCTTCAGTGGTGATGAAGATATATATCAGTGATATTTATCAATTATACTTCAAGAAGAGCTTCAGCTGATATACTAGCTGTTAATTTAGGAGGACAGCCCAGTTGTGGACGTTCTTTTGTGGGGTGTGTTTCCCCATGCTGAATTATCATTTTGGCAGGCTACATGCTAGAATGTTTCTGAACTAACAGTTTGGTCTTGCTGGGATTCAACTTCAGTTTGTTTATCTCCACCCAGTCCCTAACAACTTCTAGGGTGTCAAATTCGATCATGTCAGGTGACATATCACTGCGTTTTTTGTCTTTGTGGAGCCGGGGTGGGCCAGATGTATATGATGCATCCGGCCGGGGGCCACCAGTTTGACACCTCTGATCTAGACTAGACACCTAATCTAGATCAGGTGCATTGCAGCCCAGAGTGCCAATGTGTAATTGGCTATTGGCATACCAATGATACCTCATCCTGAGCCACTTCCAGTGGCTTTATGTAGAAATTACATGGAGGTAGAGAAAAAGGTAACACTGTAGCAACTTCAAATGACCAAACACATGGTATGACTTCCTCCCTATTATCACTAACTGACTCTGGACAGGAGCAGTAACAACTGTAAACCAATGTGCCCAATTGTAACCCTCATAGGTTGTCCAGAAGGATGCCTTGAAAAAACCCAAAAGGAGGAGGAGTACATTCCTTCCATCCCTGTCCTAAAACAAGTTATCAGCCAGGGCAACAATACAGTTTCCATCCCATGTCTAGGAGCTCCACCCTCATCTCATGCCCAGGGGATTTACCGGGGCATCCTGTTCCCAAGTCAGCCACTAGACAGACCAATGCAGCTTCCAGAATGGTTGCTTGAAAAGGAGAGATCAGTTGTTAAAACATGGATTTCCAGTTATGAATACATTAAAACAACAGTACACTAAAAACATGCAAATGTTTCCTAGAGGAAGAACTCCAAAAACATCCCAATGGTGACTGACAATACAGAATGATTACAGAATGCTGACTGATTACACTACTGACAGAGGAAATGGAATGGAGTATTATGGAGAGGAGCAAATTCTATCCAGTCTGCTATAAAGAGGATTCTTCATCTGCAATATTGCATGTCTACCTTGCTTGTTACCTATGTCTACTTATCCTAAATTGTTGTGGATACATTTGAATGTATACATGTGTTTGTGCTGAGTTCAGTTTCCATTATTAACATTCTTAACAATGGTAACTTTAGAAGCTTTCTAACCATGTGACAGGCTGGTTACTACAAGCAAATTATAATAAAAATATTGCTGTATAGGAAATTCATGCAACCCAAATAAAAAATTCCTTTTCTCACCCCTTGTGGGTGGTATGTGCCTTCTCAATCTTGAGTTCTTTACCAGAGGCCTGAGAGTTTGCGGGCTCTGTACAGCATCTTAGCTGTTCCTAGCACTGTACTCCTTTGGACAAACATCTTTGATGTTCGACCCCAGTTTAGGGGTTACAGCCCCGAGTGGTCCTAGCACCAATTTGGCCTTTAGTATCCACATGTTCTTTAGTTTCTCCTTCAGGCCCCAGTATTTTTCCAGCTTCCCATATTTTTCTTCCTGATGTTGCTATACTTGGCACCAGCTACATCTATCAGCACCACTGCTCCTTGTATATTACCACAATGTTTGATTCATTGGGTTATTACCTATCTGTCCATCTGGATATGGAAGTCCCACAGGATCTTAGCTCTGTTATCCACAACATTCTGTGTAATCTCCCATCTGGGCTTGGGAGGATCTAACCTATACACTGTACAGATGTACCTGTACACAATGCTACATACTTGGTTGTGCCGTTCAATGTTCCTGCCTGTATCTTATTCCCTGCCACTGTGTTGGACTGTCTCTGATGCCTTTCTGCATAATCTTCACTTCAGGTCCTATCTAATGTGGCAGGTGAGAATTCTATTTCTGAACCATCAATTCATGGTTTCTATCTAATGTGACTCTTGCTGCTATGGATCTAGTTGCTGAGTGCCTGATCATGTGCTGCTATTAAAGTATTGTTTTTTTTTGTCTGGCCCTTTACAGCCATTAGTAGGATGTCCCAAAGTCAGTACCTTAGCTATTTATTGATGGTACATCCCATGCAGGGTCTTGTCTTGCCATGACACTTCTGCTGGATCCTCCTTCCACGTCTGCTGCTGCCTTAGACATTCTCTCAGCAGCTCATTTTGAGTGTCATCTTACTGATATATGCCTGGATGCTCTGGATCAGTACAATGGCTTGGACACTCAACAGACTCCACCCAACCTCTTTCCGACTGGTATACAGTCTTGAGTAACCAATCACATTTTAACCTGCTGGATGAAGTCAGCCAATGCAATCAGTGTCAATCAGTACAGGGCTGTCAAACTCCCAGCCCATAGGCTGGATGTGTCACACGCTGGCCATACCCACGCACGGTTTAGCAAAGGGGGAAAAAGTCCTGATACATCACATGATGCCACTGTGACGATGTGAGTTTGACACCCCTGGTCTAGTACAATGTGTTGTGCAGCATATAGTGGGTAAATAACCTCTACTTAATTTATCCATAGGTAAAATCTTGTACAGTATCTAGAACATGACCTATTGTAGAATAAACAATTCGTTCTGGATATTTGGACTATGTTCCATGCTGAATTTTATCAGAATATTATTCCAAAATTCAACTTTTGCAATTTGACACATAAATGTATAATAAAATATAAGAAATGTTTAAAGAACCACATTATAGAAGGTGATAAATTAAAAAATTCCTGAGAACAGGATGTAAACCCAAATAATACTAAGGTAAATTTAGAGTTAATTACTGAATGTTGAAGTCTCAGCCATGTCTTTTTAAGTGGAAAATATTTTGAATTCACAGAGAAAAATCTATCTATTTCAGATCTGGCTACCATTTTTTTGTATAACTAATATTCCAATCCAAAGAACTTCATGCAACTAAAATATTAGAATCATGCCATCATAGAGTTAGAATAGGATATTTAATATGGATAACTGCACTGTCAGTGTAAATTTCCATATTAAAACATTCTTAATAGAGAGTCGAATACATCTAGCGAAGAAGAGTTCATGCCCTCCCTAGGAAATTGGACTCTACTTTGGAAATCTCTATTAGAAAAGGCTGAAAAGTGCTGTATGGTGTTTTATATATATATATATATATAAAATATACATAAATATATGATGCCAGTGGGGACCAAACAGGAAGGAGTCCTCTCCCAATAGGGACAAGAAATTAACCACCACAGAAGAAAGATAGGTGCAAAGACTTGGTACTCTGCTTTTACTGTGGAGAATCGCCCTACCATAAGCAAGTAGCCCTCCCCAGCCGGGGTGCAGCAGAATACCATATGAATACAGCCCAGAATCAGAAAAATGACAATAGCCTCTCACAAAAGTTCACAGGAAAAGCTATTGAAAGATTAAGAAAGATTTCTCCAGCAAGAAATTAAAATTTTCTGTTGCCTTGACCCTACCCCATGGGCAGGAAGAAGTGATACGATTGACAAGTTTATGGTACTTTAAGAACTGTTGTGATGCAGTGGTTAGAATACAGTATTTCAGGTTACTTCAGGCTAATTCTGCCGACTGCCAGCAGTTCAATTGTGACTGACTCAAAGTTGACTCAGTCTTCCATCTTTCTGAAGTCAGTAAAATGAGAACCCAGATTGTTGGGGGCAATATGCTGACATTTGTAAACTGCTTAGAAAGGGGTGTAAAGCACTATGAAGTGGTATATAAGTCTAAGTATTATTGCTATTACCTGGATGATGTCCTGATGTATTCTGAAGACGAATCTCAGTATGACCACCAAGTAGAGTGTCTTGAATAGACTGAGGGAAAACCACCTTTTTACTAAATTAGAACAATTGCTTTTGAGTTGAAACAGCTAGATTTCTTGGGTTACTGCATTTCCACATAAGAAGTTCAAATGGATACCCAGAAAATGCAAGTAGTGTTCCCCGCACAGCAAAGGACATTCAGAATTTCTTAGGCTTTGCAAACTTGTACAGAAAGTTTATCCCACATCCCACTCTTTGCGGAAAGTTTGTTTCGATAGATGCCCAGCAAACAGCATTTAAGGAGTTAAAACAACTTTTTGTGCCCCACCCCACCTTCAACACCTTAACCCATTCAGATTGATGCCTCTGATGTGGTTCTCAGGGCCATTATCTTACAAGAAGCACTGGGAGGGGGGAACTGCATTTTTCTCAAGGGCTTTGACTGCTCCAGAAAGAAACTGAGATTTTTAACAAAGAACTATTAGCAATCAAGTCAGTTTTTAAATAATACTTTTTTTTTTGAAGCAGTATGTTAATCCATAGATGTCAACATTGATAATAAAAATCCTAAAATGCTGCACCAGACCAAGTAATTTTCACCAGGGAAGTGAGATGGAGCCAGTTTTTCTCTCATGAGTTTTGCATCCAGTATGTCCCAGGCTCAAAAAATCTGATGCCAGATATACTGTCCCATAAACTGGAATACTTACTAGTGCACCAAGCTCCAGTAGCTGCAAGCATTTTACAGCCTTTAATTTCTGATGTGTACTTGTGCAAATGATGACTGAATTGTTGGGGCAACACAACCACATGGAGATTTGCTCACCAGGATTAAGAGATAGCAACCACTAGACCAATTCTTGAGAGTTCAAATGGATGACCTCCAGGGGCATCCACCAAATACTATATTCCTATATTTGTTGGAGAGATAGGCATTGAAGTACAAGGCAAAATAGTGGTACTGCCATATTTGACAGAAATTTTGCAGCATTGCCACAATAGAGAGCACGGCATGGGGAGAGTGTTCAAAACATTGCACAGAATGTTAAAAAACTTTTGGTGGCCTAAAATAGGGCCAGACATCAAGAGCTATGTAGCCTTTTGCCACACCTCAAAAGAGCTAAGTTCCACCATCAGAAATCAGCAGGGCTGTTACAACCCTATGCCTCTCCATTCTTGGCATAAGTCTCTGGATTTTATTACTGAGTTATCTGGTCCAGTCCACAGCGTCACATCCATACTAATCATAGTAGGGTTTTTTTCACAAAAATGGGTCATTTCATCCTTTGAACAGGATTGCCCACTGCCAAGGAAATAGTTCAGGTCTTTTTAGATCAGTGGTTCTCAACCTTCTTAATGCCGCGACCCATTAATACAGTTGTGATTCATCTGTTGTGGTGACCCCCAACCAGGGGTGGGTTCTAATTTTTTTTACTATTGGTTCTGTGGGCGTGGCTTGGAGGTCATGTGACTGGGTGGGCGTGGCTAGCTGGTCATGTGACCGGGTGGCCATAGCTATGTGTATAGAGACTACTCAGAGGGCTGAAAAAAGTCATTTCTGACAGATCCTCGCACTTTTGACTGGTCCTCACACTTATGACCATCCTCCCATTTATGCCCGTGCAGCATTCTTAATAACCATGTCACTCATTTCACAACTGCTTCTCTTCACCATGGTGATAAGATAGGGCAAAAAACGTAAAATGTGAAAACAGTCGTAAATTCGAGGACTGGTCAAAAGTGCGAAGACCAGTCAAAAATAACTTTTTCAGCCCTCTGAGTAGTCCATGTGCACAAAAGGACTACCTAGAGGGCTGAAAAAAGTGATTTCTGACAGGTCCTCGCACTTTTGACCGGTCTTCGCACTTATGACTGGTCATCATGCCCATTGTAGCATTCTTAACAACCGTGTCACTCATTTCACAACTGCTTCTCTTCACCATGGTGACAAGATAAGGCAAAAACGTAAAATGTGAGGACAGTGGTAAGTTTGAGGACTGGTCAAAAATGTGAGGACCAGTCAAAAATAACTTTTTCAGCCCTCTGAGTAGTCCATATGCATAAAAGGATACAGCAATAGAGAGGGATGAAGGAAGGGAAGGAAAATTAGAGTAGGAGTGAGGGTAAGAGAGGGAGGAAGAGAGGAGGAGAAGAAGAAAGGAAGAGGAAGGAGGAAGGAGAAGAAGAGGGGGGGAAGAGAAAGTAAGAAGGAAAGAAAAGAGAGAGGTGGTAGGTTTGAGGAGAAAGATTGCTGTACAATAAAAAAGATGAAAGGGAAGAAAACCAACTCCAAACAAATATAAAGATATTAAGATAAAGAATGAAGTGTTAAACTTTAAAGAATAAAAGAGAACAAATATGAATAAATAGCAATAATTAGAAACACACATACAAACATGCAATGTATTTTCTTTGAACAGAGTATTTGGCTGGTTCACAAATTTAACCAGTGTTTAGTCATTTCAATTAAATTTACAATTTCTATATTTCCTTTTTGCCATATTTATTCATCTATTTTTTTAAAAAAGCCAATATTACCCTTCATCCTCATCTCTAATGTTAATCAAATTCAATTTTTCCCTTCTATTCTATATTATAACCCTTCCCATTGTCATCTATTTTTATATCCATCCTCACACTGGTTAATTATGTAATTATGTAATACAGTTGTTTAATACAAATTCAACATTTTAATATAAATCAATTAGTTATATAACTATCTTTTTTGTATATTAATCAATATGAACATGAATATTCCAATTATTTCCAGGCAATCCAATTTCTTACAAATCAATTAATTATATTTACCAATAATAATAAACCAAATAATTTCCCCCATATATTCCTCCAAACCACAACTTAACCATTTCTGCTTTCAACACAATATACAATTAATAGTATCTCAATTATTACAATTCCCTAGTTAAATAGAGCTTTTTTGCTTTTGTGTTTTAAAATCTTGAACCTCCACTTTTGCCCTAAATTTCCCATGTTTGCAGTTTTGCACCTACCTTTTTTGGTGAGGAAAAAGAAAAAGAAAAATCTCTCTGCCTCATTTTGTCACTTGCAGCAAAGACTCTGTTTTACTTTCAGTTTCGCTTTTCAGCATAGCTAGGGGGAAAAAAATCTGCTCCTCTCTTTGCAGCTAGCAACAGAGCCCTCCGCAAAACAGCTGTGAGCAAATCAGCTGAGAGTCCTAGGCTGATCAAATCAACTTATGGTAATTAACCTATGCTGAAGCTGAAAGGGGCTGTTTTTTTCTATTTTTGCAGGCACCGGTCTTCTCTTTTTTTTTTCTTTTAACACTGATCAGCTGTAGGGCGGCCTTTTGAAGCCCCGCGGCAAGAATTTAAATGGTTTGTTTCCCTCTAGCCATCAGCTGGGACTCAGGAGGCAGCAATAGATTGGGAGTGGGCGAGGTAAGCGACCGGCGATCCAACAGAGGCAGAGGGTGAGGGTGAGTGAAGGTGTGGGGGGGGGTGAGAGAGGGCTTTGGCGACCCCTGTGAAATGGCCGTTCGACCCCCAAAGGGGTCGCGACCCCCAGGTTGAGAACCGCTGTTTTAGATCATGTCTTTCATCACAGTGTCATGGTATTAAATTGACAGAAGTCCATTTGCTTCCAGATTTTGGAGGACACTGTTCCAATTTTTGAATGTTACAACTTGTCTTCAGCCTACCACCATGCTATGAATGGAAAGGCAGGAAAAATTAACCAATTCTTGCAACAATGCTTAAGATGTTACTGTATCTATAGCATAGAGCAACTGGTCCTCATTACTGTGCTTGGCAGAATTTTCATATAATAACTCTCACCACACATCAATTGCTATGACCCCCACCCCTCTCACTTTCAAGCTTTGTATGGCATGCATACTAGAGCTTCACCAGAGAACCTGAGGGAGGAGTATTCCATTCCATCAGCTGTGGATTTTTTTTGCAAGAGCAGCTGGCTGCCCAAATACTGTTGAAACAGCAGCTAAAACAGGCAAAGCAGTCATACCAGATATTATCCATTTACTAAGGAACCCAGATTTATAGCATAATAATGCCCTGGATTTCATGAAGAGTTCAAGCAATGAAGTTCATTTAGGATATTTATTGCTTCTAAAAATACTAATATTTTATCTTTTTATTTTTAAACTATTTTGGGTAGCTCAGAACAAAATGTTTACTTAGATCATTCTGCAAGAAAATATGTATATTAACAAAGACTATAGTATGTGTAAATAAAAATTTACAAATGGTGAAGGAGTCATGCAAAACTGGTTTATCAATGTTTTTATTCTAAATATAACAAAAACAAATCAGTAATATATAGAATTTAGGGGGATCACTCACAATATTGCAACGGTTATAAACTTCTGTTCGGATGGGTTACAATCTAAAATATTTTCTATTGTTAAAAATATCATTCTAAATTGTCTACATTTATGTCCACACTAAACTATTTTATTTTAAATTATTTTGGATAGGTTTACATTACTTTATGTATATATTCATACATTATTCTAGTTGACAGTTAATAATATGCACATTGCCCTTTGGTTGGCTATATGTGTGGTGCTAACCCATGATTTTTATAATGATTTTCTGAACAAGACCCAATTAGCAAGGTACTATACATAGACCATATTAAGCCACAAACAAATCTCATTATTCTGTAGCCATAGTTATTGATTTAAACAGTTAGGCTGAAAGGCTGAAATAAAAGACAAATATTTTAACATTTTAAATTAAATTCGCATTGAAATATGAGCCTTTATTCTGCCAGCTAATTCTTTGCTGAATCAAAATGTCCCATAAATATTTATGAGATTTCAGCAGCTATGCCCAATCTATACACCAACAATCATTCTTGCTTATTTAACAAATTGTGATTAACTCAGTCATTGCTTAGATGGTTTGTATTTTGTAGTAAACCATACATTAATTAACATATGTTTTTACTAAATATACCTTAACTGGGTACATTTGCATAATATCCAGAGGTAGAAACCATAGCTTATAAATCATAATAGCTTGAGTCACCATTAAACCAAAATTAAAACTATTATATAATTTTAGCATCTTTAATGCATGTGGTTTTAAAGTCTGATATAACATGGTGATTTCATTTTCTTTGTTCAGTATATTAAAGAAAAAAAACTTAAACTAAATATGCATTACAAAGTTCAAATTGGGTGAAAGGTAAAAGTGAAACTGACATTGCCACATCTTTTTCAAGTATAGGCAGTCCTCAACAGTTTATTTACTGACCATTTGAAATTACAATGGCACTGAAAAAAATGACTTATGACCCTTTTCACACTGACGACCATTGCAGCATCCTCGTGGTCAGATGCTGGGCAACTGACTCATATTTATGATGGTTGCAGTGTCCCAGAGTCATGTGATCATCTTTTGCAACCTTCTGACAAGCAAAGTCAACGAGAAACCAGATTCAGTTAATATCCACATTACTAATTTAACAACTGCATTGGTTTACTTAACAGCTGTGGCAAGAAAAGTCACAAAATGAGGCAAAACTCACTTAACAACTGTCTCACTTAGCAACAGAAATTTTGGGCTGAATTTTAGTCATCAGTCAAGGACCTAAAATCCCAAGCAGTTTCCATTTACTTCTTCACTTAATTTTCTGTTTATCAGAAATATTTTCAATTACTATGATACCTTTAAAAATTACCTTAACAACATCTTTCTCTTGCTAGTAGTAGCTGGAGACTCCAGCCTTAATAGTTTTGAAACAGCCAGAAAAGTACAATGTAAGTCATGTTACCAAAACTTTTCTGAAATAATGTTATTAAATGAGAAGATCCACTTGACTATAACAATAAACAAGTATTTTCACTGTCTCTATTTTAAATGTAACCATTCTAGTCTCAATATCATGTATGTTATTAAAATCTATGGTATATCTAACATGATCGTTTTCTGGTGATAGCTTATTTGCCTCCTACCATATTTGAGTAATAAACTCAGCCCGAAGGTTATTTGAGAAGATCAAGCTGTTTAGTTTATTTTTATCAGTCACCCTGATCCCCCCCAAAAGTGACTAAATTACTTCAATTTCTATAACCAGCTAACAAGAAGAGGAAGGCTGTAAATAACTTTCTTATATTACATAGTTTACATTACAAAGACATGTAAACATAAGAACCTCAGTAAATCCAGCAATACAAAATAATGTTAAAATTGTAATGATGATATATTATGATCAAAAACCATTTATTAGGACCTTATTCATTCTTATTCAGACTTCAATCCTCTAGTTTATTTTGTTTTCATATTTTAATTCCCGAAGCTCTTGCTGCATTTGGAAAGTAGGTTTAAAAATCAATTTATTACTGATAATCATTGAACTATTTAACCCAGATTTTGATACTGTATCTCATAACTTTTGACAGCATCTATGAAACATTTTTAAATCGGGGTGGGTGGGGTTGAGGCATTGAAATTATGTGTCTGAATCCAATCTAACTAGCTGAGATTGCATAATACTATTAAGCCGTAAAATACTGATCATAAACGACTACAGGGGAATTCAAAAACACACTAAAACAAAAGGAGACTTACATCAGCATCAGCATAAAGAGGAAGGAGACTGAAGTAGTAAGACAAGAATGTTATGAGAACCCTGGCAAGGGAATTCTCAGCAATATGGAAATGTGTCAGCCCTTTACAATAGACCAGGCTAGGAAACCAAAATCATACATGCTAATATATTTTTATTATAAGGTTACATAAACAGAATCTTGCAAGTCTGGATATGCTTTCCCCCTCCTTTCCTTTATCTTCGTGAGAACTAGGTGGGTCTTGTCTGAGATGCTTATTCGGGTTAGAGAACTTCTGCCCTGCATGCAGCTCTCTTTTATTTGACCTTTGTATTGATTGTGGCTCTTCTGCCATTTCCTCAAGGTTATTCCTTCCGCCCATTAGCTAAAAAAGATTTATCACATGGATATGCTACAAAGATTGTCAAGACCAAGAATATGTCAGCAAGAGCTGTTTCTTGGATTAATTATCTATCAGGCAGAGAAGGATACAATTCTTCTTCAATGATCAACTATTTGGAAATGCGGACATTTCGCATGGGCAGGATCTATGAAAATAACAGAGGTAAAGCCTTGTGATGTTCCGAGTTTAATTTCACCGTTTGAATTCTGAGGAACTGGATAGGGTACTGGATAGCAGAAGCTCAGTCATATGACCTGGCTCCTTCAGCAGATGGATAATTAAGGGCTGAATCTAGGAAGTTGTCAATGTTTCACTAAGTAATGCCACCCATCTTGAAAAGTACTACCTTTGAACGAAGTGCAAAGGACAACTATTAGCCAATAACAGTTCAATTTTATTCTGCTTTGATGAGACCCTTCTTTATTTTACATCTATTTTATAATAGTTTTGCTTATTAGTTTTCTGAATGGATTTTACAATTCAACTAATATTTTGTCTCATAAGTTTAAACTACTTCAGATTGGAAGATTGGGCAACATATTTGCATCCAATATATTGTTCTACTTGTAGACCAATATCTTTATTAAATGATTTCAAAATCCTAAGTTTTAAACACTATAATGAATATTAATCACATTTAATCCATTCTGACCTGTCAAATATAACGGTAGTTGAACTAAAGAGAAGGCTATTTTCCCTATTCCTATTACAGGAAAGAGTTAAACTGAGGTCTGCCCTACCAGGCATTTCTAACCACAAAAAAATCTGTGGGCATTATTCTAAATCCCAATGACATTTATATGGCTAAAGGACTAAAACATAGTATTCAAGCTATTGTGTCAAACAAAAGTCTAACTTTAAAGTTATCTCTTTCTTATGATTGCTAGTAATGGGAGGCTTGAGTATAGTTTACCAGACCTGGACTGAAAAAATCCAGGAGACTACTAGATGGCAGCAAATCTCTACGATCTTCCAAATTTTTGCAGCCCAAATTTATACTAAAAAAAGATACTCTGCAAAATCAAGGATGTCGCCTTTCTTCCCTGCTACCCTAATACTATTGTAATTTATGACTTACTCGTTGTATCCAGACCATGTATGAAACAGGAACAGAAAATCTCCCTCTAACCTTATCCATGGTTCCTCAGATTTTTAGTTCACCATAACAATCCTATCTAAAAATAAGGAAGTGACAGCCTATACATAGGATAAATGTAGCTTAGAAAACTATCAAAGATGGCTGCTGTCCAAGATAGATTTCTTTAAAAAAATTATTAACACCAGATCTCAAAGCAAATCATTTGCTCATCTATGCCCACTACAGCAAACATTGTGCCTGATAAGCTTTGGCTGACCTAGTAGGATCCTTTCTGTGAGCTTATTATACATTTTGTGTGGTTTATTATAGAGTCTGTAACTTAAGTCTTCTGATTTTTTAGCTGATAACTTCCATTTGAGATGCCAGCACACACTGATGTGAGTTTGGACAGGAAATAGTTTTACAGCATTAGCAACTGTATATTTTTTTTTCTTGCATGTGAAAGCTGGATTGGTAAAGGCACTGTCATCCTTATATTTACTGAACTCTTAAGATTACTATGTTTCAAGAACTTACTAAAATACATATTGTCTAATAAGTATTATTCTAAACATCTCTTAACATATTTGGAATTCAGGCATGTGTCATTTTTTTCAATACATAAACTGGTGGTCATTTTGGAACAGTCATTTAATTTAAAGCAGCCATCTCTTTCCACTGAACTGTCCAACATGTCTTCTAATTTATATTCAATATTGCTAGAATATGTCATATCACTGTTAGAAAGTTACACAGGTAGTCCTCGACTTACGTTGAGCCCAAAATTTTTGTTGTTAAGTAAGATATCTGTTGAGTGAATTTTGCCCCATTTTACGACCTTTCTTGCTATAGTTGTTAAGTGAATCATTGCAGTTATTAAACTAGTGACATGGTTGTTAAGTGAATCTGACTTCTCCATTGACTTTGCTTAACAGGTCACCAATGGTGATTACATACGGTAACAACCCCAGGACACTGCTACCATCATAAATGAGTCAGTTGCCAAACATCTGAATTTTGATCACGTGACCATGGGGATACTGCAACAGTTGTTAAAACGATCATAAATCATTTTTTTTCAGTCCTGTTATAACTTTGGTCACTAAACAAACGTAAATCGAGGACTACCTGTATACATGCTGCTACCAGTGGATTAGGAATAAACGCAAAAGAACCGCAAAAGCCTAAAATTAATTTCTGTCAATCATCCAGAAAAGGTCTTTTCAGAAACTTACAATAAAATATAGGAATTAATCCAATCAGATTTCTTGAAAGAACAAACGCAAATCCTTTAAAAGCATTTTAAAGCAAATGTTTCCTTTAGGTTCCTTTCTGCATGAAGTAGCACACAGGTCACAAAGGTTGCTTCTAGGTAAATCCGTCTAAGGCTGCAGCTATAGCCTTTTACAGCGTAATCCAGCCCACGATTACTGACGAAGAGATCTGTTTTCAATAGACCCGCTTTTAAATATATTCTACGATATTGCTATTTGGATAGCCACTATTAGAATCCAAAAGTGTAATGATCTTAGCATAGGTTTCCGGTTTGTTTTTGAGAAGAAGAAAAAAAAAGTACGGTTTTTAGCAGACAAAAACCTACACCAGCCGCCACTCACGTATATAAAAGTACAACGAAATACTGGCATTCAGGTGGGCGTAACCACCACCTACATCGCGCATGCGGATCACGTCAAGTAGGTTTAACTTCCTTTTCAATGCATGCTGGGAAATATGGTTCCCTGCCAAATGGGTTTTCGGGGCGGAGACGGCAGTCTTCATTTCTTTCTCTCTCCTTGCGTTCCTCGTTCAGACTCTCCCGTTGCAATTCCAGGGGAGACAAAAGCAGGCGCGCGCAAAACCCTCCACCTCTTCTTCTGATTTGCTGCTAGGTAACCGAAGCCCAGGCGGAGCGGAGCGGAGCGGGAGCTCAGCCTGTAAAATAAATGGCGCCTTAAGAGCAACGGCACTGAGTCAGATGTGACAGTCGGTGCGCCCCGCCCTGTGACAGGGTGGAGTCACCCGCGGCGAAAGGAAATCAGAGAAAGCGGACTCCAGCCGTACAATCTTCTCCTGTTTCCTGCCCCCCCCCAAAAAAGAATTGGCTGAAGTCACGTGGAAAGGGCCGGTTGGGAAGCCACATGATCCTGAGCGGCCCCAGAGGCTGGGAGTCGTCGCGATGGGTACCGCGCTGGACGTCAAGATCAAGCGAGCGAACAAGGTGTATCATTGCGGGGTGAGCATTGTCTGCAGGTGCTGCTGCACAAATCTGGCGATGTGGAGACGCTGGGATGTTAGGGAAGATTTTATTTGTGCGGAAAAGAGCTCTGCAATCTGGTTGCGATCTTCCTCGGGATTACCACGTTGCATTTCCGAAGACTTCGGCGCCTAAGAGTTTAAGGTGGTTTTTCAGCGCTCGGGATTTTTTTTTTTCCACAGTCGAAGTTGGTTTTTTTTTTTTTTTTTTTGGAAGTAACTCCTTAGGATCGCAGGTTTGTGGAGCCGTGGGATCTGGGCGTCAGCGTCTGAAGCAGCAGATGAGATCGCGGTCGGTCGGATGATTCTGGAATCCTCCTCCTGGAAGAGGGAGAGGAATTAAAGATGCCCGCCCTGATCAAAACGGACACCTACATGAGGGGAAAAGAAAAAAAGAAAGAAGTCTTCCTGACATCTTGTGTGCAGGATATTTTTCTGGACGTTCAGTTCCGTATGTAACCTCGCTACGTTCTAAAAGAGACTTTCTACAACACCGCTTTGCCCCCTGAATATCTGTTTCGTAAGAATTAGGTTATTCACATTTTTTTTAAACTCTAGTATTCTGGTATAGTTACTAAATTGGGGATACCCTAAGATTTTATAGGCTCTCTTTATTTTTCTACAGAGTCAGTATTTGAATTTATCAAGTGCAGCAATGGCTTTGGAAGACAGGAGAACAACTCCTGCATTCATAGGAAAACAAACATGTACTTGGGAGTACTGGAGTTGAAGGCTTTGTTCCTGGTAATGTAAATGGTTCAAGATTTTAGAAGATCAGAGTTGGAGCCCGTGGTGTAAATCAGCGTTTCTCAACAGTGGCAACTTGAAACTCTGAACTTCAGAGCCCAGGATTCCTCAGTGAATAAACCCATTCATCTTAAAGTTGCCAAGATTGAAAAACACTGGCATTGAGTCTTGATAGAAAGTAGCTATGTTTGCCTCTGTGCCAAGAGGGAGTTGTGAAGGTTCAGACTCCCCTCACCTCCTGCAAAATAAGAAAAAAGACCTAGTTGGGATTGCTAATGATAATTGGGGGGAATTGAAAAACTTTGGATTTTTTTTTTAAAAAAATCATTTTTTAAAAAATAAATGCCATAAAAAGAAGGAATCCTTTATTCCTGTTCAAATATTTTCTATTAATTTATAGCAAGAAGACATTTTACCTAGTGCATGAAACACTATTTTCCCTGTATAAAGGGCAAAACAGGGTGGTACAATTCTGCAATGCAAGAGAAGATGCTTTCCTGCCCTCAGCAGTCATTGGGCTTTCTACCAAAGGAAGGAGGAGGATTCAGTGCCTGCTTTGTTTGGGATTTTTCTGTTGCTAAACTAGGGGTTGGTGAATCTGCTTTTGACAAGGCTGAAAGAAAATAACTGATTATTAACATGATAATTGTTTATTATATCTTGAACTTAATTTTTTCCTAGCTTATCCAAACAATAAAATTGATAGTTAGATTTCTCAGAATCTTTAAGTTTGTAATTCCATTTATTAGAAAAAAATAAACATTTTAAATGAAAAGAGCAAAAATATTGTTTGAATAAATTATACTTTTATATTTAATAAATGCATTAACCATGATAATTATGTGAGTAAATCAAATGCATATTGCATTTGCATTCTTAAAATAATGTAACAAGATTACTAAATGTAGTATAAAAATGGATACTGCATATAACTCAGTATCTTTGAAAATATATTCCCTCCCCCATAAAACCAATAAAATTCTCCTAAGGATATGTCTTTAGTGCCTCTACCTTTTGAATCCCAGACTTTGTGGGCTGGCAAAAGATCCTAAAATTTCAATTCAAAATATTTCCTTGATAATTATTTTCAGTAGTATATTAGTTTTTATATCGATTTACATTTTTATATGTGAATGACATTAGGATCAGAGCTTCAGAGTAAATTGTTTACTTGGATTTTTTATAGTGTTTTTACATTGAAATGCTATGCATGGTTTGTTAATATATGGATTATAGATTTTATATATATATATATATATATTGCTTTAATTTATATGCCGCCCTTCTCCGGAGACTCAGGACGGCTTACAATGCATTAAGCAATAGCCTTCATACTTTTGTATATTTATACAAAGTCAGTTTATTGCCCCCACAATCTGGGTCCTCATTTCACCTACCTTTGAAAGGATGGAAGGCTGAGTCAACCTTGAGCCTGGTGAGATTTGAACTTGCAGTAATTGCAAGCAGCAGTTGTTAATAACAGTGCTTTAATTCACTGTACTACAGGCTCTTGTAATTGTAAGATTTGATCTAATATATGGATTTGAACTGCACACTTAATTCTCAGAACTATTCATTTCATTGCATTGTACATTCTAAAGTTTGCTGAAAATGTTGAATCATTTGTGTTAAACACAACTATAATCTCTTATTAATTTGTTTTCAGGTACGCACTCAGTGTATTTTATAATCTATGTGATATTTTTCAAAAACCATATTTGTTCTTGGCCAATAGTAAGGCATTGCCATCACACAAATGTACACACATGTTCATGTCAGTGGCCAATACACTTTTAATGTCACAGGCATTCTTTTAATATTTATTCATATGTACAGTGAACAACCAAGTGGACATCTTTGTCTTGTTCAAAGTTGAGTGATTCACTAAACATTCAATTTATTCCCTTCCTTTCCATCACACATCAATCACTTATACCTTGTTCAGGATTCATGCAAATCATTCTGTCATCAAGAATATCCATGTTATTGTATAGTTTAGTTTTCTGATCAAAAATTGTATAGTCAATTTTCTCAAATTCATATAGATCTCATCGCCACAGTTTCTGTCAGCATAAAACCACATTGCATTTCTTAAAAGATATCCTCTCAGATATCTTTTCAATCAAAATATTGCCAAATACTTGTATATCCCTGCTTAGCTGAGGTGGCGCAGTGGTTAGAGTGCAGTACTACAGACTATTTCAGCTGACTGGTAGCTGCAGTTCAGCAGTTCAAATCTTACCAGGCTCAAGGTTGACTCAGCCTTCCATACTTCTGAGGTGGGTAAAATGAGGACTAAGATTGTTGGGGGCACTATGCTGACTCCCTCTCCGCTTAGAGAGGGCTGTAAAAGCACTATGAAATGGTATATAAGTTTAAGTGCTATTGCTATTAAACTAATTCTCTAGTAATTTTGCCATTCATGCATTTTACCTTTTTTAAAATAGGGAAATAAGAATGACATTCTTCCAAACATTAAGCTCATAAATGTTCAATGTTGTACAACCATTTCATAAGCAAGCCATTCAGTGGTGGGTTCCTCCCGGTTCTGCCGAGCCAGTAGCGGTGACGATATGACGTCACCGAACCGGTTCTGCTCCCCCTGCGCCTCCCAACCCCCCTCCACGTTTTTCTTACCTTTTATTTGGCCCCACCCCCAATCTATTGCTGCCTCCTGAGTCCCAGCTGATGGGCTATAAGGAAAAAAACTGTTTAAACTCTTGCCAGGGGCCTTCAAAGGGCCACCCTACAGCTGATCATTGGTAAAAGGCAGTTTGGTGGTAGACCGGTGCCTGCAAAAATACATGAGTAGACCGGTACAGCTCTGCAAGCAGTTAAAAGCCTGGTAGACCAGTATCTCTGCTAAATCCTAAAGAATTGTCACATGACCATCAAGCCACGCCCACAAAATAAGCCACGCCCACAGAACCGGTAGTAAAAAAATTTAGAACCCATCCCTGAAGCCATTCTGTATTTGATCATTTTCCAAGTATACCATCTCTGCCTGCTGTTTGCCATTTTCACAATACCTATTACTTCTTTTTCAACATCTGTTTTCTTAGATACTTATAGTATTTATAGCATTCACTTCAATTCTATTGATTTATTATTGTTTCCATACAAATTTTTAAATATTTTTTCATATTAATTATGTTAGTTCTACAGAAGGTTTCTTGTTTAAATTTTTTCGCTCTCTTCCAAAACAATTTTTATTGTTTCATTGTGAAAATTATTCTATACTTTATCTGCCTATTTAAATCATAACCATTCCTTATTGTCTTTTATTCCATTATTTGGATCTTCCTTTTTCTTACTATACACATTATAAACTCTCCTGTGCCATCCTATTTTATGAAGTATGAGCATTTATGAGCATTTATTTTTTCTCATTAACAACCTTTATTCCATTAAGCATCGTCTTTCATACTTTCCATTGTTGTATCGCTGAATGCTTTGGTGGCATTTTGTAGCAACATTATTTTTCATTCTATTCAAAGTAGCTTCTATATTCTCTTTCTTTTTGGCCAGTCATTCTGATGAGTGATTCATCTGTCTTCCAAAATATTTTCATATAGAACTCATGTTTTCTCTTCTTACAGACACCTGATTTTCACTGTGGTTTTTAACTTATCTCTTTTTCCACTACATCACTTTTTTTAAACAAAGATTCAGTTTTAATGCTCCCAGACAATCATCTTTCCTATATTTGGAACTTTCATATACCTTGTGGCCTTCACTAACTTTCTCCATTTTTCATAATAAGGAATCAAAAGGAATCAGCCATATTTTTCTATTCAGTCTTTTGTCTTCTATTCACATAAACTTAATTGATTAATATAGGTAGTCCTTAACTTACGACCACAATTGAGCCCAAAATTTCTGTTAAGTGAGACATTTAAGTTTCACGTAAAAGCCTGATTTTACAGCCTTTCTTGCCACAGTTGTTAAGTGAATCACTGCAGTAGATAAATTAATAACCCGGTTGTTAAGTGAATCTGGCTTCCCCATTGACTGCTTGTCAGAAGGCTGCAAAAGGGGATCACCTGACCATGGGACAGGACAACAGTCATAAATATGAACCAGTTGCCAAGCGTCTGAATTTTGTTCACATGATCATGGGGATATTGCAAAGGTCATGACTGAAAAATGGTCATAAGTCACTTTTTTCAGTGCCATTATAACTTTGAATGGTCACTAAATGAATTGTTGTAAGTCGATGGCTATCTGTACCTTTATTATTTGTTTATAAATAACTGAAAACCATGAACATACTTAATACCCTTTCCTCCTCCCATTTTCCCCTCAAAAACCCTGTGAGGTAGGTTGCAAAGAGTGACTGGCCCAAAGTCGCCCAACTTGCTTTCATGCCTAAGGCAGGACTAGAATTCATTACTGTATCTCCTGAGTTCTAGCCTGGTGTCTTAACTACAAGACCAAACTACTATTTGAAAGACTTCTAAGTAAATGCATCAAATAATACCATTCTTATTCATTCTGGGGACTCCATACGACCCAATCCCTTTTATCACCATACGTTGAATTATAATAAGCAATTATCACCATCATATGAATTCCTATTTTAATATATATCAATAGCAACATCATCAGCATCAATTCATACTGTCTTACATCATTTTATTCCTTTCATTCATAATTAAATTTGTACTTTTAACTCATGTGCATGACATCTAGACAAAACTATCTTCATTTACATATATTCTTGTGCTGCATAAAATGATGTGACTAAATTCTATTGCATTCTCAGCCTATATGCCTCAACATTGTTATTGTGGAGAAAAATAGAGGGTACATTATGTATACCACCTTGAGTCTCTGAATAAAAAGATGAAATATTATCCTCGCTAATAAAGTCCCAACATACATACATTCTTTCATTTTATTTATTTATTTGTGATCTTTACCATTTATCCTCTTGCATTCCAAGTTGCAATCTTACATATATTGTTGTTGTCAACAAATGGATTAATATTAATCTGCCATGTCATGCAAGAGGTTTCTGCATAAAAGTATTCTGATACAATAAAGGAAGAGTAAACTACATGATCAGATTTAGATAGAGTCATGCCACAGGCAACATTCTTTGCTAATTGTAAAAATACAATGTTGGTAAGTTTTAGCACATTTTGGCCACTATTCTATACAAACTAAGATATCTAAACTGAAGACTACCTTTGCAAGCCAACTTAATATTATCTACTTCCAGCTAATCAGAAAATTCATGCAATATATTGACATATTAAGTGTACTGGTACTTCCTTGGATAATTATTGTATACTTAAATACTTAAATTGTCATAATATATAAAATGTAAGAAGTAGTATTAAAACTGATCTATATGATGTTCTCAATTTTTCTCCAATTAGGAAATTCTCACTGGAGTGGTGGTCATAACAAGTAAAGATTCAATCCAACATCAGGGAATCTCATTAACAATGGAAGGATCTGTAAATCTGCAGCTCAGTGCTAAAAGTGTTGGTGTGTTTGAAGCATTCTGCAATTCTGTTAAGGTACAAACAAAAACCATGGTTTCTGGAGCACTTTTCTAGTATATGAGAAGAATATAAATATAGGGAGTCTGTACTTATTAGATCAGTCCAGCCTTGGTCACTGATGGACCCACAAGGGTTCCAGAGGGAGCTGGAGAGTGTTCCATAGGGTCTACAGCAAGGTCCATGAAGGCCTTTAGTTGCCATTTAGAACAAAAGGCCAGCTGTAGCTTTAGATCGGATTGCACCATACAATCTCTCGTTTCCAATGGATCTCATCACTCCCTGTGGTTTACAGAGATGCCAAGGGAGATGAAACGGGAGAGGAGACATCTAGAGTACTTCTGGATGTCAACAAAGGATGAACTCAATTAAGCACAGATGAGAGTTGCTATTAGAATCTATTTTGTGGTGGTAAGGGTAGTGAAATCACAATACTGCTGTTATTGCGCCCATAGCCTTTTTCTGGGTGACCTGAGCCCACTCAAATTTGTTCCCAGTTAGACTCCAGTGTTGGTGCAAGTCCTGTGGAGATGCTTGGAACACAGTCTTGTCTTGTTATCTGGGAACGGTTGGATCCTTACAACTGTGAGTCCAGCCATCTTGCCCCTCCTGGTTGACCATGGCTGCCCGGGGAGATATGTGGGTGGATCTTGCAGTATTGAATTCATGCTTGAATGAGAGATAGTTCCTTCATCTCTTACAGAAGTGTTGATTCATCCTTCCCCCATCCTCCTCAAAAAGTCATTACTGGATCCCACCATACTGCACAATGTTTGACCAGTGTTCAACCACCCTTTTTAGGAAAGATTGTAGAGAAGCTGGCTGCACAGCAGCTTCCACAGATTATTTGGATCCTTTTCAGTCAGGATTCAGGCTCACACATAAATTATATTGGTTGCGCTTTTGGATGATTGACAGGAGGATGGGAATAGTACATCCATTCTGGGTGTCATTGACTTCTTGATGGCTTTCAGTACCATTGACCATGGTATTTTCCTCGATTGGTGTTGGGGATTGGGAATGGACAACACCATATTGTGCTGGTTCACTTCCTTCCTATGGGGCCAATAGTAGTCAGTGTTGATTTTTAGTGAGAGATTCCACCCTCAGCCCCTACTGTGTGGGGCGCCACAGAGCTTTGTGTCCTCTCCTGTTTTAACATTTACATGAAACTGCTGGGAGAAATCATCTGTCACTATGGGGTGAGATATGATCAGCATGCTGATGATTCTCAACTGTACCTCTCTGCTTCTGACAAATTGAGTGATGCTTTTGATGTCCTGACCTGATGCCTGGAGGCTGTGGGAATCTGGCTAGGGAGAAACAGGCTTAAACTGAACCCTAGCAAGAAAGAATGAGTGGCTTTGAGTTTTATAGCCTTCTGATTTGGGGACTTTACCATTTCTGGTACTGGATGAAATTGCACTGCTCCAAACTGACCTGGTCTTCAATCTGGGGGGGTTTCCTGCACTTGACTTCTGCTCAAGGAGGAGATGCAGTCATGGCCAGGAGAGCCATTATCCAACTTTGTGTTGTGTAGCAGTTGTGTCTGTTCCTGGATCGTGAAGATCTACTCATAGTTACACCCTGGTAATCTCCCAGTGGACTGTGTAATACACTATATGGGGCTGCCTTTAAAAAGTATCTGGAAGCTTCAGCTTGTGCAAAATATAGTAGCATGGGCAGTTTTGGATGTTCCTAGGACACTGTTAACACCTCTGCTCCTTGAGTTATATTGGTTGCTGGTTTGCTTCTGGATACAATTCAAAGCGCTAGCTTTGACCTTGAAAGCCCTCCATGATATGGGGTGAGGTTATCTAAGGGATCACATCTCCCTGTTTATTTCTACCCATCCCATCTCATCAGGTTCAGCGGAAGAGGCATGTTGCATTACATTGTAGGTATTACATCTGATAGGACCCAGGAGATGAGCCTTTTCTGCTATGGCACTCACTCTAGAACAGGGCTGTCAAACTCCTGGCCTGCGGGCTGGATGCATCATGCAGTGGCCACGCCCACAGCCGGTTTAGCGAAGGGGAAAAAAGTCCCAATATGTCATGTGACACTGCTGTGACGACATGAGTTTGACAACCCTGCTCTAGAACATCATTCTCCCTGAGGTAAGGTTAACCCCAACCCTTTTGGCATTTTGGAAAGCCTTTAAAACATTTTTTTTAAAAAAAAAAAATCAGGTCTGGGCATCCCCTGGCAGCACCATATATGACATCTTAATTAACCCTTTCACAATCATGTTTTTACTTATGTTAATTATTTAATTGGTTTTAAATATATTTGTTTTTAATAGTTGCTTTTATTGTAGGCCTCACGTTGCTTCATGTTATCAGGAGATCTCAGTTGATGAATTAGATAGAAAGTGTATAATGAAAGACAATGAGCTGTATGGTGACTATGGGTGGACGGTAGCTAAATTTTAATTGGATATTGAGAGTTTTGAGCAGTGAGCATGACTTATTTTTTCAGTTAGATTATGCAGATTATTTCAGTTGTAACAAGGCTTTTATTATTTTTACTATTTTTGAAAGCAGTTCTAATATACAAACGAAAAAGATTACATGAGCGCATGTGTGTATTTTTAAATTTTATTTATTTATTTTTTTGGTAAAAGTTTTTTTATTTTATAACATATAAAAATTCCAATTTCAGTTGAACAGTGTCTTGTTTGGGTACAAGTACTTTTAGAAAATAATAAATCAAAATATTTACAGCAGTAGTGGTTACATTAATATTGATTCTATAATGAGAGTAATACTTGCTTAACCATTTTAACAAATCTCTCTTATAACATTAATCCTTTTCTTATATTTCCATGTTTCTAACTTCTGTTTTTATTAGCCAACCATTGATAAAAAGAGTCTGATGTCGAAAAATATTCAGTTTCTTCTTTTTCCTTAATTATCATTGTCAATCTATCCATTTATGCATTCTAATATTTTTTTAATTATGTTTTCATCTGTCGGGATTTCTTCACTTTTCCTGTGTTTTTTAAACGTATATGCTGCCTGACTGAGCAGCGGTATATGTATGTATATATGTGTGTACACACACATAACACTTACATATACTCATACACCATTTGGAAAGTTTTATAGATACAGGAGGCTCTCTGCTATTTATTTTTGTCTCTTACGTGTGAAAGGGAGGCAGTGTTAACCAGAGCAGGTGGAAACAGAAAATTTCTGTCTACTTAGCAGAGCATATAAGAATATAGAATGTTTGTGCTGAGTTTAATGTAATGTGTAGACGGTGTCTAGAATTGTTTGCAATTGAGTGTACGCGGTACTTCTGCAACTTCAAAGAGTTGAACCTGAATGGACAGGATTGCTGCTCTATTTCTTAAGATATATTTAAAAATGTGCATTTTCAGACATTCATAAGCTTTTTGTTTGCAACAGAAAATAAACGACAATTAACGATTAAGTCTTTCTAATTTTTTTATTTGTTTTTGCAGCCTATCCAACTGATTAATAGTACAGTAGAAATGGTAAAATCTGGAAAACTGCCTAGTGGTAAAACAGAAATTCCTTTTGAGTTCCCACTGCAAGTAAAAGGAGGCAAAATTCTTTATGAAACTTACCATGGAGTTTTTGTCAATATCCAGGTGAGAGCAGATTATAGTCTACAAAACCTTTGCTCTTTATGGTGAATCTACACAATTGCTTTAATTTTTTTAAGATTAAGCCAAGGAAATTCATGCCATTAAAAGAGTTGTCTGATGGCATGAATTTCTTCTTTGGTCTATTTGATTCAAGTTTAAAGAATCCCATAAGAGCTATGAAAAACTGCACCTTCAAATATTTTCTTCATATTTCCATTATTTAAAATGAAGCAAACTACAGATCCTAGCAAATCAGAAAAATACTGAAGAGGAGATTCTTCATAGAAATGTACAGACTTCTTACACAGTCAGGATTTTTTTTTAATGAGATTCATTTTACCTAATGTAAGCTCAGACCTCTATAAATAAGTTTCTTCCTGTAAACTACAGTACAGCATAACAGAAGCTCTCTGGCTTACGGTTTTAATTCAGAATTGATATGGCTCAGTGTCTTATCTCTTTTTATTGGTTAAACGTGGGAGTTTTAACTAACAAAACTCACTGGGATTTATGATAGAGGCTTCCTTTGAGCTAATGATCGTGCTGCAGAAATTTGTGTCTCAAAACTATTTGCTTCCCTTCCTTTTGCAAATTATTCAAATTTATCCAAAATATTAATATACCTAGTCTTATGAAAAACATTAGGCTTACTCTTCTTCCTTGCAATGCTTTTATTTCTAATCTTGAATAACATGGCTTTATTATTACTATAGTTTTAGGGAGATAACCATTGGATTTAGCCCAGTAGCAAAATATGAATGAAATCCTGTATTTGCTTTGTGTTTTTAATTCCTGTTTTGATTTTATTTGATTTTCAGCAATGTGCCCAAAGTATTTTTGAATTGGAAGATTTTTAGAATATATCTTACTTTAAACTAAAAACATTTTGAAATAATGCATTTCTAGGTAGGATTTCCATAGTAAATACAAATTATGGTACACATAAATAATCAATTTACAAAATTAGAAATAATTAGTAATAAATACTTATTTTTTTATTTCATGAGCAAGATAATAACTTTTCTGTTTTGCATATTTGTATAGTATACTCTTCGATGTGATATGCGACGCTCTCTCCTGGCCAAGGATTTGACAAAATCTTGTGAATTTATAGTCCATTCACCAGTAAGTTTGCTTTTAGGAATTAATTACCAGAGACTTGTGAATATATTCATTTAGTTGTAGTTGACTGTATAAAAAAGTCCCAGAGGAGCACATACACTTAATGTAGTTAAGCAGATCTGTAGCTATTTTTTTTCTCTGCAGAATGAAACTCTTATGCATGCAAAAGCTTGAGTTCCTTGGTTCAGGTATAGATGCAACATACTTCATGTTTCCCTGCATTTTCCCGAATTTATGTGACGTTAAATTTTCTAAGAATATTCAGGCTAATGCTTTGTGCCAAAGATAAATTAAACATATGGATAATTTTGTCAATTTTGATAAAAGGATACTGCATGCTTCCTGGGCCATTAAATGGCATTGCTTTAAAGATCAAAGCCATGTCCACTCTCTCAGATTTTAATGGGTGGGCACAAATAATAGGAAAGTAATTAATGAAACTTGGACAGCAGAGGTATTTCAGCAGTTTATAAAGCATACTCGTAACTGCCTATGCTGCTATATTCTGAACAACCTACAGCCTCTGAGTTGTCTTTAAATGCAGTGTCATATACCGCAGATTGCAATAGTTCTCATACAAAGTGACTAAAGCATAAATAATTATTAGAAAGGACTCTTGAGTCCAAGAAGGGGCACAGAACACCAGATGAAACTGTTAAAGGTTTCCAGCCACAGCTGCATCCTGCATACTAGTTTGGGGGGTGGGGGTTCACTCCCATTCAGAATTAAAGGTGAAAATCCACAGCATTAGAAGAACTAGGACACACAGCCACGTGGTCTTGTCACTGGTAAATCAATCTGTTCCTTATCCAGAGCCCAGCAGCCTCCAGGCACTGAGACAAGAATTTTAACGGCAGTGGCAGAGTTGAAGTACACAACTGGGTATTATCTGCATGCTGATAATACCTGTTTTGACAGATTATATAGGTGCTTCATGTAGATGTTAAGTAGAAAGGGTGAAAGCATTAAAACCTATGGCACCCCACAAGTCATGCCTCAGGCTCAAACACTACTACCCCCATCAACACCAACTGAAAACCGGCTGCAGAGGAAAGGGGAGAACCACTATATCACCATGCCTCCCATTCCTAATCCTCACAGTGAAGTTTTCTTCAGGATCTCATCAACTTCATTCAATCATGACGTTCTTAGTCTTCCCATCCACTCTTTTTTCATACAGTTGTTTCACAGTTTGATGCTCATTCATCGTCTATATGATTAAGCCACATCAGTGTACTTCTTTCATATCAATCATGTTTGATATCCAAGGTCATCCATGATCATTCAGCATTCATTCATTTTTAACTATCTCTTCTTGCTTCAGCATACATTTTTTAAAAAAATATCCCATTCTAACTTCAATGTACTTTTAGAGCAGAAATACAAGGTTTATATACATATTGGTATTTTGTTCAACAAACAGTTATTCCTTATAGCAGGCAACATAGTTACTACTTTTCTACCAGTATTTATTTGCATGACTTAAAATTATGTATAAATGTTCATGTAAGCATACATTTACATTTGAAGGAGGAGGTAGATAAGTTCTACATAGGTCCAGCAGGTAGCCAGTGTGCTGTAATGGGAAGTATTGAACTAACAGAGAGACCCAGATTCTAAGCCATTCACAGCCATAGAAATTTACAGAATAACGTTGAGCTGGTCACTCTCAGCCTAAATTACAAGGTTGTTGTGAAAGAAAGGGAAAAATAAATATTGCATTATACTTAGGAATAAGCAAACCCTAAATGATTTTTACGTAGATCCAGGAAAGAGCCAAGATAGTATAGTGATTAAGATCCTGGATTAGAAGCAGGAAGATCTGAGTTGTCCATACTCAGCCAGGAAAATGATGGAATAACTTTGGGCCAAACATACTATCAGCCTATTCCACCACCAGGACTTTTGTTCTGATGAAAATAGGAGGAGGGAGTGGCATATATGTCACTTGGAGCTCCTGAATGAAAAGCAGAACATAAATCTGATAAATAAAACAAGAATAGGAATTTGAGCTTAATAATGCACTCATAGTATAATATCATGCTGTATGTATATGTAGTTGATCCTATTCTCAGTGTCCTAAAATACTGGGCTGGCCTTGGCTATAATATGAGTTTGCTTTTCATTATCATTAGTTGGAGTAGAAAATTTTTAAATGTTACTTTTTAGCTTAATTAGAGCATGCTTCAAATAGTATATCCATGTGAAGCTTGAATGACCTTAATTGTTCTTACCAAAGTAATTTCTTGCCAAGACTATTCTAGTAGTGATTTATTCTAGCTCTTCTAATACTTAAAGTACATGACTTCAAATATTCACTTTCTCAAACTAATAAATGACTACTAGATTTAGTTCTGAACTTTCTTTTCATTCTTTTTATAGCCTCAGAAAGGTAAGCCAACTCCAAGCCCTGTAGACTTTACTATTACTCCTGAAACACTACAGAATGTGAAAGAGGTAAGAACCATTTTAGAAAAGCAGTTTTGTGGAGTGGTTAAAGGCAACAGACTGGACACTTATGAGTTCTAGTTCCACCCTAGGCACAAAGGCAGCTGGGTGGTATTAGGCTAGTCACTTTTTCTCAGCCCTAGGAAGGAGCCAATGGCAATCATTTCCAAAAACCTTGTCAAGAAAACAGCGGGGATTTGTCTAGACAATTGCAAAGAATCCATTCTAACTTGAAGCACAAAAAGAAAAAGAAAAAATTGGTTTAAAAAAGTTTAAGCTCCCAGAACAGTGGAACAGGGCCAAATTGGACATTGAAACCATATGAAAGAATTTTGTATTCACGTACTTCTTCATTTGCATGTTCCAATTTTCTTCTATTTTTGATTTAGTGGCAAAATGTAACCTGCCATGAAATGGGCAAACCAGGATTTGCCCAAACCAGGATTATATAGAAATAGCTGGAAGAAGGATAGAAGCATATGGAGTGAGGAAAGAAAATATTTTTATTAAAAGACGTATCTGAAGAAATTCCTTCCGCTTAGTTTTCCAAATGAGAGTGATTGTGTGTGTGTGTGAGAGAGAGAGGGGGGGGGAGGGAGAAAGGTCTTTCTCAGTGTGGGGAAAAAATCAGTTAAGCAAAACTAGGTTTGAGAGAGCCAGCACTTAATAAAAGCCATCACTGCTTAGGAGAAAATCCCAAAGAAGCTGCTTTTCAAAGGGTTCCTGACAGCTTGAAATGGATCTTGGCTTTGGGAGGCAGGCCTTTACTCATATCCGTTATATGTCATTGAGACTCCTGGAGAAGATATTGTGAGGTTTCTCTTAATTTGAAGTGAGGAATGTGACCCTTTCTTTATTTAAGGCTTATATAGGTGATGATTCTCAAGTATTTTGCATCTTATGATTTTTATGATTTCAGTAGGTATGTTGTGAAGATGACTAAGTATAGATCCAACCATTCTTTATACTGCGTAGTTTTCTATATAACTATATACAGAATTATTAATTAACTATCAATTAACTGCCTACAGATTTAATTTCTGAGGAGTTAATTGCATGCTACACTAAACATATGTTTAGAAAAGCACCTGTTGTTTACATATATATCAGTTCTATTTTGAAGAAAAGATATTGAATAGGATAAGGAGAGGTGATGAAAGAATAAAACGTTATTTCTTCTCTTCCGCTATAAACTAATGATAATAAGAGACAAAGAGCCATGCTATAAAATGAAAATATGTGAAAAGAACAAGAAAATGTGTACATTCAATTATTATATAAATTACCTCTCTCTCCTTTCCTCCCTCCCTCTGCTTTTAGAGAGCATTGCTTCCAAAATTTCTCATAAGAGGCCATCTCAATTCAACAAACTGCATCATAACACAACCTCTAACAGGGGAGCTGATAGTGGTGAATTCCGATGCTGCAGTTAAAAGCATTGAACTCCAGCTAGTACGAGTGGAAACCTGTGGTATGTTTTTATATCTGCCAGTTCATAAATTGGTGTTGGGGAACAGAATCGGAAGCGTGTTCTTGAGTTGTAACTGTCAAATGCTTCTGTCATTCTGGATAGTTGACAGACTAGAGGACAGCTGGGCCCTCATCCACATCCAAATGTTGCCAGTTGTGATAATGGTATATTTTAGTAACAAACATTGGTGGAATTTATTTGGCAGTTACCAATTGCATATACAAATAAATAAAACTTTGATGTAATTTTTATTCATTCCAAAGTAAAGCCATCTTCAGAAGTTTGAAATGAATGTTCCAGATCTGTGTAATACTAAATTAACTTTATTAATTTTTAATACAGTTCATATTTGAAGTTCCTCCTGCAGCTCTGAAGTGATTTGGAACAGCTCCTCAAAGACATCCAACCTATGAGTGACTCAGAGACATCTTGATGATGAATGTTTAATTATTAAACCTGCCTGCATTAGAATGTATTATTTAGTAAGTTGGGGGCTCTGAATGCCACTTGTCTCTCATTTTTGCAAAGGCTGTGCTGAAGGTTATGCTAGAGATGCCACCGAGATTCAGAACATTCAGATTGCTGATGGTGACGTCTGCAGAAATCTTCCTATTCCAATCTATATGGTCTTTCCAAGATTGTTTACATGTCCTACACTGGAAACTACAAACTTCAAAGTTGGTATGAACTGCATTTTAAATTGTTAAGCCATACAAACAGGACTTTGTCTAATGCTTTATTTCCATTGTGGTCACCCAGCACCTAGAACAAAAAAACCTATTGGTAGGATATCAGCTGTACAAACCTGTATCATGTTTTCCTTTACTTGACTTTTCCATTGAGATAAAAACTAGCTGTGATTTTGTTAACTTCTTTTTTTAAAGTAGTGCTGGTCTAACCATTTGGTTGTATTGTATCATCTTTCTTTTCTTGACAGCCTTTCTTTGGAAGAGTCATGATCATAATTATAGTATAAAAGTATTTCAAATGTGGTTCCTCCACAGATTTTTGTAAAGGCCTGTGTTTGTTTGATACATTTTGTATACCACTGAATTAAATTCATCTTCTAACAGTTAACCATATCATATGCATAATATAAAACATGCACAGCAAGCGAAACAATAAAACATCTATGGTTAAAACAATATAAGATGAACAATACATTAAATTACAAGATATCAGTACAAAACAAAAAGGTTGTATGAACAACAGTGCACAAATATAAATGGCTTCTGTTCAGTCAGAAATATTCTATCAAAGAGTTCAGCTTTGAAGCGACTTCCAAAATGAAATCAAGATGAACTTTAAGCTCTGTAGGAAAACTGTTCAAAAGCAGATTCTGCTATAGAAAAGGAGTGCTTTCAAGCTCCAATAGTTAGGCTGTTGTAATTATTAAAATAAAGTTTTACATTAGAGTGTTTTACCCCCTTTCTCAACATGAGTTTCATTTAAGCAAAAAGAAAAGTTTGGATTGCTAGGTATATTTTAGAATAATATTTTTGAACAGTACTAATTTAATGTATACTGTTTTATGCTTTGCTATATTAGTAACTTTATATGTGCTACAGGTACCCCAGATGGTAGATCTAATAATCTGTGCTAATTCCATAATATTTTTTCCTTTTTTCACAGAATTTGAAGTTAACATCGTTGTCCTCTTGCATGATGATCACTTAATCACGGAGAACTTTCCACTGAAACTTTGCAGAATGTGATTAGGTTTGCTTTACAATTATTGCTCAGACTAGATGCCTCCCATTTGTTGGGCATCAAACTAATTGGCATTGCAGGCTCTAAGTAATACAGCCCTATAAATGATTGACCAGAATTTTAAGTTACAATAACAATGTTCTGACCCATTAAGTCAGCGTCCAATAAGCACTGATTCACATTTGTCTACAATGCCACTACAATGCAAGTGTTAATCTAAGTTGAAATGGGGCCTACACGGCCTACAGCTGTCTATTCTTATTTGTTTATGAGAGTTCTGTGAGTAAGAAATTTAGACATTGAGAGGAAGAATTGGTTATAGCAATGTTTTGACCAAAATTATTTTGTATATATGTCTTAGCCTACCATGCTAAGAAAATTTTACCTTAACTTTGGAAACTTTTGTATGTCCCATGAGTCATGAGAGATGGGATGTCCCTACAGTCATGAAAGATTGGAAATGCACTTATCAAAATATTTGACCGACATACTAAAACTATTCAAAACAAGTTGAATTTAGACATTCCTGTTTCCTTTGATAGCATCTAAAGACTTTTTGCATTAATTTCTTTTGGGGAATATCTTAGCTTAATTGGTAAAAATGTTGATCTGACCTTAATAACCAATTGGAGAATTAGTCATAAGGAGTTGAGATGATTCAGTGCTGGCATCTTGTTACCAGATTAATGTTACAAGACATAAAAACAATTTGGGGCAACATAGAGGAAAGAGGAAAGAGTGTGGTAGAGGATGTAGAGGTAGAGGAGAAGGTAAAATTATTGCACTTTGCCTATTATTGGAAGATGTTGGACTATATATTGAATACATTTCACTTTTGATATAGTATCATCTTGGCAATACTATAGAAAGTAAACTTTACTTAAGACCTGATATATCTGATTGTTGTCAATAAATCATTCATATATTCTAAATGTTGTTCGTTCAATTAATACAATTAGCTGAGATTAATTGATTTGCATAAAATAGCTGAGAGTGTATTTTGTTCTTCACAAATATCCACTAGGAAATTTTAATTTAAGTCACTTTAATTTAACAGCCCATTTTGCTATGCTTGTTGGTGCCCAGGCTTGGTATGTGATTGTGCTTTGCTATTTGATTTTGCGAACCCAGCTAATGTGATCTATAATATAAAGTAAGCCTTATAGTTTCAGACACTGAAAGCATGTGTAACCAAACTGTCATCAGTGAAACTGATCATATGAACAAACAAAAACAGTTAAAAAGCATTATTGTTTATTAAAGGTCTCACAAAAAATGAGGAAAAAAAGCACTACAGGTAGTCCTTGATTTATTTCCTTTAGTGACTACTTGAAGTTACAACAGCACTGAAAAAAGTGACTTGTGGCCATTTTTCACACAACTGTTGCAGTATCCCATGATCACATGATCAAACTTCAGACACTTTTCAGCATCTATGAGTTTCGGTGTCTTGGGGTCATGTGATCACCTGTTGTGATCACCTTTTGTGACTTTCTGACAAGCAAAGTTAATGGGAAGCCAGGTTCACTTAACCCGTGTTACTAGCTTTACACTGGAGTGACAAGAAAGGTCATAAAATGGGGCAATTAATTTAACAAGCATGTTGCTTACCAATGGAAATTTTGGGGTCATGTTACCTCTTCTTGCACACTCACACATCACATTAAATAATGACTTAAAATCATGGTGTATTGCTACACAATCATGCTAAACAATTTGTGAATTAAGATTACTTTCTAAAGAGGAAGTTATCTGTGAAAATCAAAAAGAATCGGGCTCCAAATGTACTGAATAGCATTGCTCACTAATAACTAATTCAGGGTATAAGACTACAGTCTTATAAACTAACAAGTAAAACTAAACAAATCTGTACTCTACAATTTTATTAATATGTTCTTTATTTAAAGAGACAATATGTATTAGATATGTTTTGTCAACTTTATGAACTGCTCTACTGTGACATAGTAAAAATAGCTAATACAGATATATAAATTACATATTTCTTCCAAAAGTGCAGACACAGATTAACAACATTGGATATATAATGCTGCACCATGTATCTTGACTCACTGGAAATGGCAGAACTAGCATCGTGTATATATTCCATAAGATACAAAGGGATAATTTAATATACAATATACTGGAAATAACTGGAACAGAATTCATATATAATTATATTATCATGATTTTAAATAATCTAAATATCATTCTTGCTAATCTGTATATTGCAGTATTTTAAGTTTTTTTGTTACGCCCAGGAAGCTCAGGATAATCTTCTCGCAAAAGTATGTGACGCCGACATGTTGGACATGTACTGTGCTCCTTAATCCATGGTCCAATACACTGTATAAGACATAAAAAGATTGCACAAGTAACTCATTAATAATATATGGCTGTGAAATATGGGAAGAATCCATTCTTAAAAAATAAAGTAAAACTGAACAAAATATTTTAAACCTCCAAAATTAATGGAGGTTTAGCACCCCTGCAATCACATGAAAAAAATTTGGGTGCTTGGCAGCCCACAGGAGTGCCTTATCTCCCCATCTCTGCCCTTTTGGTTGCCCTGGACCTCATGGTCAGTGTTGGAATTGAAATAGACCCCCCAGGGCTTTCAGTAGTCTCGGCTAGTTGCCAACCACCCGGCCTTTACTTTAGGCCCAACACCACTGCCACCTCATGCCCCGTGACTTGGCCAGCCACACCAGCACCACAATGCCAAGCCTCAGCTGTTCCTACTGCCCTGCAGGCTCTGCTGTGCCCTGCATGCTGCTTTGCTGCCTCCCTCCCACTGCTGATGAAGTGGGCCTGGCATGGGCCTAGGCATTACCTCAGGCTTTCTTCCTGAGGTAATTTGTGCCACCCTCTAAATACTGCACGCTGTTCTCACAATGCTTCAGAAGGTTTCTGAGGCCTGAAATCTTGCGAGAAGGCTGCACCACCATTCTCCAAATCGCATACATCATTTTGGTGATACTTTTTTGAGATTATATTCAAAAAGTTTCTGGCACCAACTACATGTTTCACAGTTGCAATTTCTTGTTTTAAACCTCTGAATTCTCATCCTGTAGGCTGCTTTAACTGCCACTTCCAAACAGACTGCTATTCCTCCTGGCTAATATGAAAAAAAGCAATCCTTTCTTAAAGTGCCATCCCTGAATTGGTCATTTTAAATTACTATCATCCAGTCTCCAACATCCCAATTTTAGGGAAGATGAAAGTTATCATTGACAGGGCTCTGGAAGAAAAGAAAACCTTGTACTTCCTTGAGGAATGTCAAGGATTACTACAGTAGTTTAAGAAACATTCTGTAACTTTCTGCAGGTGAGGCTTTTAAAAAAAATCTACTGGGAATTGTGGGACCTCAAGAAAAGTGGAGGATATTGTATTTTAGAGTCCTTGAAGAAATGGTACATTATTTAAACATCTTTCTACTCATATTTTTTGATACTGATATGTGAAAGTCAACATATTGACCTGCCTATCCTGAGGAAAAGCAATACTGTAGCTATCTAAAAGTACAACTGCAATAATAAAAACTGATATGGAAGCATTATATTTCCATATAATTATGGTCATAACCATTTTTGGGATTGGAAAACTCATTTCCTAAGTAATATAGATCACATTAAACATACTTTGAATTTGCAAGGAAAAGCTTATTTTCTATACTATAGGTATCAGCCTGAGCACTGAAAGTCTGGTCCTGGAAACCAAGATGATTTAAACTTCCACAATGTAATTTGTGTTTTTGCTCCCTAAGAGTAAATTCCCCAAGTATATATTGCAAGGATTATGATTATATTAAAAATTGGTGCAACACAGCAGCATTTCTCTAGTCATTTACAAAGTCACAAGGAACAAGTAAAGACCTTTCTTTGCTGATAATTCACTTACCAATTTGTGAAATCTATGTCCACAATCCAGAACATGCAAGAGACTTGAAGTTAGTTCTTCATGACATATTACACATGGATCATTATCCTATAGAAAAATGCATTTGTCATTTCAAAACTGTTTCAAAAATTATTGATTCGCTATGCATTAAAATAAAATACAGGCTCTCAAAAATTCTGAAAAGTAATGGACATATCTAATATTTTACATGCATAAAAATCCCCGTGATCTGCTGTCAAAATGGCAGATTTAAGTCCGTGTGTGATATCCTGAAAGCAGCTGATTCAGAAAGTACTGAACCAAATGGGCTTTTTGACTCAGTTACCTTTTAAACAGAAATTTGGTTTAGCAGCATCAAAATAAAAATGTATCATTCTAATCCATGAGACTTTGCAAAATTTATTTACTTAATTCTAGAATGGACATTATAATCCAGTGTATTCAGTGTCAATAGATTAGAAAAAATATTGCATCCAGAGTTCCATAAGTTAATTCTGCTCATAGGAAAAGACATGGGTTCAGGGAACCAATGAAGACTACACACTTCACAATTATATGACTCCCCCACCCAATTCATATAAAGTTGTCTTTCATGTAACGTATTCCATTGGCTAGCACCAATTTGCCTTGACCATTAGTAGATCACATTCTTGAGTATGGATAGCATCAGAAATGGTATTCAGCAGGTTCTGACCAGTTCTGGAAAACTGGTAGCGGAAATTTTGAGTAGTTCAGAGAACCAGCAAATACCACTTCTGATTGGCCCCATCCCCATCTATTTGCTGCCTCCCGAGTCCCAGCTGATCTGCTGGGTCTTCTTTTGTTGCCCTGCACAGGAGAACGGAGCTGGAAAGCAGGTTAGTGGAGTGGGGAGGGAATGGATATTTTACAGTATCTTTCCCCTGAAGTGGGGTGGGAATGGAGATTTTATAGTATCCTTCCCCTGCCATGCACACCAAGCCACACCACCAAGCCACACCCACAGAACCAGTAGTAAAAAAATTTGAATCCCACCATTGGATAGCATGTAAAAAAATTGAAGTGCTTTGAACTAAACTTCTGTTCCTGATTATTTCCACCTGACAAAACCTTTGAGAAAATTTCAATTCCAGTCTTTAATAAGATTTTGGAACCTCCCATACCATATTGGTATGGGACATTGTTCATTTTTACTCAATTCAACTCTGAAGAAAAATCTGGATTTTGAAAATTGATTAATTTAGCTCATTCTTTGATTTCTATGATACTAGAAACTACTAGAAATTTGAATTATTATTATTATTATTATTATTATTATTATTATTATTATTATTATTATTATTATTTTGAAAACTATTCTAAGACCTTGAAAACTAAACAGCTTATGTTTAAAAAATTTAAAGGGCTTTGGAAAGAATATGTATGGCATTCCTAAAATAACACCAAATTATCAAAGTGATTTATCAAAACCATAGTTTTCATAGAAAACCTACAATGGTATCATTTGATTTTCTCCACTTTGATTTTGAAGTTTCACCAATATTTTTCCATGGCATCTGATTTGATTGAGATGGAAGTCTAGTTTTATTTTTCTTTTCATTAGCAGCTTTAGACTTTGGTTTGCTTTGTACCAATGTGTTTAATACTTTTTGAGTATGACTTGCATTTTCTCCTGAAGTACAAGAGGATAACCCTTCATTTTTTCTGGAAGAGGAAAGAACCTTTAAAAACATAATGGAAAAGTATTAGTAATATCTTTTTAATTTATACTTCATTTTGCACTGTTTAGGTAGTTGACAAATATATTAAAAATAAATGATTATTTGAAGCAAGAACAAAAAGCAAACAAAACAGAACATATCAGCGTTCCAAAATAGCACCAAGATATATCTTAGTCTCTAAGCTATAACAAAAATCTCCTTGATAACGCATATTGAATACCAAATAAAAATGAAACATGAAAAACCTATACAGGTAGTCAGTTCATTTAATGACCATTCAAAGTTAAAGCAGAATTGAACAAAAGTTATTTATAACCATTTTTCACACTTACGACTGTTGCAGTATCCCCGTGGTCATGTGATCAAAATTCAGATGCTTGGGAACTGACTCGTTTATCACGATGGCAGTGTCTTGGGGTCACATGATCACTTGTGACCTTTTGACAAGCAAAGTCAGTGGGGAAGCCAGATTCACTTATCAACCATATTATTAACTTAGCAACTTCAGTGTTTCACTTAACAACTGTGGCAAGAAAAGTTGTAAAATGGGGCAAAACTCACAAATGTTTTACTTAACAACAGAGATGTTGGGCTCAATTGTGGTTGTTAAGTCTAGGACTACTTGTATAACTTCCTTGGGAAGCTATTCAGAGTCTCTTGAGCTACAACAGAAAAAGGCTTATTGTTCGCTTCTCTTGATATGAATAAGACTTACTACAGGGACTCTCATACATATTTCAGAATGAATGATAACCTAACTCAGGGGTGTCAAACTCAATTTCAATGAAGGCCACATCAGGATTGGGTTTGACCTTTGAGGGCCGGGTGAGTGTGGCATTGGTGGGTGTGACACGGAACCGCACCTCAGCAGACATGGTTTTATAAACTTATAAAAATAGGCATACATTTCTGTGATTTTGTTTTTTTAATACTTGATCTACTTCAGGGGTCCTCAAACTTTTTAAACAGGGCCAATTCATGGTCCGTCAGACTGTTGGGGGGGAGCCTGACCAGCTGGGTGGGCGTGGCTAGGTGGTCATGTGACTGGGTGGCCAATTTAGCAATCCATTTTGCCAATTTAGCAATCCATTAAACAATACACCTGGGACTGTTTTATTTGCTTTTGTTTGCATGTTGCTCTTTTGACTGACTTTTCTTTTTACTAGATCATTTTTTAAGATCTTTAGGAGTCTAGTGGTCCACTTCAGGAAACTCGGTTTTGCAGCAATTCTTCTCAGCCCCAAGGAGCTTACAATCAACAAATAGAACAAACCAGGGAAGGCATTGCTTCTCCTTGTTTTGGGTGGGTGGGAGGCAAGGGACTCAGCCCAAGAGAGGCACAGGAGCAGGTTTATGTCTACTCCAGAACCTAGAAACAGGCACCCCTCAGCAGCAACCTCCTCCATACTTGGGACTGTTCCCTGGCCAAGTCCCCCAACCAGCACAGACTCCTTTTGCTTTCCCTCCATTGCTGCTCAGTGCCAGAACAGACAAGAAGGAAAAGGGGTGCTTTTCCACTGGACTTGATTCCTCTGCCCCCTCCCCAATAGCTCCCTTGCCAAGATAATGTGTTTCATTGTGGCTGAAGCAGCAGCCATGAGACCCAGGCAAACCCCTTCTGGCAAAAGGGCCTCCTCTGCCTTCCTGGGCTAAGATAGACTACCAAGTATAATAGCCTGCCTGCCCTCTTAATTGATGGGGGAAGGGAAAATCCCTGCCCCCAATTTGGCTATTGAAATTAAGGCTGGTTTCCCCTAAACCCCGCTCTTGATCGGGGAGCCCTTGGCCTCAATCTGAAACCTAGGAAGAGGCATAGGGGAGCATGGGAGATGTGGTCGCATTTTCCAATTAAGAAAACTTAAAATCTACAATCCTGCTTTTTCAGATAATGTTGCTAGGTGTCCACTATTTGAGCGGACAGTCCGCTTTTTTCACATTATGTTCACTATATTTTTTCACAAAATAGTGGACATTTTTTTTATTCAAAAGCTTTATGATGAAATTAAAATGTAATTTAATATTTTACATATTATTACAATATATTTGATGTTTTGAATTTTAAGTAAAGTTTTGAAGTGATTATTTTAATACGTGTTAAAATGTTTGTAAGAAAATATATAATTTAATTGTAAATTTTTTTTATTTTTTTTTACTACTTAACCCCCCCGCTTGTCCACTTTTTTTTTGGAAGCAGACCTGGCAACCCTATTTTCAGAATGCTGTGCCAAACCCCTTTTCTTGAGCGGGGAGGAGGAAAACCACCTTTAGTGCAGGGCTCCTGCTCCCACTGCCACCGTGCAAGCCCGTCCACAGCAGAGGCACCATCCAAAGATCACCTTATAAGAGAGACACCAGATCAAGAAACTGACTCCTTAGGAAGACTAGAACTATAAATTATTGACATAGGCTAGTAGCAGAATCCTGCAAGCCTGAAGGTAAAATATTTTACATTTTCTCCCTTTTATAACCACCTGAGTCAAGGACGGCCTCCTGCAGTGCTCCAGAAGCCCCATTTTGGGCCTGGAAGGCCTCCTGGGCCACTTTGGAGGCCCCATTTTGGGCCTGGACAGCTTCCTGGAGCATTCCGGAGGTTCTGTTTTGTGCCTGGAAGGAGTCCTGGAGCACTCTGGAAGCCCCATTTGGGCCTGGAAGGCCTCCTGGACCACTCCAGTGGCCAAAAGCAGTTGCTTGGGGGGGGGGGGAACGCATCCCACACGTGCCTCATTTTTGCTAGCAGAGGCACCGCAGGCCAGTCCTTTGCTGTTTACAGACTGGCCCCATGGGCCAGATCTAAGCACCCCACGGGCTGGATCTGGCCCGTGGGCCTTGAGTTTGACACCCCTGACCTAACTTAACCTAAGCTTTTCCCACCTTAGGTAGGACATGAATGAGTCCATTTAGATTTTCTTTTGTGAATTTATCAATAGCAATTATCAGTAGCATATATACCATAGTGTATCATACGTATTTTATGGGGGTTTCTTCATAGCTACGTAAACATTTTTTGCAAATTACCTTTTTTGTGTTCGGATGATCCAAGATAAATTCAGTTACCCTGTTTAGGTAGTCATCTGCACTCAACTTGTTTCTGTTTTTGACATTGACTTCTTTTATAAATTTTTCTAAATCTGAACTGCAGGAGAGAAGAAACACAGGTATTCAGATATTTTGCAGGAAGATAAATACTGTCTACAAGTATTTTAAAAAACCTGACTATCTAAAACTTAATTGCATTATGTGCCCTGTCCCCATTAGCATTCTCAAGAATAGATATATATATTTAAAATAACAACTTACTATTTCTTCTTCATCTTAAAGCATCCTAGAAACAACGAAAACTTAAAACATCCACCTTATTTTTCACAGGTCTTTAGATAAAACAAAGATTCCACTCTGAATTTAAGATAACTGTGTAATGTTACAATTCATCCCATGAATACTTAGTTCCCACTCCTGTTTCAGAAGAATTTGTGCAACAGGGTCACATATAACTGAACCCCAGGCAAAGGACTCTATATAATAATGATTTACTATGCTGTTACTATTAAAAAAAATCCTAAGAATAATTTTTTTAAAAAATTGAGTAGTAAGTAGAGAAACCTGAATTGAACATAATAGAATGCTGAAATAAGAGTCAACCCAATTCCTATCAACCAAGTTAAGAAAAAAAAATAGAAACATGGTAATAAGCAGCATGGTACAGAAAGCACTGTCACCAAGTCTTGAATTTTGTGGCCATACTGAACCATAGTTCAAAAACACCCAAATTTCAGGCATTAAAAATTACTTAAGATAATGACAAGAAGAACCATTTCAAATTTTCTCTTAACTTTAAATCATATTAAGAAAAGCAAAAATAGTTAATCATTTCTAAAAATTTGTGCCAGAGTACATTTAAATTATACATTTTACAATTCTAACTAGATTTTACACATACACACAACATGATTTTTAACTAAAGTGCGAGCTACCCATTTTTTTCTACTGTAGATATACCTTGTATGGTATGGAAATATAATTCTAAGTTGGTCAATGATATTTTCAGATAGCTTTCCAAGAATTGGCTTGTTTAGAATTGTAGCATAGTCCAATTCTGCAGCTCCTGCTGGTTCCTCTAAAATGCTATGCAGTTGCTGGATATTCTGAAGATGTCTTCCTGAATTTCCTAGTGATTGAGGCAAGCATACTTTATCAGAAAGTGAGCTTTGTCTGCATTCAGAAGGCAGTTCTCCAATGTCTTTATCTGAAGGAGGCTCTGGATTTTTATTGCCAGTGTGAGTTTTAGCTTTGGAAGATAAGGAGTAATTGTCATTAACATTTGAAAATGGAGCAGACAGATGCGGAGCAGCAGGTGAATACATTATGATGGCTGGGTCATTAATAGGAGACTTCTCAGGAGTTGCCTAAAGGAAAAAAACAGCACAAAGATCAAATATGATGAGAAAAACTATTTCAAGCATTCTAAAACTGTGTTTCTGCCACATCAGATAGCTTGAGATTGAAGTTTTTATTTATTTATAATTTTAAAAATTGCCTCAGACTCTAGATGGTACACAAACAGCAACAAGCCAATTTAAGAAACAGCAATGATTCCCAAATACTACAAAACTGAACAGTAAAAGTTAAAGCCAAAAGAGTACGCATAATTTAATGTTACTTGCTTTGCTCAGCGCAGTCATTTACATATATGGCGTTATATTTATAACAGTGCCTTATTTAGGGAAAAATAAGATTATCAACCAATATCTACTCTTCATATGATTCAACATAATGTACAAGAATATTAGAATAGGGCCTGAGATTTTCTATCAAAATATTGTAACCTATCACAGTTTTTATTTCTGTTGAACAATGAATCTTATACTATCACAGCCTTCTTTTAATTTCAGTCTCTCTGGGCATTCAAATGGTGTTTCAGGGCAGCAATTTGGACAAAAATCTGAAGAATTCTCACAACTAAAGGCAAATATACACATCCCAGGAATATGATGCATAATCCAATCTGAGTTGGTACAACAATCAATGACTTAATAGCTGACCACTAACACCCCAATTAACAACTAAAAGCCACACTCAACTAGGCACCACATAAATATTACATTCAGTTCCTAGAGGATGGGCTCCAGCAAGGAAGCTTGAAAGACTAAAACTCTGGTCCAGGTGACTGACTTAGATTGGGTCCTTAAGAATTATTGGTTTATGTCACAGCCTTCCATTGTTCAAACCATAGCTGGTAATGCAAGATACCCATTTCTTGTTGTTGTATATATTCCCACAGGAAAAAGAACTCTAGAGGCCCCAATGCATGAGGAAATTTCTCTGGAAAAAACTGAGCAAGGTACAGAACTGTTTGAGCTTTTCCATGCTTCAAATATGCAGTTGTGATAATGCAGTGATCTGTTCATTTTGGCTGTAAAAATATTCAGAAAATAACTTACTAGTGACAAACCAGTAGGTGGCTGAAGAGCTGCAGTTTCTACTGGAGTGATACTATTTAGGAGAGCACCATTTTTTACTATATAAATCCTTTCTTCAAACTGACTCTGTGGAAAAGAGATAAGAGATACATTTAATATTCTTAAATCATAATTTTCTATCAAGAGTAGATTTACTTGGCTGAAAGCCCAAAATAAAATCTATCAGTATAACTTATATAAATGAACACCTGATTCTTAGGCTAATTTCATAGCACCTGGTTCCTAAATGATGTCATGACACATGCTAGGCTCTTTTTATTAGTTAAAAAAAAGAGAAATTAATATCCTACAAATCTCAAATGTTATTTATTACTATGGTTGGTTGCAATCTGCGAGATGTTTAGACTGAATTTGGCATTTTTATCCACCTATCAAGTCCTTCCCAAGAACCTGAGATAGGCAGATATTGATGTTTCATGGTGTCAGTGGTATTGCTCCAGGATGTAAGCTATTCTGACTAAAGCTGCCTTTTGCAACTGACTGCAAATAAATAAATGGTAAATTTGTCAATGCTGATTGTGTTCAAATGATGCTCCAGTTGTTTTGGGATTTGACCCAAGGTGCTTATATTTCAAAGATTTATATAGCCACACATATTATATTAACAACTCTGGCCGGCATACAAAACAGTAAAACCAACAAAAAAAAAACCAAAACCAAAAATAAATTTGACAAAAATGCCATTGCATTCCAAGGCATCACTATCCCATGCATTTGTGCAACATGAAGCTGTACTGTAACATTATCTCATTTCAATGCTTGCTGAAAAAGCCAGCTCATCAAGACCTCCTGGAAGGCAAGGAGAGTGGGAGCCTGCCAAATCACTGAAGAAGGGTTTCACAAGCAGAGGCAGGTACATACAGTGCATGCCTCCTAGGTCCCACTAGATGACAACATTTAAGAGAGGGGACATGGAGCAAACCCACTCTATCTGACCTGGTGGGACAGGCAGATACCCTCAGGGAGAGGAAGCCCTATAAGTAGCCTGGCCCCGTACCCTCTTACGGCTTTAAAAGTGATAGCCAGCAATTTAAATTGCATTCAGAAAAAAATTGGATGCCACTGCAGCTTGTACAGCAATGGTGTAATATGGGCAAAATATGGAACACCCATAACTGTGGCATTACTGCTACATTCTGGATGGTCTCCAATGGCAGTCTCATGTAGAGTGCAATATAATAAACCAACCAGGAACTGACCAAGCATGAATGACTATGAGTCAGGCCTCCTAATCCAGGAATGGACACAAATGCCATACAATATGGGTCTGTGCAACACTCCCTTACTCCAGCCATGGCTGCTCCTTCCCTTCGAGCTGTGAGTCCAGGAAGACCTCAAAATTGTCTGCCAACTCTATCTGGATTACTGCAGCCCTGGTAAGACATTCTATCTGAACCAAGAGAAGGGAAAATCCAGAGTTACTCTATCTTGCATGGGTTGAATTGAAGTCAATTTCTCCCCATCCAAATGCTTATTCCCTTCAGGAACTGAGTCAGTACTAGGCTAGCATCACTTGGTTGGTCAGGGGTGGAGATACACAACTGGATATCATCAGCATAAAGATATTGCACCACATGACAGCAAAAGACTACACCCAGCTGTCTCATGTAGATGAAACCACAGCAGTATGAAAATGTATTGTTCAAACATATAGAAGAAGCAATGCAATATTAAGTAATTTTTGCAAGGAATAAGTTTATACATATCAGGTATGTCTGGACAGGTATCTGCATTATTCCTTCCTTTGTAAGCAGGATGACAAATACAGAAGCCAAACCGTATAGCTTCCAGTTATATCTGAAACAAGTTTATTGGCTTTCAGAAAACTCTTGATATTAAATCATGGTTCAAAGCAAGTATAATAGGCTTTTTTCTTGAAGCCATTGTTTCTGTCTTTGAAGAGGATGCTATGATTAATTGTGATTCCTGGCTTATTTTCCCATTTGTGCAAATGAAGGGGTGAAGAAACTACAGAGATATAGAGCTTGTTTATATCTCCATTTTCTTACTTCAGATATGATTGTTCAACTATGGCACTACCAATACACAATACACAATACCAATAATGAATAAAAAGTATCACAAGAGACTTACCTCTATTTTTTTCTTTTCTTCTCCAATATTGGAAATAAATGACTCCCAAGAATCAATCTGTAATTTTGACTGAGGTGCTGCAGAATGACTGAAAATGATATAATTTAATTTATGTCATTGATTATGTAATTAATTTGATATTAATTCATTTATAAAACTTATATCCTGATTTTTCATAATTAAAAATGATTCTAACCATGAAATGACAATTTAGTAATTCAAGCTATATAAGTACTGTAGTTGCTTAAAATATTGAAGTTTGATTTTTTTTTCCTGCAAGCATCCTTTCCCAAATCATGTTTATGGGGTTGAAACATAAAAAGTAGATGCTCAAATTATTTGAAAAGCAAGACTTTTGGAAAGAAAAAGAGTATCAAGGCTTTATACTGTTAAGTTTAGAACAGAATAACAGAGCGTGGCCTAAGCAGAAAAAGAGAAAATGTTGAATTACTTGAATCAAGTGAAGAAGAAAAGGCAATACAAAACCCTAAAATCATGTTTTTGGCCTTCCAAGCATCAAAATGAGTTGTAACAGCTGTTGGATTTCAGAAAAAATGGTCAATACAATTTGCTAAGAAATATTTTATCAATTGACATACTAATTGTGCTAGCACTATGACTTGCTGCCATAAGTTCAATGAAGCAAATATGTATATGGATACATGGTTCACATGATATATTTTTTCTATGTTGCAACTATAACAACATGAAATTTTAGTAAGAGATATGATTTGTTAGGAGAAGAATTAGAATCTAATGCCAAAAGCTAATGGTGAGCAAAGTCATTTATGGCAGAGTTTCATCCTTTTTGAGACCATGGATTCTGTTAGTAAAAATCGAATTTCCAGGGATCCTAATCAAGAAGCAAGACTCTGAATGGTAGAAAATCAGTTGCATTCAGATTAAAGTGCTTTTTCTCTCTTAGTCTTCCACAGGCCCTATTAAGTTCTCATGAATTCCTAATATTCCATGGACACGATTTCAAAAACCCTGATTTATAATCCCATTCAGTATCCTTTCACAATAACCACATATGCAACAGAATATCTGTATATTGTAAATAATACCTGGTCATGAATTTTAGATATTTAATATTGGCTTTGGCATTTGTTGATTTTCTGCATAGTTTGTAGAATTCTTTCTCTTTCCAGTTTTCAAGTACTGACACCTGAAATAATATTAATGTAAACGTAAGCATCAAGCTGGAGAAAACAGCTATATTAGATGGATGATTACAGTCATTTTCTATTATTGTAAAAATTGAAACGGTAGTTGTTTGCTCCCCCTCACCTTAAAGTACCAAAAATATTTTTAAAATGGTCTTGAAAACAGGCCAATTCATTACATTTGATTAATATTTATTAGTGAGAATGGTAGATGTTGATTTGCCCATATGTAATTATCAATTCTCTATTATTTCCCTCTTGAGTCAGTGTTGAGGGTTGCAGTGGAAGCCAGTTGAACCCCCACGCACTGCATCAAGTAATATATTACAGTAATTTAGAGAGGCAGAAAGAAAAGCCATAACTTTAAACCTCAACATTTTGTGAATTATTGCAAGTTTATTACAGAAACTTAATAAAATTTTTGTATCTGCCAGCTATTCTAACTCTGAAAAAGAGTAGAACTTCATGAGGAGGAGTAAGAATGCATGAGTAATGAGAAAAATAGTGTTTTTTCACTGAAAATGAGAGGAGAATTCTGAATTGGGAGAATTCTGAACTTGCCAACAAGGAAGAAAAGATACCAGGACTCACAAAAAGTCTAAAATGGAGAAAGTACCTGATGAATGAAAAAATGGAGATGAAGGACACCTCTTCCTGCAACAGAAGTTCAGCAGAAAGGGAAAGATACACAGGATCCTTCCAAATTTATGGGGGAGGGGGAATGGAAAATGGAAGGGAGAATTGTGAGGTTAAAATGGGGAACCAGTGGCTCCTGGCCAAATATGCCATTATGTAAAGATATAACAACTGCTGGGCTTTAAAGCCAAGTAGCACTGGGACAACCATCCATTGATTTGGATGGATAATAGGAAGAAGCCACTAGTTTAAACTCAAAGACTGTAAAATCATTTACATTTTTTCATGGGCAGTGGGCAACCAACTCTTATTTATGGCTTCCTTTTTATCTACAATAAAGTTTTCAGCTGGCCCAAGATGCTTCTGCCAAGCTTGGCCAAGATACATAAAGCCATGAAAAATCATGAGTTACGTGATTTGCTAATGAATCTTAATGGGTGGAGCCCGACAACAGTATTACATCAAGTATGTAACTTTTAGACAAACATGATAAAATAGTAAGATAATAAACAGTTTGTAGGAATTACAATACATTCAAATAGCACCATATATTTTACCTCTGCTGCTATTGCTCTTTTAACACATTCTTGCTGATAATCCTGGGTCTTCTTTATAAGTTCCTCCATTTTTATTTTTTCACATTCAAACCTATTGCTGTGAAGTAAAGTTAAAGACTATTAACATATGCTTGGATGTCTATGTGCCTGAATATCTGCAAAACAAAAATTAATTCAGCATACCATCTATACACTGATAAAACTCTCGCATCAGTAAGCATTAACTGGACAAAACTCTGAATCACAGGGTAATTTTTTTTAATCAAAGTACCTCAAATGGGCCAACTAACGAACCAGTTCTCATGACTCCCATGAAATTGAAATTTAGCAAATTTTATAAAACATTTTATGACATAAAAATTACAAAAATCATTTTATGGCATAATACAAAATGTCATAAAACATTTTCTGTGCTCGACTCCTAATGTTTGACTGTGCTATACAGTTCAACCTCAGCTACTCTCAAGGCAGATGCAGAGGAGAGGAGGTTTCAACACGTCTCTCCCAAGAGTTGTAAGGGGAGGGGAAACAGCATAAGCCAATATTATATATGGAAAGGAGAATGACCCAATGGGTTCCAGGTTGTCTAGTTATTTATAAGTAGCAACAACTAATTTTAGTTTAATTAAACACAGCAAATATGTTCAACTTGATTTATAAAGTGCCTTTTTCACTGTTAATTTTTGACAAGATTAGTTGCTTCATTGTGGTCTTACAGTTGTGTTTTCCAGAAGTTAATTTCTGAGTATTTAATAGACAGTATACATTTACCAAACCCATGAAATGATTTTTTGAAATATCGAGTTAAAGATTAAAGCAAATTTAGGCCTACCTGATCTCCAGAAATTCATCCAAATATGATTTGTACTGTTTATCCTTCTCATCAATATTTTTCATATATCTGTTTTATTACATAGAGATGTTTACAAACAAGCAATATCATAGTATATAGATATTGAATACAATATTTCTCCACTATATTACAATATTCATGATTTTTCCTTTTCTGCCAACATTCAACATTAGATAACCAGATTATGCCATAAGCCATATAAGAAAATACACAGATCAGAACTGAATCATACAGAGTAATATTCAACAATATGAATTATGTATGTTAGCCAGCACTTTTCAGAGACAAATCAGTATATCTAAAAGAAAACAATTCAGCCTATTTTTGACAACATCATAAACTATGTCGGTATATACTAATATTAATAATATTAATAAAACAACTTATCCAATTGTTCTATAGACTGAGTGGCAGGTAGAATTACTAGCACAACTAACATTTCTAGGATAAAAATATGAAGAAACAAGGAGCTTTTTGCAAGTTTTCATTATTTTGTACGATAGAACATTGAAAATGCCTTAATATTTAGTCAGCTAGAATACTATACCATTAAAGTGATTTGAGAATCAATTTTACTATAATGGTTAATGTGCTTGCCTAAAAACCAGGGGATTGTGAGTGCTAGACCTCCCTTATGCGTAAAAATTGGCTGGACGACTGGGCCAGTCACTCACCTCTCAAGGTTATTGTGGGAAAAGGAGGCATCAGAAGTATTAGATACGTTTGTGCCTTGAGTTGAGCAAAAAAGTATGTATGCATGTGTTTGTACATGTAAGGGCTAAAAATCTAATTATAATAATGATGATGATGTAACCTGAAGGCAGGTTGTGAATGGGATCGTTCTTCTCTGAGATTGAATATACACCATTTTATTTTTTGTGTAACCCCTTGATACAGGTAGTCCTTAGAGTTATGACCTCTCGTCCACAGAATATTCAAATTTATGACAATGCTGAACAAGGAGAACTTACAATATATCGTCAGCCATCATAGGGAGCTGAAGTCATGTGATCATGATTTCTGACATCCCCTGCCACCTTCCCACAAGCAAAGTCAATGGGGAAGCTGACAGGAAGTTTCAGTCCAGAGAAGACTTCATTTAATGATCCAAGTGGTCCTCCCTTTAACAATAGTAACTGGTGGAATTGCCATCACTAAGTGATGTGGTCATGTGCTGTTGTGCTTTATGATCACATCACTTAGCAATGGCAATTTTAGCCTCAATTGTCATCATAACCCAAGGACCACCTATATTCAGAAGCAAACTAAAATTTGCAAAAATACGTAAATCTGAAGTCCACTGTAATCCTAACTCTAACCTCTCACCACCTAAACATATTTTCATTTTCAGAATAAACGTACGTTTCATTGGTTTCTATTAGCTTTCTGATTTTATTTTTTCCTGCTTTTAATCCTTCTTGTTTTTCTTTTTTTTCTTGCTGCCATTTTTTAAAGTTCACTTCTGCATCTTGATGAAACCAATCCAATTCTCTCTTGCTGAGCTGTAAAACAAACAATATTTTCCCACACACAACATAATAGAATGTTTTCTTAAAACAAAATATCCAAATTTGAATTTTAAAAAACAGTGTTTAGAAATTATTTGGATTTTTAAAAAAAGTGATATGTAAAATTATTAAAGTACATCTGAAAAGAAAATATATTTTTGCTATGCAAGTAAAGTGACTGTTTTTAGTCACTTTGCTACATAACAAAAGAAATAAAAACTCTTAAGTATCTGCTTTTCAGGATAATAGAAACTTTAACTACAGTAGTAACAGCATTAGCACTTAGACTTGTATACCGCTTCACAATGCTTTACAGACCTCTGTAAACTCTTTACAGAGTCAGCATATTGCCCCCAATAATCTAGGTCCTCATTTTAACGACCTCAGAAGGATGAAAGACTGAGTCAACCTTGAGCTGATGAGAATCGAACTGCTGGTAGCCGGCGATCAGCAGAGGTAGCCTGCAGTACTGCATTCTAACCACTGTGCCACCACAGCTCATTACAGTATTAAGCAGCATTTTTTTCTTTTAAGATGTACATTCATAATTTAATGTAATAATCTTCCATCTTGCAGTGAAAAAGGCTTTAAAATAATATCATTTCAAATACATTGAATTATAATGGCAATTTTTTTTTCAGCAAAAGATTAAAAAAGCCACAAAATACAGCTGGCCATATAACTGTACAATAATAGTGGCAACCGTGATGATGGCCAGTTTTCCTTCCCTTTATATGTATAATTGCTAATGATGAAAAATAATTACCTTGTTTCCTTCAATAAGTAGTGATAACTCTTCCTCTAAAATACTGATCTCTTTGGAACTTCGACATTTAAGTTGTTCATACTTTTCAATTGCTTCTTTAAGTTGTTTTTGTAGTACATGATGTTCTTTCTCCATACGTAACATATCTCCCTGCAAAATATGTTACATCTTATATTCCTACAATGTTTTAATCAGTTTGCATAACCATAAAAAACACCAATAACTAATTTAAAATTATTATTGCTGCCATAGATAAAAAGTAAATATTCTTTTATCTACAGATTTCCATTTAAAAATAATTTGATAATCTAAGAGTATGTTAAAGTAGTACAATTTTTGATACAAGAATCTGATTTCCCTCTCCTAAGATAAAACAGGAATTTAAATAGCAGGCCAGCAATTAATGTGATCTTACATATTACACATATTTCTCTAAATCTGAAGTCAACCAAATAAATGTACTAAGATTGGCAATTTCAGTTAGGAAGTTTTAAAAAGCAACATTTTCTTTATTATTACAGTAGTTTCAATAGAAACTATGGTAACTTATAACAACAATTGAGCTCCGAATCATGATTGTTGAGTGAAGCAGTCATTAAGAGGGACTTCCATGTAACTGTCCATATGACTGCTTGGCTCAATTACTGCAATCCTGGCACTCGTTTCTGAACTCCACAGGAGGATGTCAGTTTCCTGCATGCAGAAGAGAATTCCTGATATGAAGATTGAATTACAGTATTATGATCTGAGCTCCATTTCTCCACCCTTCCGAAGGAATTCAGCATCCCTTGGCAAGTAGCTCTTTCAGCCACCCTTCAGAGACAATAGGGAATCCTCTCTGCTGCCTCCATTAATTTTCTAGGGAACCCAGAAGAGAACATTGCAAATGTCAATCACATCATCGTAGGGCACTGGGAAACCCGGGTGTGCCAACAGGTTGCCAAGCACCCAGATTGTGATTATATGACTCCATGGAAGGGGGAGTATAGCAGGAGCAATAGCACTAGACTTACCATATTTTTCGGAGTATAAAACGCACCGGAGTATAAGACGCACCTACCTTTTTTGGTGAGGAAAAGAAGAAAAAAGAAATCTCCCTCTGCCTCTGAGCAATTTTGCCTTGTTGCAGCAAACAGCAAACAGCCTGCTTTACTTTCATTTTCGTTTTCAGCATAGCTTGATTAGCAGAAGGGGGAAAAAATCTGCTCCAGCAATTTACCTCTTTGCAGCAAGCAGCAGAGCCCTGCGCAAAACAGCTGAGAGCAAATCAGCTGAGAGTCGGGAGGCTGATCCAATCAACTTGTGCTAATTAGGCTGTGCTGAAGAGGAAAGGAGCTGTTTTTTCTTGCTATTTGCTTGCAAGGAGGTAACTGCTGCGAGGCAGAGGCCAAAGGGTGGGGGCCAGTGGGTGGGCGGGGCTACATTCGGTGTATAAGACACACCTAAATTTTCACCCTCTTTTAGGGGGGGAAAAGGTGCATTTTATACTCTGAAAAATACAGTATATACCGCTTCACAGTGCTTTACAACCCTCTCTAAGCGGTTTACAGCATCAACATATTGCCCTCAACAATCTTGATCCTCATTTTACCAACCTTGGAAGAATGAAAGGCTGAGTCAACCTTGAGCCTGATGATATTTGAACTGCCAAATTGCAGGCAGCCTGCAGGCAGCAGAAGTAACTGCAGTACTGCATTCTAACCACTGCACCACCACGGCTCAACGTTTTACAACAGCCAGTAATGATTTCTGAGGTCATTGTTAACTTCAAATGGTTGTTAAACAACTGGTCATAAAACAAGGATTACCAATAACTCAACCTTGCTGGACATTCTTTCTATATCTGATAGTTTACTTACTTGTTGGCTTTCATAAGGATGAAGAGGTAAAGTATTAACTCCAGCATCTGTTAGTTCTTGATCCACCTGCAATGTAAAGGCCCAAAAATACTTTCAACAGAGCATATATATATTTATTATAATCTTCAGTACGGAACATATTCAGAACTCTTAAAGTATGACAGACAACATAAAGATAAGCAACTATATGGCAAAGAGAATAGTTCTGATATTTACAAAGAAAAAGAAGGAGTTGATAAATTACTGAAAGATAATAATGCAGAAAGATGTTACTTGGCTTTACAAGTAGTCCTCATTCTCAAAAGTAGAAAACAATGGGGAAAATGCACCATCACCAGATATTGGAGATATTACAAAGATAGTTGGAGGGATGGGCTGAGTTGGTAAACCCTGACTGAATTCAAATGTGCTCACCATGGCTAAGATACTTAAGGAAAATCAGGTGCAGGACTGGTTGTAGGAGCATAGATTCCATGTGGTAAAGGGGGAGGAAGAAGAGGAAAGGCAATATAAGCTTTTCCTATTCATCCTGGAACAACCCCCAATTTTTTCCCAAGTCAAACTAAGAAATTCCAAGCAACTGAGAACTGTCAGATTGAACTTCCAAGATGTAGCTGTTGTTCTAAGCACAAAATATGTTTATTGCTTTTGGTGCATTTTGATTATAATACTGAGCAGAAGAGACGTCAACAAGAACCCTAAAGCATCAAAGAAGCTTATATTTTTATTCTACTTTGACAATGACCAGATCTTTGGACTATGAAGGTACAGGGCTGTAGCTACCGTATTTTTCAGAGTATAAAATGCACCGGAATATAAGGCGCACCTTAGCTTTTGGGAAGGAAAATAAGAAAAAAGCTGATTGGCAGGTGGATCTGCCTCCCGGAATACCTCCAATCAGCTGTTCCCAGAGGTGAATTTTAGCAATAGGTTCCTTGGTTGTGAGCTCTGTGCCTTGTTTTTTTTTTTTTTTTTTTTGCTTTTTTTTCTGCCTCTGAAACTTCTGGAACTCTGTTTCAGAAAAAACTTTCTTTTCTGCCTCTGAAATCCTCCGAAACAGAGCTTCAGAAAAAAAGCCTCTGAAGCTCTGTTTGGGGGCTTCTTTTCTGAAGCTTCATTTCTGATGCTTTTTTCAGCCTCTGAAACTTCCATTGAGAAGTTGGGCAGGGCTACATTCAGAGTATAAAACGCACCCAGATTTTCACCCTCTTTTTTGGGAGAAAAAGGTGCGTCTTATACTCCAAAAAATACGGTAGGTAGGGTTTTTTTTTTATGCTTCCTGCTAGGCTAAGAATAAAGGCTCTTCCTAGAAGAATGTTGAAATGGGAGATGGGGTTGGCAGCATTTTACCATATGAAATGAGAATGGAAACTTTCATTTGATTTGAAGCCTATGTTCTCTGTAAGAAAATGCATACCAGCAGGGGAGCAAACCAAATATGGGTGAGGCAAATCATCTTTTTAAAAAAATCTCCTTGTATTCTGGCCTACCACCATTGAGATCTGATTCATCGCTTCCAAAGAGCATTTGAAGCAGAATCACACAGCTTGTGTATACCAAAATACAAAAAATCCATTACTTGAGCGGCACTTGATTTTTCAGTAATTAGGCATATGCAATTAGCCGGTACATTTGAGATGCATCAAAATCAAACCAATGTCTATCAGTATAATGTGCAAACCGATCCTTACAGATTCTGTTTTGTCTGAAACCCAGAACAAATAAAATGTTCCATGTGTTGTTTCTGTCACACTATAACCATTCTAGAAGGGTTTGGCAAGAGGAAGAAAGTATTAGTTAATTAATATGCACAACATAATGTATTTTTCTCACCTGTATAGCAATCATCCTTGAACGGGGATTGTTTCTTGCTGATTTATTCTCTGTTTTCATTTTGGTAACAGAACTGCATTCAGCATCATTACAACAATGGTCCTCAATCTGGTCAAGATTATCTTTGCAAGTGTGAATGTCCAATTTCACTGCTATGCAAGGATTGTTCTGAAATGTATGTACTTGATCAACTGTGGTAAATTTATCAGCATTACCCTTGCTATGTGTTGCTTCTGAATCAGTATCAAAATAAGCATTATAATCTGCATATATATAACTGGTTTGCTCAGAAATATCTGGCATAAATGGCACTTGAGTAAAAACTGGAGATAGTCTCTCATTTACATATTCTGAATGAATTTCATTCAGAAATATTGTATGATTGTCAGATACAGTTGGAGACAAAGATACATTTGCCGCTGGTGCAGTGTCAGTTGTCTGACTAGAAAAGGAATATGAGGAAGCAAAAGGACTAAATGAGGAATGGCTAGTAGTCACATATTCTAAATTATTTGTAGATGTTGAAATATAAGGCTTATTAATAAAAGAGACAGGCTTAAATTCCTTAGCAGTTGGATTTAAACTGGAACTGCTATGGAAATTGTTTTCTTGACAGTACAGGCTCTCTGAGTAATTGTTTTCATCAATTTCAATGATTTCTGTATTTTCCTGCAGCATAATTGCGTGTTTCATCAATCCAATAAGATCATCTACCATAACAAAACGTAGAGATCCCAGAAGAAAAGATTTTAGACCACCAGCATTGTCCACTATCCTACGAGTATCTGTGGGGAAATCTTCATATTCCCCAACTAATAGTGGATTATCAATTTCCATGGGACCATGTTCTTCCAAGATTTGAGAAAAATAGCTGTGAAAGTAATCAAAATATAATTTTAATATCAAAATAAGCATTCATAATCTGTATATATGCAATTAGATTGCTCAAAAGTGTCTAGAACAATTGACAATTATATTCCAAAGAAGCTGCATTCAGAAATATTGCATATTATTCAAATAGATGGAGGCAAAAAAAAAACAGTATTTGCTATAGGAATGATGCAGCCATAAAGTCATCTGTTTGTTACTGGTTTACTTTTTAAATGCTCATTGTTACAAGAGTAACACAGCATGGAAATCTTAAGAATTCCAGTTTGAAATATAAAAATATCTATAAATTAGAAAATAGACTTTATGTCATTTTGTATTAAACACTACAGGGCTTTCCAAATATCACATGCTGCGGGAGAAGTTGGACAGTTTTCTTCATATTGTAGCATTGTCTGAATGCATCCTGAAATACCCACACATTTGAAAGGAAGTGTTATAAAGGAATGGCTCAGTTCAAGTATTAAACAAACATGCAGAGATTTCAAAGAAGTAGTCTTCTGGGACTGCCCCGCTTCCCTTTCCATATTGCTAGTACAAACATGGTCAAAAGAGAACTGTAAACAAAGCTCAATGTTTGAACCCAACACAATGCTACTTGTTCTATAAAGACAATTTGCAACTTAAGGCAATTAAACTTTGTATTAAATCCTGGTATAGGGAGCATCAGATACTTTCATATATTGGTGCCAAGCTATAACAGGTGGACATAGTTGGGATAAATACTTTACTGGCAATTAAAAAACAATTGCTACCAACCTGCCTTTTATTGATGATCTGCATACTGCATGAGTCAAAAAGAGGGCTGTGAAAATATCTACAGACCCCTCACATCCTGGACATAAACTGTTTCAACTTCTACTCTCAAAACGACGCTATAGGGCACTGCACACCAGAACAACTAGACACAAGGACAGTTTTTTCCCAAATGCCATAACTCTGCTTAACAACTAATTCCCACAACACTGTCAAATAATTTACTAAGACTGTATTATTATTATTATTCTCTTCCTTACTAGTACCTATCTCTTCCCACTTATTACTATAACTATCTTGCTTATATCTCTCAATTTATATTGTTTTGATATGATTTGATAGCTTATTAGTAACCTTGACTATCACTAAGTGTTGTATCATTTTATTCTTGATGATGTATTTTATTCTCATGTACATTGAGAGCATATACAATAAAGACAAATTCCCTGTGTGTCCAATCACATTTGGCCAATAAAGAATTCTATTCTATTCTATTCTATTCTATTCTATTCTATTCTATTCTATCCTATTCTATTCTCTATTCTCTATTCTATTCTAAATTTCCAACAAAAAATAAGTTAATATAAACAGTAACTGGATTGACATAAAGGAAAATGGAAACAGTAACTGGATTGACATAAAGGATAAAGAACCATCTCACAAAGGCAGCATACAAGAAATAAAATGTTCCAAAGGATTCCCAGTAACAAATGATCTTAAAAGCTAACTTAGATCAGTCACATAGCAATCCATTGCTTTGCTTTAAAAAAAGAAAGTAAGGCACATTTGAAACAGATCCTTGGGAGGCTTCAATAGAAGATTTAGAAAAGAATGTCTCTTCATAAATTTAGCAAAAATACAAATGGGTTAGCTTGTAACAAAATAGCAATTGTAATTCAATCAAACGCTTACTCCAATCTTTTTGTTTAATAAGTAGCACTCACTAAAAAGCTAAAATAAGAACATACTCATATAAGCTTTCACAAGTTGGATCTGGGTAATTGTCCAAAATTGTCTGATAACTGTTGTTAGATGAAGCAGTATTATACAACGCTTCAAATATCATAACTTGTTCATGAAGATCATCTGGGATTCTAAAAGGCTCATGTGGATTCATAAAACTTCTGTTGAGAAAAAAAACCCATGTAAAAAATAATGCACTGTAAACCATGGTGTGTCTAAATAGTTTATAGTTAAATTGTTCGATCAGACCACTACAATGAGAATTCTCAGTATGACAAAATGAAAATAGGCCAATAGTTTATTATACTAGTTGCAAACTAATCTTAATTCCAATGTACAATTACCATATTTTTCGGACTACAAGACGCACTGGAATATCTGACGCACCTAGATTTCGAACAGGAAAACAAGAAAAAAATAGTTTTTGGCCTTCCATGCGTCCGGTTTTTGCCTTCCCGAGCCCCCAGGAACACTCTGCAGGCCTCCCAAACCGTCTATGCATGCTGTTTTTGCAAAAAATGGGCCAGTTTGTGCGAAAAATAGGCCCTTTTTGGCCTCCAGAACCCCACACATGTCCCGTTTTTGCCCTCAGCAGCCCCCAGGAGCACTCTGCAGGCCTCCCAAACCCTCTGTGCGTCCCGTTTTTGCGAAAAATGGGCCTGTTTTTGGCAAAAACGGGACAAGCGAGAGGGGGTTCAGGAGGACAAAACCAGGGCTGTATTCCGTCTATAAGACGCACTGACATTTACACCCACTTTTTTTTTGAGGGGGCAGAAGTGTGTTTTATAGTCCTAAAAATACGGTACATTATGAGCACTAACTGGAAAAGACAAATGCATCTTTCCATTTCAATGGTGGAATGAAACCCTTTTTGCAGGTTCTTTTACAAATTTACTAGAGCAGAGATTAATCAGGATTTTTTCACAATATTTCTGTGGGCTGCTGACAGAGTTGATTCTTATATAGTCTAAAGACTTTCCTCAAGGTACAAAGAGAATTAAGAAATAATTATTTGATTGTATATTCTAGTGCCTCTCCAACAGTGAAGAACTGTTTGATCCAGCATAAATTTCCCTTAGCAAAATAGAAAAGGAAGCAATATTTTGTTGAACTCCTCTCCCTCATTCATTATTCTCTATTCTATTTCTAAACAGTTTCCAAAAGGAAGCAGAATATCAGCAAAAGCTGCCTTATATCTTTTCCTTTTGAGGGAAGCCTTTGCAAATCAAGGAGCTTTTCACTGTCAAAGGGAAATGACACATAAAATGTATGTCTTACATTGGGTAGGGCACTGTATGTTTTAGATGCTTTAAAGACAGATTATGAACATATATTGTGTGTGTGTGTGTGTGTGTGTGTGTGTGTGTGTGTGTTTTCATAGATTTTCACGGGTAGAGGTATGCAAGTCTTGGTGTGTTCGGGTCTTTTCCCTGTAAGATTGAGAGTATTTTGGGACCTCGTCAAAAACATCGCCAAGATACTCTCAATCTTTCATGGGAAAGACCCGAATACGCCATTACTTGCATATATATTCTTTCTAGCCAGGTTTTACCTACGTAAGCTAAGATGTTCTGCAGCCCTGGTTCTGTGAAATCTCATTCACAAGTTTCTGGGCTTTTTGTATCTTGCTGACAAACAGCAACTCTGTGCTGCTCATTGGGAGACTCAATAGCTATTTCTGCCTTGTAAGGCGTCATCAGTGAGCCATCTTCTCAAGTATCCTCCCTGTAAAGGTACGTTTCTTGTAGGCTTTTTATGTGCATATTCTTTTTAGCCAGGTTTTACCTACGTAAGCTAAGATGTTCTGCAGCCCTGGTTCTGTGAAATCTCATTCACAAGTTTCTGGCTTTTTGTATCTTGCTGACAAACAGCAACTCTGTGCTGTTCATTGGAGACTCAGATAGCTATTTCTGCCTTGTAAGGCGTCATCAGTGAGCCACACCCTCTCTCAAGTATCCTCCCTGTAAAGGTACAATGTTTCTTTTTCTTTTTCGTAGGCTTTTATGTGCATACTCTTTCTAGCCAGGTTTTACCTATGTAAGCTAAATGTTCTGCAGCCCTGGTTCTGTGAAATCTCATTCACAAGTTCATCTTCGTAAATCTCATTCACAAGTTCATCTTCAACTTCATCTATGTAAGCTAAGATGTTCAGAAATACACATAAAACGTACGAAAAAGAAACACACACACACACATATATATATATTTATTTTTCGTAGGCTTTTATGTGCATATTCTTTCTAGCCAGGATTTACCTACGTAAGCTAAGATGTTCTTATAAGGCCTCATCAGTTAGCCACACCCTCATCTCATGTATCCTCCCTGTAAAGGTACAATATTTGTTTTTCTTTCTTTTTCGTAGGTTTTATGTGTATTTCTCTTTAGCCAGGTTTTACCTATGTAAACCAAGATATTATGCAGCCTTAGTTCAGTGAAATAATAAGGCCGAAATAGATCTATCTTAGTCTCCCAATGGGCAGCAAAGGGTCTGCTGGCTGCCAGAAGTAAAAAAGCCCAGAAACTAGTGAATTGTGATTTCACTGAACTAGGGCTGCATAATATCTTGGTTTATGTAGGTAGAACCTGGCTAAAGAGAAATATACACATACAGTTGCAAGAAAAAGTATGTGAACCTCTTGGGATTACGTGGAGTTTTGCATGAATTGGTCATAAAATGTGCTCTGAGCTTCATCTAAGTCACAACAATAGAAAAACACAGTCTGCTTAAAATAATACTACACAAACATTAGATGTTGCCATGGTTTAATTGAACATAACATGTAAACATTCACAGTGCAGGGAGGAAAAAGTATGTGAGCCCCTAGCCTAATGACTTCTCCAAGAGCTAATTGGAGCCAGGAGTGAGCCAAGCTTGACTCCAATCAGTGTGATGATATTGGATGTGTTGCTGACAGCTGTCCTGCCCTTTAAAAACACACACCTGTTTTGGGTTTACTGGTTTCAAGAAGCACTGTCTGATGTGAACCATGCCTCGCAGAAAAGAGCTCTCAGAAGACCTACGATCAAAAATTGTTGACTTGCATGAAGCTGGAAAGGGTTACAAAAGTATCTCCAAAAGCCTTGATGTTCATGTGTCCACGGTAACACAGACTGTCTACAAATGGAGAAAGTTTAGCACTGTTGCTACTCTCCCTAGGCGTGGTCGTCCTGTAAAAATGACTGCAAGAGCACAGCGCAGAATGCTTCATGAGGTAAAGAAGAATCCTAGAGTGTCAGCTAAAGACCTACAGAAATCTCTGGCACATGCTAACATTTTTGTTGACACATCTACAATAAGGAAAACATTAAAAAAGAATGGAGTACATGGGAGGACACCACGGAGGAAGCCATTGCTGTCCAAAAAAAATATTGCAGCATGTTTGCAGTTTGCAAAAGAGCACCTGGATGTTCCACAGCACTACTGGCAAAATATACTGTGGACAGATGAAACCAAAATTGAGTTGTTTGGGAAGAACACACAACACTATGTGTGGAGAAAAAAAGGCACAGCACACCAACATCAAAACCTCATCCCCACTGTAAAACATGGCGGAGGGAGCATCATGGTTTGGGGCTGCTTTGCTGCCTCAGGGCCTGGATGGATTGTTGTCATTGATGGGAAAATGAATTCCAGAGTTTATCAAGACATTTTGCAGGAAAACCTACGACCATCTGTCTGCCAACTAAAGCTCCGCAGAGGATGGGTGATGCAACAGGACAATGACCCAAAGCATACAAGTAATTCAACAAAAAAATGGCTTCAACAGCACAGAATATGCCTTCTGGACTGGCCCAGTCAGAGTCCTGACCTCAACCCGATTGAAATGCTGTGGCATGACTTTAAGAGAGCGATTCACACCAGACATCCCAAGAATATTGCTACACTGAAACAGTTTTGTGAAGAGGAGTGGTCCAAAATTACTCCATATGGTTGTGCAGATCTGATCTGCAACTACAGGAAACGTTTGGTTGAGATTATTGCTGCCAAAGGAGGGACAACCAGTTATTAAGTCCAAAGGTTCACATACTTTTTCCTCCCTGCACTGTGAATGTTTACATGTTATGTTCAATTAAACCATGGCAACATCTAATGTTTGTGTAGTATTATTTTAAGCAGACTCTGTTTTTCTATTGTTGTGACTTAGATGAAGTTCAGAGCACATTTTATGACCAATTCATGCAAAACTCCACATAATCCCAAGGGGTTCACATACTTTTTCTTGCAATTGTATATGTATGTATGTATGTATGTATGTATGTATGTATGTATGTATGTATGTATTTCCCACTCAAAAAATTATTTATCTGAATATAATTAAGATTAGATTTTTGAAGAATGCATTTTCATGCACCACTACTTACAATGAATTTTCTTCAGAAAATATATTGTCTTCTTCTTGAGTTACTGTACCAACTCCACCAGAGACAACTAAAATAGCCTAAATTAAGAACAGAAAAACTTGTTTAAAAGTAAAAACTAGGCAAACTATAATTAAAATTGACAAACCTTACTTGCATACTACAAACATCTTTGAATACATGAGTAAGAAATAGTATTTTATATCCGCAGAATTGATCAAAAATATTTCTCAAAACTAGATATACATTTTAAGAAAAATGCCAATTGTTGTTCCTTTTGCACTGAATTTTGACATTATTTACAACTGCAGCCAACTTCAGTTGAACTTGGGAGCAAAAAGGATTAAAGCTGTGATGGCGAACCTATGGCATGTGTGCCAGAGGTGGCATGCAGAGCTCTCTCTGACGGCACATCGCCGCAGTTCAGCTCTGTTGCACATGCGTGCGCGCCTCCCGCTGGCCAGCTGGTCTTCAGCTCTCTGCCATGCATGCGTGGGGGGCAGCATGTGCATGCGCAGGGGACAGGGTGCACACGGGGTGCATGTGGGGTGTGTGCACATGCGTGGGGGCACGCATTTGGTGGCCGGCATGCATGCATGGGGGTGCATGCGGGGTTGCCTGCGGGAGATGTGTGCGCATGGGGGCATGGGGGGGTTCGTGCGCATGCACAAGGCCCATATGCATTGCATTTTGGGGGTTCAGGTGCACTTGCGCACGCACGCTTTGGGCACTCAATCCGGAAAAGGTTAGTCATCACTGGACTAAAGTATTAATGATTGCTGTGGGAACTACTTTTAGCTAACTCTTCAGGTATTATCCTGATGATTATTGATGAATAAAATCCAATTAGAACTGCTTTGTTTGCTTTGTTCCAGCCAAGACTTCGTTTACCAAATGAATTATGACTTAAGCTTTTGCGTCTTATCATTTGTAAAATTATGTAACATTAACTTAAGGCTCATCATTTATCCTTCTGAGTAAGTTTTTTTTTTTTTACGATGGATATTTTTGAGCACTTTCATAAATCACAATAATTCAACAGTGTTGAAATTATTAAGTTGCATTTCAATTAGAATATAAAAATATTTAAAAGCCAAAGCTTTCTTCTCATCAGACAGAAGTGCCCATTTAACATATCTTCTGCCAACATTTTGGAAATACCTTTAAAGTATTTTTTTTCCTCTGAAAAAAAATACACATATTTTTAAACAAATATATTAATATGAGTTTTTAATTAGCTGGATTTTTTCCCTTATATTCTTAAAACCCTAAACAGCCAAAAATTGAGTATCAACGTAAGTTCAGAGCTAAATATTTTTGGAAGAACTGAAATAAGGACATGGTGGTACCTTGGTACTCATCCGGGATTCGTTCTGGGAGGTGCAACAAGTACTAAAAACAACAGATACCCAGCAAACCACATGACTTACCCCATTTATTTCAGCCAGAAGTAGTAAGTCACGAGGCAGCCAATGCTAGCAAGTTTTATCTTGCACATCAAATACCAGGAGAAAGATGACTACTAGGACAAGATTTTTGCTTCAAAATGTATTGAGTACCCAATTCGACAAATTTTGAAGCAGTCAAGTACCAAGGTACCATTACACATTGTTTTTGAAACACAAAATAAAACAAAACATACAAAAATGGTCTCCAACCACTAAGCAGAGAGAAATGTAAAGAAAACAAAGCAGATGATGTTTGTTAGATTTAATATTGTGGATGTATTTTAAAACTATTTACCTTGGATTCTTTTGATTTTTTCCTGTTTTTATTTTTAACTTTGATAGCATTATTCTACAAGAAAAAATAAATTTAATGTTTAGCATTTACCATGTCACATCAATATATTACACGGAAAAAAACTGCTTTTTTTTTCAGGATAATGGTTATTTTAAAAAATTTGGAACTGTTGGGAACATTATGGGCTTCAGTATTGAACAATAAGGAAAAAAACGCAGTGATCACTGATGTCAAAACATTACAATTATATATGAGAAATAAACAGACCCAATATACTGGCTGTTTGTTAATTGTGTAAATAAGAAAACAGAAACCTTGAATATATAGATGAACTGTGCTGAATCAGGTCAAAGACCCAGCTTCCAGCATTCTGTTCCCAGAGTGGCCCATCAAATGCTCTTTGATTCTCATAAGGTAAACACAAGTTTACCTCTCTCCTTTCTAATTTATTATATCTAAGACAAAACTGACAAAGCCTACTTGGGATTAAAATAATACATGCAATGTGACACCAAATCTAAAATTAATAGGAAGATTAACATTGTCTATTTCTTCTAAACTACTTCAAATTATTATTGTATTTTTCGGAATATAAGACGCACCTTAGTTTTGGGGAGGAAAATAAGAAAAAAAACTGATTGGTGGGTTGATCAGCCTCCCGGAATACTCCCAATCAGCTGTTCCCAGTGGTGAATTTTAGCAACAGGTTCATTGGTTGTAAACTCTGTGCCTTGCTTTTTCTTCTGCCTCTGAAACTTCTGAAACTCAGTTTCAGAAAAAACTTTTTTTTTCTGCCTCTGAAAGCCTCCGAAACAGAGCTTCAGAAAAAAAGGCTTTTTTTCTGAAGCTCTGTTTGGAGGCTTTTTTTCTGAAGCTTCTTTCAGAGGCTTTTATTTTGAAGAACTATCTGTACTCTGTTCAATCTCCTTTCTTTGGTATTGGTATGTACATTAATCTCTTCCGATCTGTTGCTTATTGTGTCATTCTCCAGATTTATTAGCATAGTTTGGTTAGAATCTTCATTGATTATTCTTTTGTTGCTTGCCATATTATGTTAGATAAAAGCCTTTCTGAGGCTTTTTTTCTGAAGCTTCTTTCAGCCTCTGAAATCTCTGTTTGGGAGGCTGGGCGGGGCTACATTCAGAGTATAAGACACACCCAGATTTTCACCCTCTTTTTTGGGGGGAAAAAGGTGCGTCTTATACTCCGAAAAATACAGCAATTCATTCACATTTTAATTGCAACTGAAATAAACAGAAAAAACAAACTTACTGAAGTAGTTTCAGTATATTCCTTCTTTAATACAATAAAAGGATTATCTATTGAAAAAATAAATTTTATTTATTTAAGAAAATATACAAAAAGCACAAAACATTATAAAGTATTCTTTTAAAAAAACACTAAATTCCAGGACTCACTTCATTCGGATAACACTTATGCTTTTATAGTCAGAATACAACAGTTATTCAAATAAGTGAATTAAAGACAAACAATAATTTCAGTACAATACACAAAATAGGCTTAGATGGGATTCTTCATACCTATGACTACAGAAATCAATAAACCAGCAAACCTGCCATTATATACACAACAAACATACAACTAAATCATAGTCAATGGTATAATCAAAATAAACGTCCATCCCCATCAAAGACGTGCTGAGAGTTTATATACCCAACAATACCTATACATTGTTAGTTTGCCTAATCTCTATATCTGCATCACAATCTACCCCTCACCCAAAACATTACTATTTGTAATATTATGTGGGAAAATCTTGGGAGGAAAAGCCACAGCCTAGGCTGTGATGGCGAACCTATGGCACACGTGCCGGAAATGGAACGCAGAGCCATCTCTCCAGGCACGCAAGCCGTCACCTGTTGCTCTTCCGGATTCCGGCGCACTGGCCAGCTGGTCTTTACGTGCATGGGAGCACCAGAAACCAGAAGACCAGCCACCCGGCACGCACATGTGCACCAGGTGGCTGCTCTTCTGATTTCTGGCATGGGTGCATGCTCCCGTTTCATCACACAGTGCCGAAAAGGTTCTCCAACATTGGCCTAGGCAATGGTCTGATAAATGAAATGTGACACTAAAATAGAGGGGCACTGAACTTTTTTCAGAAGAGACCTTCCCTCATATTTGGGAGAGTAAAAGTGAGCGAGAGGAGGAGTACTTTCAGACTTGCAAGGCTTTGGTAAAGTAAACTTACAGCAAAAACAGAGCTAGCACTCCTGTGGGTGCTTCCTGTCTAGCCTGACATTACCTGAAAAATCAGCTATTCCTTTCTGCCAAGTTATTTCTGGGGATTTCTTTCAAATTGGTGATAAGTATTTCATAAGAGTGCCTTTTATGCATCCTTGCACACTTACCCAGGTTATCAAAATAGTCATCTAAACATTGATGAAGAAATGGGAAACATTGTCTATTTTCTTCTAATAACCACACTAAGTAGCGAAGTTCCGTAAGTGACAATTCTTCTAAGTATTCTATTATTTCATGTGCATCTTCAGATAAGCAGGTGAATGTTTTGCTGAGTTTAATACCATATTTCTCATTCCAGAGGACTGCTACTGAATTAAAATCAATCTGTAGAATGTAAGTTATATATTCTGAGAGAAAAAATTCAGTAGCTTTTAAACCTGAAAAATAATAGAAATAGTAATAATAATAGCACAGTAGAACTAATAAGGTTCATGTGAAGATTATCATTTATCATTTGGTTTACATTTATCTCTCTCTCTTTCTGTGTGTGGGGGGCATGTTTGTGTGTGTTTGAGTGATAACCTGCTTATTTTGGGAAGTTTTGAATATTCTTAAATACTTTTTGGAGAACATATTTGAGAATGCTATACTAGAGAACATTACATTAATTGCTATTTTCATATTACTATTGTATTTTACTTTTGCACTCTTTTTCCTAAAGAGATACAAAAATAATAAAAACCTTCAATTAAAAAAAAAACCATTTACCCTTTTGAAATAGAAGTTAATTATGATGGAGATACTGTACATGCTGTATTCTACAAAATAAATAAAATAACTTTAATTTACATATAGTTTCTGGAAACATTCTGATTTTAGATTAATCATAATAAAAATGGCATAGATTTTAAGGGAGAAAGAAAATCAGCAGAGTAAAATAAATGTGATAATTTCCATCTAACTCCTGGTCCTCAATTGTCATAACAAATTAAAAATCTATACAGAAGACTATTCTTAAATCTGTTGAAAGCATGCCACTGCAAATAGCATATTATAACTAACAAATTAGAAAGAAGTTCTGACAAGAAACTTAGTAGAAAAAAATATTGGCAGCCAAGATACTTTTCTAGTCCCTCAAAAGATTTAATGTGACTGATTTTTAAGGGACTGTTTCTAGACTGTAGTTATGACAGGTGTAATTATACCTGCTTTAGAATAAACTTTATTATATATATATATGATGTGATGTGATGTCTCGCTGCCTGGAGGCCGTGCGGGTCTGGATGGGGAGGAACAGGCTCAGACTCAACCCTTCCAAGACCAAGCGGTTGTGGCTTCCGGCGTCCCGATATAGTCAGCAGGTGCCATCGCTGACTATTGGGGGTGAATCTTTGCCCCCCACAGAGAGGGCTCGCAATCTGGGTGTCCTCCTGGACGCACGGCTGTCTTTAGAAGAGCATATGACGGCCGTGGCCAGGGGGGCCTTTTATCAGGTTCGCCTGATTCGCCAGTTGCAGCCCTTTCTGGACCGGGATGCCCTGCGCACAGTCACTCATGCCCTTGTTACCTCCCGGTTGGACTATTGTAATGCTCTCTACATGGGGCTCCCCTTGAAGAGCACTCGGAGGCTCCAACTGGTCCAGAATGCAGCTGCGCAGGTGGTTATGGGTGCAACCCGTTGCGCCCACATGACACCCCTCCTGCGCGAGCTGCACTGGCTCCCAGTGGTCTTCCGGGTGCAATTCAAGGTGTTGGTCACCACCTTTAAAGCGCACCATGGCACAGGACCCGGGTACCTTCGAGACCGTCTTCTGCCACCGATAGCCTCCCACCGACCAGTCCGCTCCCACAGAGCGGGTCTCCTCAGGGTGCCATCGGCCAAGTCATGTCGGCTGGCGACACCCAGGGGGAGGGCCTTCTCTGTGGGAGCCCCAGCCCTGTGGAATGAACTGCCCCCGGAAATTCGTAAGATTTCTGACCTCCGGGTATTTCGCTGCGCACTCAAGACCCTGTTGTTCCGCCAGGCTGGGTTAGCAACATAATTTTAAATTGGATGTTTTAAATTTTTGGGGTTTTAAATTAAGACAAAATTATTTAATATTTTTAAATTATTTTAAATTGATGTTGATTCTGTTTTTAAATAGGCTGTACACTGCCCTGAGTCCTTCGGGAGAAGGGCGGTATAGAAATAAAATTATTATTATTATTATTATTATTATTATTATTATTATTATTATTATTTATTATTATTATTGTATGTATATGTATGTATGTATGTATGTATGTATGTATGTATGTATGTATATTTTCTTACTTCTTCGTAGGGTTTATGTGTGTTTTTCCTCTAGCCAGGTTTTCCCTACGTAACCAAGGTTTTTCTGCAGCCCCAGCTCAGTAGAATCACATCCACTCGATGCTGGGCTTTTTTCCTTTCTAGCAGCCAGAAAGCTCTTCCTGCTAGGTGGGAGACCTATATAGATCTATTTCCAGCTTTCATCAGTAGGCCACACCCACATCTTATGTATCCTCCCTGTAAAGGTATAGTATCTATTTTCTTACTTCTTCGTAGGGTTTATGTGTGTTTTTCCTCTAGCCAGGTTTTCCCTACATACCAAGGTTTTTCTGCAGCCCCAGCTCAGTAGAATCACATCCACTCGAGGGAAAACGTAAATATACATATACATATACATATACATATACATATACATATACATATACATATACATACATACATACATACATATATACATATATATATATATATTAGGCCTTTGAAAGATTTTAAGAGTCACTTCACAAAGCAGATTAGTGGAAATGACACTCCTTTCTTTGAAGCACTCCAGCAGTTGCACCCTTGCAAGGCTGCTTTGAAAGCTGTTCTGGATTATCTCCACTTGCCTGTGTGTTCAATAGACACTTTGCTTTGTTGGAAGTCCCAGTGCAGAGCACTAGGAGGCTGCCCACTGAGGGAATACCTTTTATAATATATTTAAATACAGGTAGTCTTCAACTTACAACCAAAACTGAGCCCAAAATTTTCGTTGCTAAGCAAGACAGTTGTTAAGTATACTTTGCCTCATTTTATGAACTTGCCACAGTTGTTAAGCGAATCACTGTAGCTGTTAGTAACATGGTTGTTAAGTGAATCTGGCTTCACCACTGACTTTGCTTGTCAGATCACAAGACCCCACAACATTGTAACAGTCATAAATATGAACCAGTTGCCAAGTACCCGCATTTTGATCTTGTGACATGGGGATATTGTAATGGTCATAAGTGTGAAAAACGGTCATAAGTTGCTTTTTTCAGTGCCATTGTTACGTTGAAGGTCACTAGCCAAATAGTTGTAAATCGGGGACTACCTGTAATAATCTTAACTTTCCTTAAGAACAAAGCATAAGGGAATTTGCAGATCAGAATTAATAAGAATAGTTCCAGGTTTACAACAGCTAAGAAATGTGTCTTCTTTAAGATAAACAAACCTCATTCATAAATTCCATGAGCTACAGTATTTATAGTCCTAGAATGAAACAATAAAGGATTTATTACAGGACTATAGAAAACATGACCATACCATTATTATCAAGATGTTTCATCCAATCATGTAGCTTAGGATCCACGTCTTCAAATTCACTTACAACATGTACAAAAATTCTTGTCTTCACTCTATCATTTTTAGCAATTAAAAAGCTTACGAGCTGGTCCATTATTTCAGCCGATGATAGACAACTTGTTGAAAAGAGTGCATAATCCTCTTCACTAAGTACCCACCATGAAAGCAATTCAATCAGAAGTTTGAAGGCATCACGTACACCATCTTGTATAGTCATTGTATATCGTCCAATAAGTTGTAGGATTGTATCCTCAACAAAAAAATTCTTTGGAATATTTCCTAAGATAAAGCAAATACTGTGATGGACAAACTTTGGTGATATAAACAAAGCATCAATATATAGTTATATGCAGATAGTCTCAAAAGAAAGATCTATATTCAGATACCTTTAAAGCTATCATCTTTTGCCACGTTACTTCTGTTAAATACTTCAAGATTTCTGAAGGAGACTGCTTCTTTTATAAATTTTCTTCTTAGTTTTTTCTCCTGTTTTACTTGTAACTTCCTAAAACTGATGCAAACAATTAAGACTGCGCCTTACAAGACATTTTTTTAAAAAAATTTGCTTTAACAATATAGGCATATAAGTCACCACTGAAAAGTCAAAACCATCAATGCTTGAAATATGCAAATACTCTTGCCCAATTGCTGTTAGAGAAAGCAAAGAGGAACTAGCCAAAGAGCTATGTGAGCGCAACAGGTATATGGACAGCTCCCAGTGAAGATGAAATTCAGAAGCACTTTGACAAGTACGTGACGTAATCTTTAAATATTAAAATGTGTCATCATTTATTAATTAAAAGGTACATGAACTTTAGTAACCTGGAAAATTGTCTGTAGCCTAATACGGGCTAATATGGACATTTAAGATTTACACAACTAATATACGCTTAATGAAATAATACATAAGATTCCAAAAGAACCACTTATAATGGCATCATTCCCACAAAGCTCTATTACATTCAACAGAATTAAACATGGTTAAGTAATTCTACAATCTGTGTAAATAATCATTAATAGAAGTCACAAATTTGTATGACTACTGATTGTATTTATACTATACTACTATGTCCCATTCACAACCAATATTCTTTTCCAAATGTAAATCCAATTAAAAATTAAAAAGTTGATAAATGCTGATTTTTACAGGGCTTAGAAACTTTTGAACATTATTACTCATTAGCTCAAAGTGACTTAGCGAAGTCCTATTAACCTTGATAGGTAATTCAAGGCTGGAGGATAAGAAATCAAAGTATCCAAAGTTATCACAGTCAAACTATCAGCAATACCTTTGTGTATCCCATTCTAAGAAATAGCATTTTTAATAACATTGCTAGTTCATCTCTTCTTACTGGGAATATGTTGTTAAAAAAACTATTACCTGCAGAGTTTGGAAACTTACCTTGAGCATTTCTGCTTTAGAACAGGCCTTGGAGGATTCTTGGTTATTATTTTATGTTCAAACTAGGAAAGCAAAAAATAACAGCTTCAAATATTCCTTTAATATTATGTTATTGTGTTTTTTAACATGAAGGAGATGCCGCTATGCTATAAGATTAATTCATATTAGTATGCTTTACTAGGACTACAAGTATTATTTCGTAAAATAAATTATACATTATTTTATTCAATGTTACAATATAGTTATGCAATAGATTCTTTTCATTTCAATGTTATCAGTGTTTTGCATCTCATCCGTCATTTTTCTCAACTATCAACATTAGCTGAAAATATTGTTATACAGGTAGCCTTCATTAATGATGGTCTTATTATCAATGGTTTTGCATCAGAGTTTTTTCTCCATCTCTGCAGTTGGAAAAAACCTCCCACCAAGCTTGTTATCCACAGTAAAGGGTTTTGCATATCAACAGTTTTGATAAGTGGTTTTGTTTAGAGGAGGACACTTGAAGTGGGTTTTTATGTGTGCATGTATTTTACAGCCACACAAAAAAGTGGATAGGCATTTCCTGCATGTGCAAGAACTACCCTTTTCAGGAATTCATCCACTGGAATGTCAGGATACATACAAAACCCACCTGTATAATTTTTCAGCAACAACCTAAGTTTTTTTTAACTATTCTTCCCAGCTAGCCTGATGTTTAAAAAGACTGCTACTCTTCAAACTGCATTTAAGTGATATGGGGCAAACTACATGCATATGTATTTCTTCTTTATTATTTGTCTATTCAGCACAAATTTCCCAACTGCCTTGGATGTTAACAGGAAGGAAGAAACTTTCTACTTTAGAGAAAGCAGAACTCTGAAATGTACATTCTTGGATCCTTTTATTCATAACTGGTACAACAAGCACACATGACTAAATCCAAAATTCCTACCTGCAGCAAAATAATATCTCAGCATTTTGATTCCACTGAAAGATTTCTTTAAAAAAAACTTAATTAATACTTACTTCACATTTGACAATACCAGAAGAACTGAAGACAGTGATTTTAGAAATAAGGCCACTACAATCTGGGGTGAAACACATCTCTTGAAGAATATCCTGTGGACATTAGCAGAAAATGTATTTGTGGACAGGATTTCATTGCAAGATTTGTGGCATTAACATATTACTTTTGAATTTACACTGAATATAAGTGCTGTATAAATGACATAGCTATGGCATTATTTTATTGTTTTGTTCCTATTTCCTTTCAAATATTAATTTATACATTATTACTGCTGAATATTTACTGTATCATGAATGGATCCATGGTTTTATTATCCTCCTTAGCAACCTGAATTCAAAGACTTCATAACTGACTGAGCTCATTCAGGGTAGCTAAAATTTATTAGGTTATTTTGCAAACTGCAAACAAAATACTGTAAGGGAAGAATGTACAAGAAATAACTCCTTCTCCTATAATGCTACAGTATATTGTAGTGGTTCAGGATAGAAAGTGGGAGACTGGGAGTACTAGTTCCATCTTAGGCACAAAGCAAGCTGGGTGACCTTGGGCTAGTCACTCTTTCTCAACCCAAGGAAAGAGGCAATGGCAACCATTTCCAAAAAACTTTGCCAAGAAAACTGCAGGGACTTGTCCAGGGAGTCTCCAAGAATCAGACATGGCTGAATAGGGAGGAGGGGGGAGATTCCCTTACATTCTTTGAATGATCTGAAGCTTATATAAATCTGAACTGATGAATTTTCCTTATTATGGATGAAAGCATCTTGATGATACAACAAATAATGATCATACAGATGCATATCAAGCATGCATAACTTATGAAATTCCATTCGATTTAATAAAAGACTAAGCAACATTCACAAAGAGAATTTCAAGAAGTTACCTTATCATTTTTATCACAATATCTTGTAGCTTTTACTTTTTTCCAGCAGCTTAAATGAAATTCTACTATACACTGTTTACAGCAGGCAATACGTATAAAACCCTGAAATTTGGAAAAAAAAAATATTAACCCTGCAAAAATTTGATGAAGCACAAATAAATAGTACTAGAAAAGTAATGTTTTCCAAAAATGTCTACAACATAATTAAAATATAATTCTTACCTTGAAATCCGGGTCATTAAAATATATTTTGACTTTATGTGCTTGGCATTGCTGATAGCGACATACTGCATCTGGTTTGGGTGGAAACTTGCATTCTGTAATACAGTCTTCCAATATAACCTATGACCCCCCAAAAATCAAAGTTATATACTGTCACTTGTTCCCTGGAGATTATGTATTGCTAAACACTGCTAAGCTTAAGAACAACTTCAAAAGACGACATTTAAGGCAAAAGAACATCTGTATACATCACACTTAAAAGTCCACAAATATATAATTGTTAAATACACAGTACCATAAAATATCACTTTAAGTGAAAGACTGAATATTTTAATTTCAATTTTCAATATGGAGGCCTTTCTTCATCAATTAGAAAATCAATGCCTGAATTTGTCTACTAGTGTAGTAATTGTACAGTCAGTTAAGATTGACTCAAGGCTTTTAGCTTTATTAAAACAATGCAAGATGCCTTCTGTATTACAACAGTAGCATAGATATTTTAAGAAGCATTTTCTCAGTGAAGTTATCAATTCAATCAAGTTAAAGACATTTAAAGCATCATTTTTTTAATTGTCAACATAACCATCCTGTTCCTCAGCTAATAAATGCTGATTTATTATGCATAGGAAATCTTTTACATGTAGGAATTCCCTTTGAGCCCAATTTAAAATGCTGATTTTTTTTAACTATTAAACACTAAATCATTTGGGTTTATTTGAAAGACAAATATGCTCAGAGAAGATTATCAAAATGCTAATAGATAACCAAGACAAGACAGAACTATTCATTTGACACAGGCTTCTTCAACAAAAAGGATAGACTTTGCCAGCCTATGAAGAGCATTATGAAGTATGATTAAAGGATAAGATTGATAGGATCATGGTCAGGGAGTATCTATTGCCCTCAAAGAGTCTTAAATCTTCAGGGCCAGAGGTACTGCCTTATACAGTACTTTTTTTATATATATAAAAAAATATTGAGGACTTTAACAATACTAAAAGATAATACAGTCTGAAATCAGAAAGAAAAAAGAAAATAGAAAGAAAAGAAACAGCCAGTTTGGTCTAGTGGTTAAGGCACCAGGCTAGAAAATGAGAGAGTGTGAGTTCTAGTCCCATTTTAGCCATGAAAGACAGCTGGCTGATCTTGGGCCAGTCACTTTCTCTCAGCCCAACTCAACACATAGGGCTGTTGTTATGGGGAAAATAGGAGAAGGAAGGAGTATTAGACAAGTTCGCTGCGTTGAATTGTTTAGTAAAACAATAAAGGTGGGATATACAGTACATAAATAAATAAAATGCAAAAATCAAAGAACAAAAAGAAAAAGAGGAAGATAAAACTCCTGATTTTCCTTGCAATAACTATAAGCACATGCAATATTTCCCCACCCACTCTAACATTATGTACATTATTATTATTATTATTATTTATTAGATTTCTATACCGCCCTACTCCCGAAGGACTCAGGGCGGTGCACAGCCAAACAATAAAAACACATACAATACAAAATTTAAAAAATAGAATAAAATCAAATTAAATAATTTTGGCCCCGACAAATTTAAAACCCCAAACTTTTAAAACCAATTTAAAATTGAATATATAAATACTAAAAAATATTTAAAATTTTAAAAATCTTTTATAAAAGAGGGGGAAAATTAGGCCAGGCCGGCCTGGTGAAATAGTAAGGTCTTTAAGGCGCGGCGGAAGGTGCGCAGATCCGGGATCCTCCGTATCTCTGGGGGGAGCTCGTTCCAGATAGTAGGTGCCCCCACAGAGAAGGCTCTCCCCCTGGGGGCCGCCAGTCGGCATTGTTTGGCTGACGGCACCCGGAGGAGCCCCTCTCTATGGGAGCGTACCGGCCGGTGGGAGGCTATTGGTGGTAGTAGGCGGTCCCGCAAGTACCCGGGTCCTAAGCCATGGAGCGCTTTAAAGGTGGTAACCAAAACCTTGAAGCGCACCCGGAAGACCACCGGGAGCCAGTGCAGCTCGCGCAGGAGAGGTGTTACATGGGAACGCCATGTCGCTCCCATTACCACCCGCGCGGCCGCACTCTGCGCCAGTTGGAGCCTCCGGGTGCTCCTCAAGGGGAGCCCCATGTAGAGAGCGTTGCAATAGTCCAGGCGGGAGGTGACAAGGGCATGAGTGACCGTGCGTAAAGAGTCCCGATCCAGAAAGGGACGCAACTGGCGAATCAGGCGAACCTGATGAAAAATCCTCCCGGTCACGGCCGTCAAGTGCTCTTCTAAAGACAGCCGTGAGTCCAGGAGGACGCCCAAGTTGCGAGCCCTCTCCGTGGGGGCCAATGATTCGCCCCCAATAGTCAGTGATGGCGTCAACTGACTATATCGGGACGTCGGAAACCACAGCCACTCAGTCTTGGATGGGTTGAGCCTGAGCCTGTTCCTCCCCATCCAGATCCGTACGGCCTCCAGGCACCGGGACATCACTTCAAGGGCATCGTTGGGGTGATCCGGGGTGGAGATGTACAGCTGGGTGTCGTCAGCGTACTGATGGTACTCCACCCCGAAACCACGGATGATCTCGCCCAGCGGCTTCACATAAATGTTGAACAGGAGAGGCGAGAGGACCGACCCTTGCGGCACCCCACATATGAGGGGCCTCGGGGTCGACCTCTGTCCCCCTGTCAACACAGACTGCGACCGGTCAGAGAGAAAGGAGGAGAACCACCGCAACACAGTGCCTCCCACCCCCAACTCTTCCAACCGGTGCAGCATGATACCATGGTCGATGGTATCAAAAGCCGCTGAGAGATCTAACAGGACCAGGACAGAGGAGCACCCCCTGTCCCGAGCCCTCCAGAGATCATCAACCAACGCGACCAATGCCGTTTCCGTGCTGTACCCGGGCCTGAAGCCCGACTGGAACGGATCCAGATACGTCGTTTCATCCAGGTGCTGGGGGAGCTGTTGCGCGACCACACTCTCAACAACCTTCGCAACAAAGCGAAGATTGGAGACCGGACGATAATTTACCAACATTGCCGGGTCCAGGGAAGGCTTCTTGAGGAGAGGCCTCACCACCGCCTCTTTCAAGGCGGCGGGAAAGTCACCCTCACTCAGCGAAGCGTTTATAATCCCCTGGAGCCAGCCTCGTGTCACTTCCCGGGAAGCCAGTACTAACCAGGAAGGACACGGGTCCAATAAACAAGTGGTCGCGTTCAGTCTACCCAGAATCCTGTCCACGTCCTCAGGGGTCTCACTAACTCACTTCTTCCCATAACCTCACCATCAATTTGAAAATCCAAAAATCATTGTCATTTATGACCAAATATCAATAAAAAGTCCACAATGTTTCCATAATTTTATAGAAATATCCCGCTTTTAATCCTGATCAAACAAGTCAACTTTTTTCCTTCTGAAAATCTTGATATTTACAGTAATTCATTAAGTTGTTATAAAGTAATGCCATTTTCCCCCCTCAGAATATTATAAAATTCAGGGGAGAAATTTGGGACAAGTCACTGGGGAAATGAAAGACAAAACAGCACAGAAAACAGAGTTGTATGTTTGTCTTGTGGAAACGACCTGCTTGTGCAGAGACACGATAATGACAGGTACAGCTTCAGCAACTATTCTTTACAAGTTCACTCCTGAGGGAACTCTACCCACCCTTTTGCCTCTTCTCCATCTGCAGTGACAATTCCTCATCCACATCAACATCATGGTATCATTGTTGCTGTTGTTTACCTAGACATCATCAGTCTACCAACCACATATATAATTCAGCAATCCAAGCACAATTTTTGCAGATTTATTTTAACAGCAAGCAAGAGAGCAAAAAGACATTTTTAAGGACACGTGAACTTTGCTGATTCAACAACTGAAGCAATCTGCCTACCCAGCAGAGGTAATACAAATCGTTTTGAAAGGTAAAAGCAATTTCTAAAGGTTCTATCTCCTGAAATGGATGGATAAAATCATCTATGCCTCCACTGAACGTGAATAAAAGTTATTCTGTTCATCTGCAATTGTCATAATGAGAAATATATTCCGGAAAGGCACCATGTGAGATGGCTTATAGAAATAAAAGTTCAATAAAAAGTACAAAAAATATTGTGACTTACTTGTAATGTTTCTGACCTTGTCTCTTTGATAACAACTGAAGTTGTAGGCCATGTCAGTACTCCAGGTACAATCTTAAGGTTAACCATAGTTTTTGACTTCATGAATTGGTCTAGAGCTTCAGAAAATCTACATGTACATGAAAAGACTCATAGTTTATACAATTATTTAAAAAATACATGTCACTTTTTTCCTCCCTATCCTCTTATCAGTTACATATACATACATACATACATACATACATACATACATACATACATATATATATATATATATATATCTCCATAGTTTACAGTTTTCTGAGTTTCCACTATGCTCTGATGCATACATTTACAAGGTAGGCTGTGTTCACTTAACTTCCTAGCTAAATTGTAATTGGCTGGATTGTGATTTAGTGTGTAATATAAATTCCGAAAAAGTATTCATAAAGTAATTAAAAGGAGGAAAATTAAGGCAAATAGATTCCACTATCTAAATATACTTTTCCAGACCTTTTATAGGACAGGTTTCTGGAATGTTATAACTGTTACAGTGCATATAGACAGTCTGCACACCCATTAAAATCCAAGAGTTTTGGGTATGCACACTTATGCAACCACATAGATTTTCCCCCCCCAAGAGATTTCCGTTTGTTTTTCAGTTGAATTGTACTGCTTATGTACTGTATTAAAGGTAGAAAAAATTCTGAAGCGATTTATCTTTCTATATCCACTGTACTATTAAGCTGCCAACGCTTTGCCTAATCCTTTTTGCAGTGACAAGAGACAATGGATTAGTTCTCCTATTCCCAGGTTTTTATTAGATGTCAAGAAGATAGCACATCCTTTCCTTGGAGAGAAAAGCAGCAAAGCAACGACGAATAAAACATATCAGGTCAAATCAATAACAAAACCTGATTCAGACTTGCTTTTTCTCAGTAAATTCCAATTACTCCCCATTCCCCTTTTTATTTTTATGTATACAATGAACTTGACTCTTTCTAGAGGCCAAGAGACAGAAAACAATGGGAGGAGGAAGGAGTGCCTTGAGTGGGCTATGAATTTGTCAAATAAAATAAACAAAAAACAAAACAAAACAAATACTTATTAATCAATTTCTGTATATGAATAAGTTCCAACCAATTATACTATTATCATGGTACTACTCACCGATTTTGTCTCAAATATACTTTTCCAATTCCATAATGTGCCAAGCAGTTGAATCTCACTTTCTGATATTGCTCAATTATTTTATCAAAATGATATTTGGCTTTGCTTAGTTCCTGTGGAAGAAATGAAAGAGATCAAAAGCACTGTGCAAACATTCAGATACAAAAATGCCATTTACACAAACGTACAATTAATAAGTACAGAATGAATGAGGCATATAGTTTATTGTTTTCATTCTACTAATTAGCACCAATTGATAAATTCTGCTTTTGAAAGCATCTTATCTTAGCAGAAGAAATGCTATGATAAATAGTAACAATAACAATACTTTTGAGAGCAATTCTATTATGTGTAAATTCCTCTGATGCACATTAAGCTGGTCTAGGAGACAATAATAGAGTTTGAAAGCTTTCAAACATCTTTCCATTACAGAAGCACAAACAATTAAGAAGAAACTGATGAAGATCATATTGTACGAACTATTATTAATAAAATAATGCAGCACTTTTTTCACAAATATTCAATTACTCAATTACTTTAAATGATAATATATCATAAGAAATATAAGTATAGTCAAATTTCATGCTAAGAATTATTGTCTTCCTTTATACTTTTTTCTAAGCAATATTTCAGTTTTGATTTTAAAAAAAATAGCTGTAGCAAATCTGATGTAAGAAAAGAGCTGAAAAAAACAAAGAGCTGTCCTGAAAAAGCCTTACTCTAACTAATTTCATGCCCATTTAAAGCATCTTACGTTCATACTTTCCTATGTTAGGTAGATAGGTTGTAAAAACATTGTAGCTTACCTCAGGCTGTCCTATTCCAAGGAGAGCACTGGCATATCCATACATGATCACAACATAATCAACAAGAGAAAGGTTCAGACACTGCAATAATTAAAAAAAAAAAAAAAACACTAGATGTGTAAATGTTTGTTGTTAACATATTCTGGCAGAAATACAGGTTTGATCATACACAATACTGAAGCATAATACAACTCTTTTCCTTTTGCTACTCTTCCATCCCTTCCTTTTTCTTGTGGATGTCTCATTACCTGACTAGGTTAGCATCTTAAATGCTAGAGGAGAGCAGGGTTTGCTCTCTGTTTATATACAGTAACTTGCCCTGTCAGTGTTGATGTGGATGCTGAACAGTTCAGAAAAAATAGAACTGCAATCTTCTATTGAAATGCTATTCACCAAGATGATTGTTCTCATTCAGTTCATGTTTGTTTATCTGTATGTGATATTAATTATCCTGTGTGTAACTATATCATTTCTTAAAAAGTATCTAGCCTTTCTGAAAACTTATTCTTTTTAAGATTATTTTGTCTTAATTTAAATACTAAAAAATATCACTGAAAGGATTTTATTCCATCTATAGGAAAAATATAGATTCTGGAAGAATAAGAATGTATATTAAATTAGTTGTCTTCCAAAGGAATAGAACTTGTAATATCTCAAGATTTCCATCATATGGAAAAAAATATTAAGGCTGATGAGGCAGCAACAAATGGCTTCAAGTTAGGGAACCATTACATACTGTCTTCCAAATACATAAAGGGTCTTGCCAAAAATCCATTAATTAATTCATTAATTTGGAAGTTTAGGAGAAAGAAGCCCATAGTTAAAATCTATATAAACTCTTTGACTTTTATATATTGCAGTGGCTGATCAACTGCTATGCTTGTGACTCTATTTCTATCTGCACAGACAGCAATAGAGCTTCTGTGTAAGTTATTAATTTATCTTAGTCATGATAGGGAGATTGATATTAAATCTACCTAAGAAGTAAATTCAGAACTAAGTGTCTGGAGATTTAAAGCCAAATGATAATATGCACTCTCACATTCAATTAAAAATTACTGTACTTACTTGTTCCTACAATTTTTAGTCTATGGATTGACTACCTAAATTACAGAAAAAAATTAAAACTCTTTGAAAACTATAGGAACCAGCTGTTATGCAGTATCATTTTGTAGACAGTATATATTCATAAAAGCACATAAATGCATTAAGTTTCTTTGGCAAAAGGTCAAAACAACAAATTCAGGCACTCTGCTAAATATATTTAAATACATTCACTGCCAAGAACTACCAGGAAGGAACAAATTCAAAAAGTTGAGAGATATCACATACAGATACTAATTATTCCTAAAGGAACCAACATGTGAGTGGAACACACTCAAACCATTTTTTAATAAAATTACCTGCTCTGACCCAAATTGTTTACAAAGTTCTAGAGCAAATATAATTTGTTCCAAGCCTTTCTCCATCCAGAACATTTTGAACTGTGTATGTTTTACATATTCTTCCTATAGATAATTTGTTCATTGACAGATTTTTTTTTATCAATATGTAATTATATTTTCTGGCACCAACATATTTAATATAGGAAGTCATAAACTTCTTTATAAATTATTGTTTTAATAGCATTTTGGAAAAAGTATACATAGCGTATTTCATTAAGAAGTAAATATTACTGTAAGCAAATTATAGAATCATTTCTGTTACCTGTAGCTGAGACGGATCTATCATATTTAAAGATAATGCAAATGATTGTTCAGCACTGTGAAAGCACAGATCCATTAAAGATGTGGATCCATTTTTCATATATGTCTTCAACATTTCTAATGAAAGTATTACATCTCCCTACAAAATCCAAAACAAGGATAGTTGTTTTTATTGTATCAAAAACTCTTTGTAGTATGATTAAGAAAAATCCTCTAGGAAACTTAAACTATATCCTAGGCAAGCAATAACCCTTCAGCAGAGTTTCAACTGCATTAGAGTTATACTGCATGAACAATAAGAAAGAATAGAAATTATAGTCTAATAATATAAACAGGTTCGGATATTGACCACTCCTACCCCAAATATGATGCCACCAGTGCCGTAGCACATACAACACCTATACATGGCTCCACTGACTGTCCCAAATGGGGGAAAAAATCACCAAAATCTCACAAACTAATCAAATTTTTACATTTGGGGATCATCCCAGGAAAATTATTTATTTATTTAATTTCAATTTAGGTTTTCTGTTGCTTTAATGATATACATTCACAACATAAAATAGTCCTAACCCCTATTGTATGGCATACACAAAGAACCCTCAAAATTATTCTTGAGTTAAAGACCTACATTTTTCTCGCAAATAAGAGCAGATTCATTGAATGGATTTATTTTTTTCATCACAAATCAATTTCCATTCCTTTATGTTTGAAAAAGATTGCCTTGCTATATATCTTACAGGTCTACAAGACTCTTCTACTCAAATTTATTGCAGGCTAATATAAAGGCTATTAGAATACAAAATACGATAGATGTAAGTGAAGTTGTCATTAAGCTAGATGCCCACGTGACCACTTTGCTCAATGATCACAATTATCCCAGCTCTCCCAGTTGCAGTCATTGAGCAAAGTGGTCAAGTAGGCATCTAGCTTAATGACTTCACTCAATGACTAAGATTCTGGTCCCAATTATGGATGTAAGTCAAGGACTACCTGTATTTACCTACATCTATTTTATATTCTAATAGCCTTTATATTAAAAGAGCCTGCTTTGTTTCTGCAGATTGAAGAAAATTTCCATCTCCACCACACAATGCATGAAGGACAGAGGAAATCCTTCAGCAGGGAGCAGCAGCTTGCAGTCTTCCTTGCCACATTCACCATTAACTTTCTGGGGAAGCCGACAGAGAAGAATGCAAATAGCAATGGCATAATCGCAGGGTGCTAGGCAACTAGTCGTAAGTGCAAGGGCCCAGATCACAATCACATAACCACTGTTTTATGATGGCCAGAAGCCATCATAAAGTTGTAACTTCAGTAATTAAACAACTGGTTCTAAGTCAAGGACTACTTGTAAAACCCTAGGTAGTAAAGCTGACATCAGATGTTTCCGGCTTTCAAAAAAGATGAAATCCCTTTTTTCTATAGAATATTTCTAAAGACTAGCTGGTCCAGAGAAATACACTGATCTGTTTTATTTATTTAATTTCTATATCAAGAAATTATCAACAAAATTCCCTAATATAAACATTAGCAGTTTAATGATTGTCAAGATTATTGTACAACTCTTTGCATATCTTTCATCAATTTAATAATCATATATTCTACCCATCATAATCGGTAAATTCATATGCTTGCTATATTTCACATATTTCACATATTTAAAAATAATGTATTATTTATTCTGTTACCTGTTGCACATTTCCACATTGTAAATTATATTTCTCTACAACTTTTTTAGAATCAGTTTTCAAATTCAATTGTTCTCTGCAATTAAAACAATTTAAGAATTATATTCTTGGTTAAGAACTTGATTTTCATTCTCTAAATCTCTGAAAAATATATTTTTACAAACTATTGCATATTTCTCTCTTGGGATTTGAGAGATAGAAGTGATGTTGATGAAAAAGAATGCTGAAATACATTTCTTAAAATTAAAGCATCTGAATATCAAACAAGGGATTTGGGAAATATCTTAATGATATGAGATACAGAATATTTAATTCCCTAATTTACAGTTAAAGAATAATAAAACTTTTTTTTCTTAACTGACTATAACTACTGGGAAACTCTAAAAATAATTTATTTATTTTAGAATGTGAAGAAAGAAAAAATTGTGGATCAGTCAATTAGTTCAAACAATGAAATAAGGTCTTAGGGACACACTAAAATTGCATTTAAGTCTTCAGTGAACACATTTCCATTTGCTTACTTCAAGAATACTGTGGAGAGGCCAGGCATTATCTTTACTTCTTAAAGAAAAGCTCTTAGGTGTTCAGGTAAATTGGGGTATATTGTGTTAATTCTAGATATAGACATTTCACAGAAATTGATTCTGCAATGTACAATATTTGTGTTTTTATTAAAAGATGCAAGAAAGACGCTTTTACTTGAGACAATTGCATATTGTACAGAAATTTGAAAATGCACTTCAAATATATAAATGTATCTGCAAATCTCTAAAGCAGTTAACATTAAAAGATAACATTGATTTAATTTAGACATTTCTACCTGTGAACTTTCATTCCCTTTATTTGAATAATATTTACATACTTGTAGCTTGGCTTCATTTTTTAAAAAGAAAAAAGGATAAGCTAGTTTAATAAACAAATTAAAAGTTCTATGTGCCATTAGAGCAGTGTTGCTGCATCTGCTCTGACTACATAATACAAAAAGAACATTTACTTCAGCTTTTCAGAATCATCATTTTGGCTTCTTTGCTTTTGTGGATTTTCACTTACTTCTGTTAATAATAGGGGAAAGAAATGCATATCGTTACTTATTTTAAAAAGAATTGCATACTTAAGATCACATTTGCAACTATTATTCCCAAGAATATAAGGAGTAATATGGAAATAAGTGTGTAAAGAAACTAAGTACATAGAATCATCTAATTACACGGACAAATAAAAATCTTAAGGCTTAGAAACATGAATATAATTGGTTTAAAGACACAGTATTTAACACATCATATGCATTTAGACATACAATCCTACATCAACTGTTTAAAATTTTTCAATTTCACTAGTTATTTTATTACTAGGAGTCTCTCAATCTAAGTACATACGACTTTAAAAATGTATTAACTTACCTGCTAAAAAAACTGATACATGATCTCTGTTTTCTCTAGTTTCTGTATTTCCGACTATCTGATAATAAAAAAAAATGTGATTTTATATATTATGTACCAAACAAATCTAGATTAAAAGAATTTAATCTAAGCATGAAACATTTTAATGCAGGTAGGCCTTGATTTACAACAGTTCATTTATTGACTGTTCAAAGTTACAACGGCACAGAAAAAAGTGACTTATAATTGTTTTTCATATGACCATTACAGTATCCCCATGGTCATAGGATCAAAATTCAGATGCATGGCAACCGACTCATATTTATGAAGATTGCAGTGTCCCAGGGTCATGTGATCACCTTTTGCAACTTGTTTACAAACAAAGTCAATGGGGAAGCCAGATTCACTTAACAATCATATTACTAACTTAACAACTGCAGTGGTGAGCTTAAGAACTGTGGCAAGAAATGTCGTAAAATGGGGCAAAATTCACAACAAGTATTTCATTTACCAACTGAAATTTTGGGTTCAATTGTGGTCATAAATCAAGGACTACCTGTATTTTTATTTATTTTTGGAAGACATCTTTCAAAGTTAAAATGATCCATTGATCTGTATTTTAAGCTTCCTAGATAGGTTAAAGTAATAAAAGTCTTCCTCTTGTTAATGAGTACTGTCCATAGGATAAAAATACAGTGTCACTGCCTCCTTTATCTGGATGTAAAGGGAAGGACAGCAAATAAGACTTATTGGATATGCTGTTATGGATTCTTGTTTTATTTGAAGAATAGTCAGGAAAATAGCTTTTCTCAGAATCAGAGATAGTAAATGTAGTATATCTGTAGCATCTTGGTGTTTGGATTTTCAAACAAAAAAGATACATGCTGATGGAAGGTAAGCCTTGCCATTCTACAATGAACAACAGAAGCCACGTTCCCAGTCATAGTTAAAAAAAAAAAAGACTGAGAAGAATATCTTGCAAAAATCTCCAGAGTTTGGTAGTATTAACCAAACCAAATAGCAATCTGATTCTCAGAGGGAGCATCCCTTCACACTGGAAAGGTCAATGTTGGTTATTTTTTTTAAATTCTAATGTGCTTCTCCCACCCCCCTTTAAACTTTAACTGAGGCAAGATTGGTATGGCTCTGCTACAAAATTTGTCTTCAGGTAAAGAGGAGAGGAAAAGTGTACAGGCAAAGACATCTAATGACAGTTTTGGAAGGTAAAAGCCCCTGTGACACCCATCCCCATAGTCAGGTCACACATTCCCCAGCCACCTTTGATTCACTGGCAACTTCAAAATAAAGATACAAAGAAACCACTGAAATCTTTTTTCCATTTGTATTCTATTTTTGGAATTTATACTTGGACTGAAAATGATGAAGAGCACCTCTCTGGCTCCATCAAAGAAACGGAATTCCCCTCAAGATAAGTAAAAATCACAATTCCACACCGGACCCTCTCATAATAAATTTACACCTAAGGAGCATCTACACATCTAAGGGCAATATTCCTTCCCCTGAGCCTCACATATCCTCAGGGCAACATCTTAATATACACATACTCATGATCAAAGCCCAAGACAGAAGCACCTCAAACTGCACATCTAAACACCAAAGCCAGTTGTCATTATATATATTTCTACTGGTATATCCCTAACAAGTCTTAGCTTTTCAAGAACTGACTTCTGTATTGAGTCTAAGAAACAAATACCCTGTCCAAGCAACTGTCTTCACTTCATTCTTATCTCCCTATCTCCCAGCTCAGGAATCAGACCTCTTTTGTTTTCAACAACAGTAATCCTGTTTCTGGAGATTCCAGCACTGCTTGGAGTCTGTGATTCCACCCTGACTTTGACAGACCTCAGAAGATCATAAGACTCCTGCTGACAGCAACTCAGACAGAAGATTAACCAATTAGTTTTAATGAAGATCCAGAATCAGAGACCTGAAGTTTGAAGATCTGGGAGACTAGTCTAAAGGCAGGAGAACAGATTCTGCAGCCATTGTTTGATAAGTACAGAGGCTGGAAGTTCATTGAAGCTTTTTCATTGTGCTTATTCTCTGGAAAATAATCTACCAAAAACACAACTCATTGTTTACATCTATTTTTTCTGACATTATCAAAATAAGCCTGGAAATGAAGAAGGACTCATGAGTGCAGATAATAAAAACAGTAGAGTGAAATAAACAAATTTCTAAGGTACTATAATACAGAGAAACAAAAAGAGAGAGAAGAGATTATAAAAATGAAGAAGGATGCTTGAGATAAATTGAAGTAGAAAACAAGCCAGTGCCTGCTCTAAACAAATAAATTGGAAGGCATAGCAGAAATCCCACTGATACTTGATTCGTATCTTCCAAGAAAATGTAAAAATTAATTCACCCTTTGATGCTACATGAGCTGGACAGAAGGATAAAGATTCATGCTTGTTATAACTGGTGAACATGGAAGAGTTTTAGAATTTCCCCCCAAAAAAGGTTCATTAATGGAGAATGCTGCTATGATGTATAGTGACATGAGAAATTTTAGATAGTTTCTGGGTATTAAAGTCCATATAGTGTAAATGTAACCTCTCAGTCATCTGGCCTCGGAAATACAGGAAACTTTAATTCTTCACTAGGCACAAAGGGACATGGGAAATCTGGGAAGGTCACCCAATTATTAAGCTTCATAAGAAATTTTAATATTCTAGGAGCATCTAAAATTTCAGGGTTAAGAGCTATGAGGATAGAAGAAAAAGAAAATATATTCCTGAGACCTGCAAAAGTCATACTGACATTAGGAACAAAAGAGTCCATTCTCACAAAGACAAAGTCTTGGAAAGAAGTACAAGGTTCTAGGAGATTGACGGTTACCAACTCTAAAATCCTTTTTTACTGAAATGATAATAAGAAATAAATACTTCAAGAACAGAAGCTTGAGAAAACAGATTCCAGATTTTCATATGGCCTAGCAGTTACAGCCTCAATAACAATACTGTATATAGGCTTTTCCACTGAATTCTATATTCTACAAGTTGACTAAAAACGCCTTTCTTCTAGGAGCCATTTGTCGGTAGGATAAAATCCAGTTAAACACTAATTAATGAGATAATAGCAGTAGCACTTAGACTTATATACTGCTTCACAGTGCTTTACAGCCCTCTCTAAGTGGTTTGCAGAGTTGCATATTGCCCCCAACAATCTGGGTCCTCATTTTACCCACCTCGGAAGGATGGAAGGCTGAGTCAACCTTGAGCCTGATGAGATTCGATCTGCCAAACTGCTGGCAGCCAGTGATCAGCAGAAGTAGCCTGCAGTACTGCACTCTAACCACTGCGTCACCGCGGCTCTTATAAGGGCTAATGATACTGACAAAAATTTATCTGTGCAAATATTCAATTATCATTTTATCTTCCACCAATCTGGTAAAGAAGAAAATACCTGTTTAATACAAAATGACTTGCACATCTTTCCTATGGCACCAACAAATTATGATTCATAATGATCTCGTAAATTATTTAAATATGGAACTTTCTAGACAAAATAATAGTTCTGTTTATTGAACAACTGTTGACTACGGCTATATATGATGCCCATTTAGTAGTGAAGTATCTATTAGCGTAAAATAGGGATTAAAGAATGAGATCCTGCTATAGTAGATGCATGCAAAGTCCTACAGCTAAGAGAGTAGAGAATCCGGGACAATTGTGTACAGAATTGGCCAATATAATATACCATATTTTTTGGAGTATAAGACGCACTTCCCCCCCCCCCCAAAAAAGTGGGTGGAAATGTCTGTGCATCTTATACATGTTGCCGAAGCCCTGCCTACCCGCCGGCCCCCACCCGCCTGCCCCTGCCTCCCAGCAATTTGCCTACTTGCAGAAAACAGCGTGGTCAGCTTCGGCACAGCCTGATTTAGCACGAGCAGCTGATTGGCGGTTGGATCTGCCTCCCGAAATACCTCCTATCAGCTGCTCCAGGCTGCAGGGATTGCTGTTGCCCGTCGCCGCCCATCACCGCTGCCACCTATCACCACCTCCATGCACCCCATTTTCGGCCTCCACACGTCCCATTTTCGGCCCGTTCCAGGCAGTGGGGATAGGCGGCGGTGGCTGTTTCAAGCTGCAAACAATACAAGTCCACTTTTTTTTAAGAGAGACAAATGTGATCTCTAAAATTCCAATATGACCAAACTGGATCCACTGTGTTTGTGCAGAGAAAAGGTTATATAGAGTTCCATGATCAATACGGAATGGATTTTGCTATCCTACCCAAAGAAGAAGTGTATTAAAAGTGTTTTTTGTATTAACTTTTACTTCATCTTAGTAGATAATGTGTATGTTCACTTCTAGCCCACCAGGCAAATGAAATTTTGACCTTTGTAGCATGCAAGATTGGAATATGTTGTTCACTATCTATATGAATTTGAAAATGAATTAGAAGCCACTGGTGTATGAAAAAAGCTGAAACCAGGATAGCATCAATCCCAGAATCCAGGTAAAGTTCATGAGACACTTCCAATAATTTTTGAACTGGTAAACAGCTTTCTAAATCTTTGGAATAGTTTTTGGGTAAGTAAAGTAGCCAGGCAGGGCTCTAAGTATACCGTCAGGAGGTGTCGGTTATTTTTTGTTTTGGTGTTGGTAAGATGCTCATAAACACTGACAGTCTTGACCATTTTGGCTATTTCAAACGATCATAATTTTTGCAAATGTTCTTGGTTTTGAAACCATAGCAAAGGGCAAGGATCTAAACTGGAAATGACTGCCCTGTTAAGAAAAACAGACATATTTCTCTGTGCAACAGTTACAGAATATAGTCCTCTGACACATTTACAATTGGATGCTCTCCATAATCAGCTGAACTAAACATATTTGTTCACAATCTTGCAGTCTGTAATGGCCGTTCTGTAATTTTTGCAAATGTTCTTGGTTTTGAAACCATAGCAAAGGGCAAGGATCTAAACTGGAAATGACTGCCCTGTTAAGAAAAAAAGACATATTTCTCTGTGCAATAGTTACAGAATATAGTCCTCTGACACAGTTACAATTGGATGCTCTCCATAATCAGCTGAACTAAACATATTTGTTCACAATCTTGTAGTCTGTAATGGCTTATTTTTGAAAGATAAAAATGAAATAAATTTCTCAGAATATTTGCCTAGCATAGTTCCATAAATTTCATTTGTAATACATAAGGTTTTCAAGATTCTGTTATTTTACCATAGTACAACAAAGAGCATTCCTGAAATCCTTGCACTACTTCTATTTTTACCTTGCCTGCCTCAAGGGGCTAATATCAGTCTTGCAAGTCTAAGTTTCTCTGTTTTGTTTTATATTTGACAAATTCGAGGTGGGTCTCTTTTTCCTACTTTCATATTTCTCATGACCAAGTAATTTTTTGCAGAGCCCTCCCTTTACAGCTCAGTCACTCCTTCTCTATTCTCAAGATCAGCTTTATATTCTTTCATTAATACATTGATTTGTAACTTACTATTGGTAGCTTCTGCTGGTTAGGATGGTGATGAGAATCACATAGTTTTTTGTTTTCATTGTGAGATTTTTTTGATTCTTGGTTACCAACGGACACATACTCTGAAGAACTAATGGAATTAATCAAGCACAAATACATAAAGAAAAATATATTTCAAAGATTGTTAGGACAATTATCATTTTAATAATCTATAAATATACAAGAGTATCATGAGGTATGTAACCACCCAGACGTACTGTACAATATAACTAATCTTTGTTAATAAAATAAATAATATTCTAACAGAGGAGTAAGTGACTTTCTTGGGTTGACTGAGTTCCATGTTAATAAAATCTTTGATAAATATTTATTAAAATGGGGTGCGCTGAGAAATTTTAAAACATCCAAATATTGATAGAAACATAAAAGAGATGCATTTTATGCAAATAAAGGGGGAAAATGCATTTTATGCAAATAAAGGGGAAAAATGAAAATATGTATTCATTCTGCGACTTTGTTATACAGAAATTAGAATTGGGTAGACCAGGAGAAAAATAAAAAATTAGTTAAATGCAATGATAAATGCAATGATACTTAAGAAGTATCTGTGAGGGGAAAAAAAGAGGGTGAAGAATGACTGCATACTGAGCAACATTATGAAATAAATACCAGTATGAGGGACTACTGATTATTTATTATTTATATCCCGTCTTTATTATTTTTTACAAATAAGATGGTGAGCACACACAATACTCCTTCCTCCCCCTATTTATCCGACAAAACCCTGGGAAATGGGTCGAGTTGAGTGATTGGCCCAAGATTACCCAGATAGTTTTCATGGTTAAGGTGGGACTAGAACTCACAGTCTCCTGCTTTCTAGCCTAGTGCCTTAACCATTAGGCTAAACTAGCTCTCTTAAACAGAGAGAATGTTTTAGGGTTAAACTAAAGAAGAAATATGTGAAGGATAGATGAGTGGATCAAAAGGAAAAGACAAGAAAATCATGGTACGGTGGTGTTCATGACATTTTTCATAAAACAGAGCATAAGGTTAAAGAACAAAGGCAATTTATCAATTGATTTATAGACCTAGTGGAAGCAAGGATGGTCCTCAAGAATAGAAAAGTATAGTAAATGGTGGATATGGATATAGTAAATGGTGTGGGTGTAATATTAGATTTAGATTCCCTTTCTCTTATCTCTTCCGTTTAATTATTTTTGTCCACTACTTATTGCTTTTTGACCATTGGTAAATATTGCTTACCCCAAGGGGGTAAAGTATACAAAGAATATATAAGTACACACTTATAGGTTAAGTATGGATATGTATGTATGTGTTTTTAACACAAAAGTTGATCTCGAACAAAATCTATAACAGTTGAGATTTACTGAGTAAAAATTAACTTTATTTATTAAATTTTCCACCCATCTCATTTTAAACAATTTGTTTCAAACAGTTATTATGTTCTCATTTACTTAGAAATGTGAATTTTGAATTAAACTTACTTTTTCTGCAACAGTTGTTTCTTTAGTCTGTATTTATTTTGCTTTATACCTAAATGAATTAAAAAAACTGAGTAATTCATATCATACAGGACACATAATTATTATTTCAATAATTTTAGTTTCATTCAATATATATTTATTTATAAAAAAATAAATACTTTAAACAAAGATATGGTTACCTCTAGCTTCTTCCATTTGGTTTTTAAGCTTTTCGTGTTGCTCAATAAGACCCTTCATTCCTTCAGGATTATCTCTGCACAGGTCCTGACCTCTCTCATTGGCTTCTAATGCCTTTCTATGCTCACCCAAGAATGATAAAGCATCACAAAATCGATAATGTCCCTACAAAAAGTGGAAAAGGCTTAATTTCATTTTAAAATAGAAGGGTTTGTCAAACATTTACATTTCTTAATTTGCTAGCTACTTCATACTGCAACCCAATCCTGTGTCGCTGAGCACAAAAAGAAATTATGTTTAATATTATACACAGATGTACACTTGCACTAGACTGCAAACTAAATGTTAACACTCTTTGATTTACCCAGTTGCTATTCTAATAAAAATATCCAAGTATGTAAATGAAGGATTTGGGAGTATAACAACTGCAATTTTATAGTTTTATTGATCTTAGAGTGAGAATACATATCTACTATGACATTTTGTCATCTTGGTATTGGGGCAGTTGGATTATTCAAGAATCTATATTAGTATTCAAATTATAATTGCTTTATTTGCTTCTTTCTCAGTGCCTCTATTTTTTAAAAAATCTGCAGATAAGCAACAAACTGTTTTAATGATATTATTAATGATATTTGCCTGGCCATTTCCAACCATCAGGAGAAATAATAATTCAGTTTAATATTTTATTTTGCATGTCCTCATACTGCTAGAAATGGATTGCTCTCAGAACCCATAACTTTCAGAATTGACAGGATTAAATACAACAGGAACATCATGGTTAAATTCTTTTCATGTATAATCTCAAAGTTGAATCATAGTAAAACAAATTTATAGAATAAGAGCAACTAACCTTAGGCCAACAGGGATTCAAAATAATAGCTCTTTTCCCATCACACAAGGCTTTCCTAAAACAAAAATATGTTTGGCACAAACAATTTAGTACAATGCTTTCATTCAAATTGAAAAGATTTTCAAACGACAAGATTTTAATAAATCTGAGAAAAAATTATCATTTATAAAGTTCCATTTTGAGAGCACGGAAAGCCATCTTTATGACTGTAATCGTTTTCTGTTCTTCTGGAATATTCTAACTTCACTAAGAGAGATGACTCTGCCTTCTCAGACCAACCTTGGAAGAACTAAAAGCTTCATTCCTCTCATAGCGTAATAGTTTTTGGAAAAAAAGACACTTAAGTTTCACTTCTTTCTTTTATTCTGAATCTCAGTTCTGCTAGTATTTTTCAGAACATATCAAAAGACAAATAAATTAATGGAAAATCAAATTAACATCAATTAAAATTTTATTTTTAATGCTGTTTTCTATGTCATGCATTAGAGAATTAGGGCATGAAAAATAATTTAAGAATATTTTATGTAATATACAATTAAGGATCTTTAAACTCTAATACTGTCTTCCATCCCAAAGCTGGAAGTCAGTCACTGACCTATTATCATAATGGAAACCTGCCCATTACAATCGCAAGCATGATGGTTGTTAAGCAAAATTATCACATGGTCGCCTCATTTAACAATCCCACCCCCCGCTTGCCCTGATAAGATAACCTTTATTGTCATTTGTTTTTCCTGTGGGCACTTTGGCACACATTAAAAATGAATTTCTGTTGCCTGCTCTCAAAAGTGTAACACACATATAGATATGCTATACATACATATATATATGCCTACACCCTAACACAGTGTTTCCCAAACTTGACCCTTTGAAGATGTATGGACTTCAACTCCCAGAATTCCTCAACCAGGCATACTGGTTGGGGAATTCTGGGAATTGAAGTCCATGCATCTTAAAATAGCCAAGTTTGGGAAACACTGTGGCCTAAGATATAAATATTAATCACTGTCCATCTTGAATACATATTGGAAAGAGGAAGCTTGAGAGTTCACAAGGTTGACCCTGTATGGAACAAAACTGGCTGAATCTGGATGTTCTGCTTCAGATACCATAAAGCCTCCTCCAAGAAGATAACAAGGAAGTCAGGTTGTGAAGAGGATGTATACCGTCCCAGACAATTCTGTGGACTGTCATTAAATGACCATGCAGGTCATTAAGCGGAGCAAAAGATTCCTCAGGATGGGGAAAATCCTGGGAGGCTTACGCAGGCCGAGGCCTGCCTTTCTTGGGTCTCCCAAGGCCTCTCCCATCCCGAGACATCCTGTACTCTGCTTCCCAGCCCTTGGGATTCCCAAAAGGCCTACTTTCCACCTCCTTTCTCCCACCCAACCACCCACCCACCACCCATTGTTCACTTACCTTTCAAAGACCTCAAGAGCTTTGGACTTTGTGTTGTGTGAGGGCAGGACACTCCATCCCACAGGGTCCCTGGGCCATGTGGCTGTGTCCTGGACGCAGCTGCTATTTTCAGAGTGGCTGCAGGTAATTGTGCCGCTCCAAAATAGCATCCCGCATCCCAGCTGCTTCTGGGATGCAGCCACACAGCCCAGGGACAAAGCTATGCAGACTGCATTAGGGAAGCAGAGTGGATTACTTTGTCTCTGATATACATGGCTGCATCCCAGAAGTGGCCATTTTGGCACAGTCACAAGGAATTAACTACTCTGAAAATGATGGCCGCTTCTGAGATGCAGCCAAATGGCCCAGGATACTGTGGGACAGAGTAGTCTATCCTCCTTCCCCAACATGTAGTCTGGCGCTCAGGAGATCTTCAAAAGGTAAGTATGAGATGTCTGATGGGTGGTGGGGACAAGCGTAGAGGACCCAGGTGCTTGGGAAACAGGCTTAAGACCTGAGGGGACCCATTGTGGGGAGGAAGCTGGCCCAAGGACTGTGGGGACTCAGTGGGATGGGATGGTGAGGTAGCTAGGAGAGTCACTGAAGATTCCTAAGGTCGTAAAGATGAATGTTGTAACTTTCACCATCACTAGGTGACTGATTATAAGTAGAGGACTATCTGTACCTTCCTTTGGGAAGGTTATATGTTCCTGTTCATTTTTAATTTTTCAAAATTTTCCTTAGACATCCAGATAATCAAGAAGCAATCTTCACCAGAAAAATATAGAAAAAAGCACAATTCTCCAGGACACCAATACAATATGACATCAATAAAATTTACATGTTTTTTTCAAGCTGCCTTTGCTAATAGATGTGTTTAATCTTGTGTCTGGTGAATGAGTGCACTGAGGTCCGTAAAACATTTTAATTATCAAATTTCATGAAGTATCACAGCTTGAGTGCAAAACTGTGGTTTCAAATAAGAAAAAGGTTTTTCCAGCATTTTGACTTTGAAACAATGTTTTATTTACAGCAATCAGCAAGCATGTGAAAAGATATAACTAGCAAAAGCTCTTTTGGCTTTGCTATATCTGTTGGTAATATGTCTTGGATTTCCCTAGCAATCATTTAGTTGTTAGGCAAAATCAGTTTCATCCTGCTGAGAACTGGATTTTGAAAAAGTCAGACACAATAAGAGTAACATGCACTCAATGTTCTTGTACTGGTAGGTACTCTTTGTACCTAATTGCTGATATACTGTGCTCTGAATAATGGTAAGTACAGTGTTCCATGCTGTTTGTTCTGAGACAAATGTTGTATGATAAAAACTTGCCATAACCCCTTTCTTTACTTTGCCTGAAAGTTTTTACTTTGACTGGATAAAGAAAGAAGAAATAGGGCAAGTAACTTAAAGAACACTGTCACCTAGATCTTTTCTTTTCTCTGACTCTGCCAAGACTCAGATAAACTGGCTTGGCTTTTATTCCCCTTCACTGAAGGCTGACGGTCATAACGTTCTGCTTTGCCTTTCTCATAAAATAAAGAGTTGGCTCCCTCAGCCAGATTTTTCAAGGATCAAAGGAGTTTGCAGCTTTTTAATCTACTTCCTTATCTTTCTGTCTGTCAATCCTATTTAAATCCCCATTTTTCCAGAAACTCCCCAGTTCAATTATAGAGGACGGTATATAATTGACAGGGAGGCATGGTTATACAAGGTCACCTTTAGATAAACTCACAAGCAGGAAACCTACTATTTTGCTATAAGCAGAGTTGAAATTGGCCAACAATCCCAAATATCTTTCTATTTCTATTTTATATTTTTGAACACTTGCTTCAAAATAGTAAATTGAACTAGTACTGTAGTTTTTGAATTCTAGCTATTGATATTTACTTTTTTGCCTCATTTATTTAATAAGATAGAATAAAAAAAGAGAAATGCAACTTTTTTAAAAAGCAATAAACTATAACAATAATTATAAGGGCTTCTTTATTGTTTTACACAATGGTTTCAATGAAGATTGACTATGTTTAATGGGATATTGTTTTTAAAAGTGAATTTTGTCCTTTTGCACTAATATATACCAAGTACATAAACCCTGAACATCTGTAAGATGTGAATTCCAGAATTAAACATTTTTAAAAACAGAACCATGGAGAAGAATATTTGTAGCTCAGGATTGAAATGAGGAGTCCTCGGTGATCTCTGAGTTTGGTTGTTTTCTTGCAGATGTTTTATTACCCAAACTAGATAACATCATTTGTGCACTGCTGATGTCTGGAGAAAACAACCAAGCTCTCAGAACACCAAGGACTTTCAGAGTCAAAGGGAACTTTCTCTGGAAACCACAGATTACAAATGTAACTTATTACTTACAAAACATCCTTATTACATTTAAATAAAAGTGACTTTTCTCTCCCTATTTCAAAATAGTTGTTAAATAATTTATGGTCTGAGTGCACTTTTCTCTATGCTCTGATTTAAACCACAGGCACAGAATATGTTGAATTACTCTGTAAAATAATGTAATTTTGCAGATGAACAAACTGGATGTTTCTTTGCTATTTACAACCTTATGTGTCAACATGATTTAAGAATATGTTCAAATCAGCAAATCTCTCAGTTGCAAGGGGGAAACCATACTTACCGATACTGTCCAATTCGGAGAAAACAGAGAGCCCGATTGCCATAAAGAAAGTGATTTTCAGGCCTTAAAAAAGGTTAGATAATATTTAGCTTGTAAGCCATAAAGAAAAACATAAAAAATTAGCCATAAATTATTTCAAATGAAATTTTAAGGTATCAGAATTTAATTTGTAAATTGAGTTTGAAGAAATACTCAGCTTTTTTAAAAAAACGTATCTAAAGAACAAATTTTATGAGAATTGACTCTAAACAGAGAATGCAAGTGGCATGGCTTTTACTGCTAGCCAAATGTGGCTAAATATCACAATTACAACAGTTTGTAAAAACTGACCTTGCTAACAACAGTACATATATTACTCATTCCTAAACAATTAATTCTTAATGGACAATCTACTTTTATGCTTTCTCTCCTGAGAAGACTGTTGAGCTGAAAATGAAGGTGAACCAATAGGAATATTGCATGCTTTGCTTTCCTTAGAAGTAGAGATGAGGGCTTAGGGTCAAGCTAATTTCACTATGAAGTCTAAGCCTACAGAATATAATCATTTATGGGATCAGGATCACAAATATAAAGCAACTTTTGAAGGGCATGTCTTAACTTAGCAGTAAAGATTTATCAAGCATGTTATGCATGCAGGCTCTAAAGCTTTAAATCCCTTTAATAGTTAGCAAAGTGCTGGAAACAATGTGCTATTAATGGCACCATTCTCAATTTATCCTTATTATCCATCTTGGACTGACTTTTTGGAACCTAATTTTGCCTATGCTTTATCCATCTGCTGAATTTGCAGTAATTACTGACTTTTGATATGTATGCTAGTCTGGAAGCTATGCCTAAAGAGACACACACCATAATAATTTCCTTTTATATCTTTTCCCATAAACGTATTGTTACTTAAGAGGTTTCAGAACTGACCATTTTTATTCTATTGTTCTCTATTCCTACTGAGAAGAAAAGCTTTTTGGAAAGCTATAACATATACCGTAGAGCATACAAATTGTATGTGATATGCTGGCTTTTTATTCATTTCCCAGTTGATTTTCTCAGTAGTTCAAACTGGAACTTACAAATTGTTCCAATATCAATCAACTGGGGAGGATGGAAGTAAGGTACAATGGCACTTCTGGGGATCCCGTTGTGCGTCTTTGCCAGTAGTCTGGTGCAAAACCTGAATATCTTATCCATCTACAGTGTGATGTACTAATCACAGAATCCATTCACTGAATCATGGACACATATATACCATTTAATTGAAGTAGTTGTCTATGTGTGTGCATGATCAAGGGAACTATGGCTATCAAATGAAAAAAATGGAGAGTCCATTTTTAGTTGGACTGAAGAAGTACAGTAACGTTATTCACTATCTGAAATGTTTAGAAATCCTTTGTGGGTCTTAATAGTCAGAATAAATGCTGGTCTCAACTGATATGGCTACGGCAATTCTTTGAAAAGATGCTACTGATCGTAAGAATTAAGAATCAGCCATCTGAAAGCAAGACTATACTTTCATGTGAATATTATATTAGTAAATTCTACAATTTTAAAATACTATATTCCTCCCTCTCTACTTTATTATACTACTCTAATTACATTCTCCCAAACTTAATTTCTGGACATTTGCATGCTTTTGTATAATAACATAATTTATCCCTTACCATAGTTCTATAGCTTTTGTATAGAAAGTGACTGCACTGTCAAATTTATCCTTAGCAAATGCTTCATTTCCCCTTTTTTTCATATTCTCACTGGTCTGTAATAAAATATGACAAAATAAAATTAAGAAGAAATTGAAGTTATTTTCAAATTACAATATACATGATTTGGTCTGTAAAATCTCTATGAACAATTATGCTGTTTTTAAATTATTTTAAGATTTTTGGGCTATGCAATGTAGTGCATTAAAAACATATCCGTAATAATCAAATAGCTACAACAAATAACAAATAATTATCCCGTATATCATTTCAAAATTCTGAGCATTCTCATTCTAATTTAAACATTAGTTTGCATGAAGTCATTTATTCTAGCAGTGATCAAGATACACAATGTAAAAAGATGGTACACTTTACTGAAATGAATGGAAGAACCAAAGCCAACACTCTATGAGTACATCAAAGCTTATGCATAAGGATTGGTTGTTTTGAAATGTCTGTTTACATTCCATAATCATTGTAAGGATTATGAGTCAATGAAAGTGAGTTGGGCAGCCACATAAATTTTCTTAAAGAAACAAATAAGTAAATAATGCAGAGATAATATATTTTATATATATAGGTAGCACAAAGATCAGATAAAACCACACAGAACCCCCTCTCTGATGGAGCTGGGCAACTTAGAAAGGGATAGATAGATAGATAGATAGATAGATAGATAGATAGATAGACAGACAGACAGACAGACAGACAGACAGACAGACAGACAGAGATAGAAGCATCTCAATATTAAATTAGCCTTAAATTTTTGTAATAATGTAAGTTTTTAAAAAAACTCACCATCATACAGTTGTCACAATAATAAGATTCGAAGGCTTCTACTAAATTGTAGTCCTCCAAAATAACTTTACTTATATAATACTTATCTGTAATAAGAAATAAAATGCTTAATTAAGACAACTGCATTGATTGTTTGCTGCTAAGAGGTATAGTACTGAAATATGTGCAACCTTCTTTTAAGGACAAATGGCCCTAAATTCTTCTTTATTTAAAATGAGTTAATAGGAAAGCTAAAGGAAGTATTCCTAAAGGCAGCAAATAATGCTGTATTAATAACAATGGGATACTAAAAGGCTTTCAGAGCTATGGGATGGGATGGAATAGACTAGTAATGTCCAGAGGCCATAAATCTACAAGTTTCACAGGGGGAAAGGTCACATGGAAGGTCCTGAGTTACACATACGCTCCACTATTTAATCACACAAAGCTAATAAAGCTATTGGGGAGATGTTCACAGCAATCCAGCACAATAGCAATTGCCCAATGGCAGAATTCCAGCTGAGTTCTTGAAACACTCAAGTGTTTTTCAGCTATGGTTGCTTACATGGACAAACACTGATATTAGATGCTTTCCCCCCTTTGTGATTGGGGCACTCCATTTTTTTCTGTCAAGATGTAATAAAAACAATTCAAACAAATAGATGATTGAATTAAGGTAAATCCCACTTATATACTTTGAATAAAATAAATCATGGAATTTAAAAAAAACATTCTATTTCTAATAATGAATAAGAAGAGCACAAGGTAATACTGTTTCAGAACTCTTAATTCTACTCTATATTGCTTAATAAAAACATTCTGATGAATCCTATATTGCTCAAAGGGAGCATTTCAATCCCTGGCGATGTGAATTCTGCAGAAAAGTAAGACATTCTTTACAATAATTTATACACTTAATGTAAAAAAAATCCCAACATTAAAATGTTATTTATTTTTATTTTATTTATTAAATTTGTTTGCCACCCATCTTGCTGCTCTGAGTAAAACGTAACAAAAGTTTACTCTGCTCTGGTGGTTTACAATAAGGGCTTTAAATATCACCATGAATTAAATATGTTTTTGTGTACTAATCCTCTATATAAAATAATTCAAAATTATAAATTCCAGCATCTATTGTACACTTATCTAACCAAAATTTAACAATGCAATATTTCTTTTTTAATTTTTTTGAATTGTTTCAACTGAAAAAAAGTAGAAATATTAAAGAGTTCTATTACATCACTAATGATAATTGCAACTTCATTAGGCGTAAACTAACACTGGATCCAAATGCTTAATGCTTGGGCAATACAGTGTAAATTTTTAGCTTTTAACTGAAGAAAGATAAGAACTTGTTCTCCCTGCTAGTATTTTCATTATTAGTTCTTAACCTGTTGTAAAACTGCAGTAGCATCTTAGATTTGTTTGATTGTAATGAGGTAGACACTAAATGAATCAGTACGAGAAGTAAGAGGATATGGAGTTAGATCCAGAATTCTGTTGACAAGTGGGTGACAGAAATGGCATTTTCTGAGTATTTCCAAAGGTTTCTCGTCAAGGGCAGCTGCATAATGAGATATGATGCGGCATGGAGAGCTTAAGAGAAAATGGCATTTCCTTTTTCCTCTCTCAGGACTAACTTTTGGAATGACTGATATCTATCAAAGACAGCTGTTAGTAACAGTCTTTCCTGTAATGCAACTCTGAATGTAAGCTATAATACATAAGACAAGATTTGCATTAACGACCAACTATTTATTTCAACTTAAGACTACAAAAATCCTCTTTCCTTCATTGAGAAGAAAAAAAAAAGCTTCCTAAACTGATTATAGGAAGTTTAAATCATTTGTATACTTACATGCAGAAAAGAACAGTTTGAGGATAGACCAACAACAATAATCTGCAAGTTTCCTTAATTTCTGTAAAATGCCAATGTGATCTGCATATTTCATCCACTCTAAAACCTCAGAAGTTCTAAGTATTCCCTATTTTAATTAAGGAAAATATCAGCATTATTTTAATTATTTTCATAATTATATTCAGTGTAATTAAATTTGAGCACATTTTACAAATACGTTCCTCAATAATCTTGTCTATTACAGAAAGGAAAACACAATTCACATTTAACATATTACATTTAAGAAAATAAATGTTAAACTACTGTTTCAGAAGATCATTAATATATTAGTTTATTGATTGTATAAATTATAAGCTATATATTAAAAATAATATAATAGTACAACCCAACTAAATTATAGTTTCTACCACACATAATACTAGCAGATCACAGAAATTAGCATGTCCTATGCAACCACTTTTGCAAGTCATTAATAGCAAAATCTTAAACAATACTTCCTGCACCAAGGGTGGGCAGCCTGCATTCCCCAAATCTAATTTTTCAATTACTTCATTTTATTTATATCCTGCCTTTATTATTTCTTACAATTAACTCAAGGCAGCAAATATATCCAAGATAACTTCCTCCTCCTATTATCCTTACAAAACAACCCTGTGAAGTGGGTTGGGCTGAGAGAGAAGTGACTGGCCCAAGGTCATCCAGGTGTCTTTCATGGCTAAGGCAGGACTTAAATTCATGCTCTCTTGCTTTCTAGCCTGATGCCTTTTTATCATGAGTATAAAATGTTAAAATAGATGAAGTGAAGCACACAAAATAACAGTGAGATTTGTTCAATGAATAACAACTGGGTAAAGATATCAACCTGAGGAAGTACTTCTGATTATTATGAACAAGTGATAACAAAGAATGTCAAAAGAAAGCTGCAAGAAAATGATAATAAAGATACTATTCTCACAAAAAGCCTAGTTTCTCAACAAAAATTCCTGTGGATTTATGCAAGGCCTATGAACAGAATGTTCTTGGACATTTACTGATAAGGAAACAGGAGCATGAAGTCTCTGAGAGACTGGCTCTTTGTAAGCAAACGTGAAAGTCTGTTCACTATGTACAGTAAATGATCGTACATGAGTACAGTATCTATGCCAGAAGTACAATGCAGTCTATAAATTTATAAGAACTGTTAAGTGTTAAACTCTCTCTCTACTACAATTATGCATATGCATTATAAGTAAGCAAGTGTACAAAACACTGGATTTATTTCTATCAAATTCATTCTGACAGATAAAGCATATGATTATTCTGGATTTTTATATTTGACATATGCATTTTAAATCATGATCAAGTTAGTGCTGTAAAAGTCCCTTACGGGGAACAAAAAAGATACAAAATTTTAATAAATCCAAGAGTTTATCTGAATAATAGTTCAAACTTACCTTCTCTAAATCAGTTTCAGTTGTCAATATTCCACTGATAAAAAGTTGATCATCCTGGAAGTAAGAGAAGAAAAGGCTTGTCAGCAAGAGCAATCAATCATACACTTTCTTTCTGTTATAATGCCTCATTTATATTACATAGAGCAGTACTTAAGCTTGCAGAGCACATAGATAGCTCCAGTGATACATGTTTATTTTACATTCCACAAACTCAGAAATACTAAAATACAACTCTCATTTTTATTTTTTTGGCTCAATAATTTTTCAAACTTTCAATATGTCAAAATAAAGTCATTGGAATATATTTTACAGACCTAAGAGTTTCAAATATGCAAAAGTCCAGAATAATCATATGATTTTACTACAATGTTAGAGCATTCACATGAAGATTTTTTAACTTCAACTGAACTTGGAAGTCCTAAGAAAGACAATGATAATTGATAATTCTCTGAAATACATTGTTCTTTAAGAAATATTCAGTCACTTTTTATGCTGTTCCTGAATTAATGTAGATTAATGTAACATTAACATTTTGGATACCTTAAAATATTTTAAAAATTACTTACAGCAAATTTTTTTACTATATCAGTAACATCTTCTAAAATCTCGATTTGACAGAGTTTCTCCAAATTTAGCTCATCAAATTGGCAACTGTTAAATGTAGAAGAAAAGATGTTTAAAATCCATTATGCATTATTATTTATGAAATTCTATACTCTTGGATATATGTAATTTGTTTTTTTAAAAAGGGCATTACAACATATCTGATTTGCTCTATTTGGATTTATATCTGAAACCACAGGTATTCCTCATTCACTCAATAAGTCAAATACCTGCAATCAATCAGTGGAGGCAATTCTCAGCATACCTGCTATGAAAGAATTGATTCTGGGATTTAATGCATAATATCTTTAGGATTAGTGCTTCAAGCCACTGAAGTTGATTTTTTTACACAATTACTCTTGTCAATGTCATTCTGAATAACTTGCTCCAATATATTTCTTGTTACTTTATTCCAATCTGTTAACTGTTTTTCATAAGATTTTGTAAAACATATATAGGTTTTCTATGTTTATACTTTTAAAAATACAATGGACAGACAGAATGCAAATAAATATTTGTTTACCTGGGATCATGGCATTTCTTACTGGGATCACAATGAGGTACAAATAAAAGTGGTCTAAACGTGCATATTTTAATTATGTCACAGTATTTCTGCAGCTGAAAAACAGGTTTGCTGCACCACAGTTTGCAAATATCACCTATGGCACAAAATTGGGAAAAATGGGGTGGGGGGCAGAGAAAGACAAAATCAAAAACAACTGTCTAGTAATCCTCCAAGCCCAAGGATCTAACTAGTGAGTGTCAAATATTTTGTATCTTGTCTTTGTACAGCAAGATAACAAGGACTATTAAACAAAACCCAGATAAGAAAACTATAGAACAAAAAAAGCATTATCAGTTTAAATACCTGGTTCATACTTCTTTGGAGAATATTCATGAAATGTTCCACGCATCTAGAAACAAAGACATTATAAGTACCATTCTAAAAGTGTGAAGCAAAATGAAAACCAGCCCTAAGTTAAGCAACAGTGTTAATTCAAAAGTGGATGTTGAATGCTCTTCAACCAATACCAAAACAAATATAAACTAACCTCTTTGTAAACCATCCCCCTGCCCACTTGGGTATCATGGCAGACTAACAAAGGATCGGTATCCTGAAAAGCTGATTTAACATTGCATAGGCCAGCAAACCTTTCAATTCTTTTCTGGAGGAAGTTTTTTTTAAAAAAACGACCTTCTTCCTAGAAACGAATAAACTCTCCTTCTCCAAAAAAAACTTTCAGTAAACACTAATAAGAAAATGCTAATATATAAAACACTTTCTGAAGTAAGCTATACTGCCTAGTGCTAGTCTTCCAATTAAGTCCTAATAAACCTTGCTTAGATTTGGATCAAGACAAGCTCAGTTATATGCTGCCACTTGATGAGAAACCATTGCCAATAGTCTAGTGTTCAAAATTAATAATATATTTACATTCCTGGTTGTGCAATTCACACCTGTGATGCCAAACTTTTATCAGAATATCTATGCAGAGATTCAAATAAAAGACATAACTGAAATACACTATATAGCAATAGCACTTATGACTTATATACCACTTCACATGCTTTACAGCTCTCTCTAAGTGATTTACAGAGTCAACATACTCTGGGTCTTCATTTTACCAACCTCGGAAGGATGGAAGGTTGAGTCAACTTTGAGCTGGTGAGATTCAAACTGCTGGCAGTTGGCTGTCAGCAGAATTAGCCTGCAATATTGCAATCTAAGCACTGTGCCACCACAGCTCTTAATAGAAATTTCAACCAATAGTACATGCACACAGATGTTATTTTTCATTAAGTACTTACCAATTCACAACATGGCCTGATGTAAGGGCTATAAAGTGAGATGTACCTGATGTCTTCAAAAGTAGGATTTTCCATACTGCATGACCTTTAAAATGTAACATACCATTTAGAAAAATGGATTTAACAAAAATGCTAATTACCCATGTTTTAATAAATTTTGGTTAAAAAAAACCAATTTGTTCTAAAACAAAATTGCAAACATTGTTTTAATAACTTATATAAATAAAATTAAAACAATTTAATTATTACATTAATTCTAGATGATCAGACATATATCCAAATATGTACTTTCCTTGTACAAGTATATGACATACAAAAAATCCTTTTGGTTAGGTAGTTGTAAAAAGTGACAATTTTATGAAGGGAAATGAAGGGAAGAACCATCCTGCTGGATCAGGACAAGGACCATTTTATTCCAGTGTTTTGCTTTTCACAGTGGCCAGATGCTATGTAGTACTTGGGTGCAAGAAACAATTACATTCTTTTTTTCCACCATTGTTCTCTGCAATTGATATTTGGAAACTTGCTTCCTTCAACCTAAAAGTAACAGTGAATTTGCAAGCATTTGAATATGAATATATTCAATATCCTTTTAAAGCGACACAAATAAACAGCCATCAGTACATTTTGTAGTGATACATTTAACAAATTAAATGTGATCTGTACAAAGAATTGCTATCTTTCATCTTTTCCAAATCTTTTTCCAACCAGTATTGTTGAATGAGTCCTAGTCCTAATGCCCTAAGGAAGGATTTTTTTTTCCCTTTAGACTTTCTCCTTGCTTTGTATAATATTATACAGCTCAATTATATCCTCTTTCAATTACACTTTTCCAACCTGCAGACTTATACACATTCTCCTATGGAAGCAGTTTGAGTCCCTTTTCAACTGTAAACAACTATACACAGTATTCCAAATGCAGACATACTATATATTTGTGAAATAACATTGTAAGGTCAATGCTTTTACTTTCAATTTCATTTGCCATTTGATTGACTGTTTAGCTAGCTCCAAAAGATATTTCCAGTGTTTTTCCAAATCGTGTTCCAAAAAATATCCTGAAAAATTTGCCACCATTTTTACGCTTGGCCAGTTCATTGCTTACCAATAAATTGATTTCATCTATGAGCAAGTTAAAAAGCACCAGTCCTTACACACAACCTTGCTGGATTCCTCTTACCGAATTCCTCTTATTCCTTGAATCATAACTGGGGCCACTCAGAACACTGTCAGGTCATCGAGGGGAATCTGGGAGGCCAAAAAGGCAGCTTACTTGGAAGCTGGTCCAGGAGGAAGCCTTCTGCGGTTGCTAGAGAGAATATCAGCGGAGAATAATGCCAGAGGGGAGGAACAGAAGTGGCTGCCCTTAAAAAATACGGAGCCTTCCCACGTCTTAGATGAGCTGCATCAGAGCATTCATCAGCACAGGAGTTTGCAGGTTGGGCTATCTGGCAATAACTGCAGTCCAACGCATTAGGAAAACGCCAGGCTGCCTACAGCGATTCCGAGCCAGAATTTGTACACCAAATAAGCACATCAAAAAACACTTTTTAATGTACTGCCTGAAGGCGGGTCGCGGGAAAAGGGAGCCCGGTAGCTCAGCCACGGAGAAGGCTGAACGACCGCGAAGTTTAATTAAAGCCGCGACCGCATCAATGCACGGAGCTTTTCTCTCACGGGACGACGGACAAGCCTTACGGGACTCCCCGCTGCTCTTACCGTCACGCCGCCTTGTTCTTTCCCCGAAAGGAACAATCACCGCCTCACCACGTCACCACCATCCAAGACGCTTCCGACTTACTCTGCCTCCTCATTGGCCCCTCACTGCAAAGACTGCATAGCTTTCAAAAGAGGATGGTAAACCTTGCGCTTTCCGGACTGCGAACGTCACTTCCTGTACTTTGCACCTTCCGCCATAGAGAAAAGCGGCGTTTTTAATAGAAAGGTGTATGTGGACCAGAAGTCCTATCATCTTGTAGTCCGCGTGCAGGAGATGAGGAAGTTGTTATCTTTAACTTAATCGGATGACAGGCGAAAAGTTTTCTAAATCGGATTTCTCCAGTTCAAACCCTTCCATATATCATAGTCTTTGGACAGTTTTGGTATGGACGGTGGACCTACGCTGCGTTTGTAGTTCTTCTATTAATGGTGATGCAGTAATAATTTTACTTTTTCTGTTACATAAATGGCTTCTAGTTATACATACGACGATACGGAAATGTTTTAATAAAGAGATAACTAAATACAATACATTTTGGACACATCCCATTATCAAAGATCGTTGATTATCCTGTGTTATGATTATTGCAATAGTAGCATTGATAGTGGAGCTAGCAAGCAGCGCACTGGAGCAGTTCCAATTGCTGTCATTTTGGGCATGAAACATTGGCAAGGAGGGGAACAGTTGAAAAAATGGCTTTTAGAAGCATGTAAGCTTGACAAATGTGGTTAAATATTAATGCTTTTGAACTAGGGATTGAATTTTAAATTCTGCTACATTACATATAAGGAAGTGTCTTAGTTTATAAGAATAATTTTTGAAGAGCCATATATATAATTTCAAGCTTTTCAGAAAATAAAAATTTCAAAGTAGCAGTGTGAGACTTCCCCAGCAGGGTTTATTTCTTGTAAATGAATACAAAGAAATATCATTTGACCGTGGTTTCCTAAGGTATCTCTCTCCAACTTGATGCCTTGCAGATGTTTTGGAGATATGACTCAGCCTTCCATTCTTCTGAGGTTGAAATGAGGAACCAGATTGTTGAGGACAATATGGTGACACTTGTAAACTGCTCAGAGAGTGCAGTAAAGCAATGTGGAGTGGTATATAAGTCTAACTGCTATTGCTGTTAAAGCAGATAAGGTCTTCCTCTTTGCACCTCTGTGAAGAAGTTGTCCATAGTTTGAAAGATTCAGTTAAATGTAACGGGGGGGGGGCTTTTGGAAGAGTTTAATACAGTAATGAATCTTTTGTAAGATTGTCTATGAAGGCTTTGATGTTTGTTTTGGAAATCTTTATTCTAACCGTTATTGTTTAACTATCATGACATTTATAGCAGATTTGTTTTTGTTTTGTTTTTAAAGATTTTTAGGACTTAAAATAAGCACAACGTTGGCATCTTAAACATAGGAACAATTTTCTCTTCTTCACTCACAGCCACAGTTCTCTTGCTATTGGATATGATTTAAGATTAAAGGTAAGCTTTGAATAAAAAGATAGAAAGGACTTTGTTTTCATTCTTTGCTGGCCAGTCACCTCAGTAAGAGCAGTTTATCGTGTGTGGCCTCTTATTTGATGTAAAAAAAAACTCTTAGAATTCAGACACTATTTAAAATTAAAAAAATAATTTTTAGCCTCTGAGAGATTGAAACTGTAGTTGCCAGAAAAAAAACATTAGGGATGGCTGATCTATTGGATATTGAAAATAGTAAATTACATGATTATCTATTATAAATTATTTGAATTTGCAGCCAGTTGTCTTGCATGTAGCTAGACATAAAGCTAATTTCCAAATACCTGATGGAGTGTGCTTTGAAATTTGAAATGTGTATATCCTAAATAGGATATTAAAAGGGAATTAGTATTCATGTTGTATTTTTTGAATACCATAATTTCATTTCTTTGGTCACATAGAAGTGAAATTATTGATAACCATAGTTAGGTTAACAAAAACTAATTGTTTTCCCTTTTCTTTTTAATAAAATTAAGGCATCAGCATGGTTGAAAATTCACCAGCCCCATTGCCTGAAAGAGCTATATATGGTTTTGTTCTTTACTTGGGCTCCCAATTTGCCTTTAGTAAGTAAACAACTTAAACCCAATAGTTTGAATGTTGTGATACAATATATCTCAAATTACATCATAAGCAAGATAGTATATATATGTTGGCTGTTGCATTTCATTGTTGTCTTTTCAACATTGCCTATGCTGCAATTGAAAGGTTTGTAAAGTTTCAGAGTTAAAGTGCAATGTTGCATGTGTTACCTATACTGAAAATAAGAGTCATAATTCTGAAGGTGCTGCACATGAGAGTAAATTATGTTGAATTAATTGCTTCTAATTAAAGATAGAGAAGATCTCAATGGTCAAATAGCATGTTAGATAGTGGAGAGAATATCTTATATGTATTTGTGTTTATTTAAAAGACTTTGATTACAGATAGTCCATGCTTTAGTGTCTATTCATAGATAGCCCATGCTTTAGTGTCTATTCATTCAGCAACTGTTCAGTTACCACAGCACTGAATGAAGGGACTTACACCCAGTCCTTGAAGTTCAAGACACTGTAACTCCGCTGTGGTCACATGAACAACATTTGGGCCCACTTTGCACACCTGCCTTGATGATGATCTTTTGGCTATCTGCAGCTGTGCCCACTTCACTATCCGGCACTACTGTACCAGCCGAGGCCTTCTTTCACACTGATACAGCTGAGGCTTCTCCCTCACCACACACAGGGTCTTTTTTCACATGCTAGGCATATTTCATGAAAGGCTCTGGGCGGGTCATGAATAGAGGCCCTAGGCGATAAGAGAAATCCTTGCTAAAGTCTTGGCTGCACAGGCCCAAGAAAAGGCAGCATGAAAGAAGGTCCTGGCAATGCAGTAGTGGTGCAGTGGATAAGCTGGCAACCAAAAGGGCAGAGATTCAGGGAGGAGATAGGCAGATGGAAGGAGTTCAAGTGGATGTAGAGGAGGCAGTCCCTAACTTTGCTGAGACTTGGGGCTGGGAGGGATCAAGTATCCACAATATTCAGAGAAATTAACTATATATTTTAACAATAATACTGACATAAATATTGGCATCAGAATAACCATTACCATTTTAAAACTTTTTCATGTATCCTGTGCCTCCCCAGAAACAAGATATTAGAAAGAGAGTAGCAATAATATTTTAAAATCAGAAAGCCCTGAAGTGATAAAATTATACACTTTCCTCATGTACAGTTTTAGTCAAAAATTTAGGCATACCTGCTCAAATTGCATATTTTGATGTATACCTAAATCAACAGAAGCTGACTCCAAAATTGACTCAGCTTTTATCTGATAGAAAGTTAGACTGAATTCTTTCTGCGGAGTTGGATGCATACATACATACATATTTTTTATCTTATGTAATTGTAGCTATGAACACGAACAGCTATTTTCTAATGCATATCCATACAAAATATCCACCAATGACCAGAAATGCTGACTCCCTATATCAGAGATAAAACTAAATCAGCTCTTTTATTATGCCTGTTAAAAATGCTACTGAAAAGTTGTTAACTTATGTCCTTCAAACCAATTATGAATATGATTATTAAAATGATTCTTACATTATATGCTTGCCTTCTTTGTGAATATAATTTACCACTGTACTTAATTTTTTGCTTTTTGTCTGCCTGCTGTATCTCTATATATGGATATATGTAGTTCTGTATATTGTGTGGGCCTATATACCTGAATCCTGGCTGTTCTCGTTGGGCTTAACATACTGGCCTCAAAAGTAAGTTCTTAATAACACTTCCATTAAAGTTTTTCCTATTGAATCTACTGAATGATTTTACAAATACTATGTATATTTTAACAAAGCAAATAATCCTCAATTTACAACAGTTCATTTAGTGATCATTACAATGGCACTGAAAAAAGTGACATGACTGCTTTTTACACTTATGACATTGCACCATCCTCTGGACACGTGATCAAAATTCAGACACTTGGCAACTGATTCATATTTATGACAATTGCCATGTCCTGGGGTGATGTGATCACCTTTTGTGACCTTCTGAGTCAATGGGAAAGCCAGATTTACTTAACAACTGTATTAATAATTTAACAACTACAATGATTCACTTAACAACTTTAACAAGAAATGTCGTAAAATGGGGCAAAACTCACTTAACAACTGTCTCATTTAGCAACACAAATTTTGGGCTCAAATGTGGTTGCAAATCAAGGATACCTGTATAATCTTGAATAAGAATAATCTCTGCTGATTCAGAAGAATCATCCATATAATTTACCATAATATTTCCAGTTGAATGTAAAGGTACTTGCCCCACTCCCATTCCCCCTCTTCATTATGTATGTGGCTCCTGATTCAGGACTTATGTGAAATTTAAGAACATATATGATGTTGAATGTGGCTTTTAAGTATGAGTAAAATTATGAAACTAAAAACCAAGTAGGCAGGACTGTGACTCTGAAAAGGAGTACACATAACAAAAACCAGACTGTTGACTTGTCTATGATATAAAAAACAGCATATGGTCACAAATAAATGCCAGGGCATTGGTATTTAAAACAAGATTGGTGTGGAGTCCTCAGTGTTCTCTAAGCTTGGTTGTTCACTTGCAGATGTTTTATTACATGACTAGGTAATAACTATGCACGTGGAGAACCAGGGACTTCACTGTTCAACCCTGACCTACATATATTTTCTTCTATCGGGACTGGTGTCCCTGATTGTAGAGGCAAATCATTGTAAGATCATCCCTTAAATTTTATATGAAATATTCCAGTTCTAGAGATCATAATATGATTTACATTATTTTCTTTATATGTAACAATCCAAAGATATATAATCTGTAACCTTGTGTTTAGGGGCTCTTTTGCAGTCCTTTGGTGGAAAGAAAGAATCTCTGTCCATTCAAAGTGTACTACTTCTACAGTTCTAACTAAACTTTTTACATTCCCAGAATTTTGAATTAAAGAGCCCTAAGATTTTAGACTTTCTTTCCAAACAAACCACTCCATTCCCTTATCATGTTGCTAATTCTCTTCTTTTTCTACTATACTACTATACTATATTGATAGTTGTTTTATTACATTTTCTCATACAAAACACTATTTCAAGTGTTGTTTCTACTTCCTAGATTCTGGGCTACTGCATTGCCTGTGTATCTTTTAGTTGCTGTGGGAATAGGCTATGTACTCCTCTTTGGTATTAACATGATCAGTACAGCTCCACTGAATTCTACAGACACTATAACAGGTAAGCATGAGAACTACAAAAATATACCTAGAACTGTTTGCAATGTACTCTTAACACTTTATTGTGAGATGAACAGGCTAATCTTTCAAGTATGTGGTTTTTTTGCTTTATGTTGCATTATTTGCATCATTATGTTTTAGATCACAGAGCCAGTTTGATCTAGTGGTTAATGCACCAGGTTAGAAAGTAAGAGACCATGAATTTAAGTCCATGGCTAGCTATGAAAGCCAGGATGATTTTGGGCCAGTTACTCTCTCTCAGCCAAACTCACCTCAAAGAGTTGTTGGGAAAATAGGAAGATGAAGATGTGTTAGATATGTTTGCTGTCTCTGCGTATTTGTAAAAATAATAGAAGTGAGATATAAAATGAATGAATGAATGAATGGCTTTTTCAGAATAAAATTTCCAAGGTGATAGTGTACTGACTGTAATGGCAAATACAGACACTGTGAAAGTTATAAATGCAGGCACTGCTCACAAATTTACTTTTTCATCACCACTGTAACTGCAAATAGTTGGTGTCAAAAACAGTCTCTAACATATTTCTGCAATAAATAATTTCTTGCATTCTCACTACATCTAATAAAAAATGTATTTGTGATTTTTAAAAATCTTTTACAGATCACTATGCAAAAAATCAAAAACAGAAAATACCACAAGAAGCAGCAATTCCTGCATTAAGAGATATTCCTATTCATGAAGTAAATAAAATGTTTTTTCTTAAAAGCAAGGAGAATTAATCTAGAGGCTTATGTCAGAAAGTATTTAAAATTTGCTCTCATGAAACACGATATAGAAATGTTGACAATGGGGTGCCAAAACACTTGACTTCAGACAGCTTACATAAATTAGCCCTAAAATAAGACTATAATAGCATTTTAAGGATTAGGTGGAGCCCCTTCGGGCATCGTATTTCCACAACTTTGATCCATTCATCCTTAGTCCAGGTTGCTTTTTTCTTATATATTGCAGATAAAGTTTTTCATTTCTTCTCTCCTATAGCTGATACTGTATTATAAATTATTTGAGGAAAGTAGTTTCCCCTGTGAAGTTCTGTTGACAAATCCTCCTAAGTATTTCTCTATGTCAATATAGTATATTTACATGACAGTGAATTTAGCCACTTCTCAGTAGTGTTCTGTTTTGTATATTAGTTAGGCTATGTATTATTTAAGGATACGTTCCAAGAGCTAATGTATAAAACTACCAAATGTGGCTGTTATTTTTAATAAGGTACACCATGTAAAATTATGATCATGTTTATTATAAAGCATCTTAGATAAGTGCATAATAGAAAAGTTATGCTGGATCAAGTCCAGAATCATTACCCTTAGACATTTAGATGTGATTTTTCTTCATGTTCATAGAAAAATTTTCAGCTAAAGTAAACTAAGTTCAGATTTTTAAAGTTATACTGAATGTATTCCAATGTGAAAGTAATACTATAAATAATTCCAATTGAAATGCAGACCTAAGTCTTGAATGTAATTGTTTCATAACTAGTCATAATATTTATATGCATGCTGGTTAACAATTAAAGACATTTTCCTTATTTGCTGTATTCATTTATTTCGAGTTTTATTCTTCAGTCATGGTTAAAATAAATTCTGGCGATATCACAAGAAATTGTAATATATTGCAGTGAATTGGTATATATACTTTCAGCAAAAAAGCTTGGAACACTGATTCTTATTTCAGTTTAGCTTTGTATATTGGTATATAAATAATGGACAGCATAATTCTTTTTACAATTCTGTGTGGGTCTACACAGATGAATTCTATTCCTAGGTAAATGGTTATAGAATTACAAGCTTAACCCCTAAGGCAGCGATGGCAAACCTTTTTGGGCACCGAGTGCCAAAAAGGGAGCACATGCACACTGCACCAAGTGCTGAAAAGGGAGCACTTTGCATGCGCACTCGCACTCGTCAGGGCTGCGACAAGGAAGAGAAGCTGCCCAGGAAGCATGCACACACCGGATAAGGTACTTCTGGCTTCCGGCGCACACATGCAAACTGGTCAGCAAGTCTTCTGGTTACTGCTGTGCATGAACATGCGACGATCAGCTGGTCAGCACGCATGCTCCTGCTGGAAAACAGAAGACCAGCTCTTCCAGTTTTAGACACTGCCGCATGCACAAAGGCCAGCTGATCGTCACATGCGCATGCGCACCAGAAACCCAGAAGTGGAACGGGCAACACCGCATGTGCCAGGCAACATGGTTATGTGTGCCACTTTGGGCACACATGCCATAGGTTCGCCATCACAGACCTAAGGGTACATAAAAGAGATGAGAGAAAAAACTGGAGTTATGATACCCTACCCAAAGTTGACTGCAAAAACAGGTCATTTAGCTACTAAGGAGCAAAAGTACTTAGAATATAATATTTAAACTAGTTTTTCTATCCTAAACATGTAGTCTAGAATCAGAGTTGAAAGGCACCTTTGAGGTTATCTAGTCCAGTCCTCTAATCAGTGTAGGATCCAATAGACCATTTGGCAGATCACTAAATCTTTTAAAGAATCTTTTAAAAAAAGGAAAACTCACTTTTTCATGTTGGCAGATTGTTCCACTGATTGAATTCAATCACAAACCTTCTGATGTTTTGCCTGAACTTCCTTTGTTGTACTTTTAATTCATTTCTACCAGGGCAATAGAAATAAATCTTCTCCTCTGGAAGATATTCTGTGTGGTAACTCTTTAAGATTATTTTTCTATTTCTGATATATACTATTTGAAGAGTGCTATCATTTTTCCCTTTGTATTTTCTGTAGGCTAATACTGTATTCCCAAATCTTTTAATCATTCCTCACAGGCCTTAGTTTCTAGATTCTTCACCATCTTGGTAACCATCTTCTAATTTTTTCCCAATTTTTACCCTGTCCATTCTAATGCCTAAATCCTGTCACAGCATTCCAAATGGATTCTGACCAAGTTAGAATAGGGGGACAAATTTGATGTAAAGTTAAAAAGACATAATTCAGGTACAAGTAATCCTCAGCTATTCCAAGTGGAACTGAATTTGGTCACTACATAATGTAAAACTAAGTGAGATTGTCAGAGTGCTTATGATATTACTTCATCTTTCCCTTAATTTACAGACCTTCAAAGGTAAATGTGAGGATTGGTTGCAAGTTACTTTTTCATCATCAAAGTAACTCTGAATGATTGCTGTACAAAGCAATTGCTGAACAAGGACTACCTGTAGAATCAACTATGGATTTATTTGGTGTTATCATTCCACGTCAACATTAACAGTGTTTCTAAGGTTGAAATTATTTTCTTGGAAGAAAGATGGAACATTTATCTAAATCTTGGTATTCATCCAGAATAGATGCAATCTAAAATACAAGAAATATAAATCAATTAGACTTTGTATGCCTAAATGATTTTGTTTCAGTTTTATGAAAAAGAGAAAATAGCCATAAGAAATGTTTAAGGTATCTTTTCCACCAATATAATCACAATGATTTCTTCTGGAAAGGTTATAAATTAGCAGGAATGAAATATATTTTGATTGTAAGTGGTTTTCTTCTTGATTTCTAATTCATGTTAAAAGATGTGGCTTATTTCCAATGCATTTCCTTCATTGAAAAAGTCTTTACCGTTGACAACTTTATGTATCACTTGTTGCGAAGCTACACTTCTGGTATCAGACTAGCAAACATATGTGCAGAATAACACATGACATTCCCACTGATATGGTTTGGTTCTTTGGCATTTGCATAGACTTATGTTTTGGTGTCCTGAAAACAAACTGCCAATTTTTCTTTAGAACTTCTCCCAACTTTATTTAGCTTTACAAATTGAATAAATAAATATAAACATGTTTTATGTCTGTTTAGGGGCTTGTAACGTTCATTGCTTTGGTACCTTCTCACAAGAAGAAAATAGTATTCTTTACAATCCATAAAGGTGTGTTTCCCCCTGAAAGAAAGTTTGGCAGCATTTTATTTTATTTACATTTCGATGCCGTCCATCTTCCTCTACAAGGTGACTCCGGGGCGGCATTAATTCTCAGTCCCTCAGGTTTGCGCCTCCTAAATCAAGGTAGTCTGTTATATACACGACAACACAAGGCTCACTCGTTGACAAAGGTGAAAGGAACCTTAATGTGTAGCAGTAAGGTTAAGGCAGAGACAGTAAAACGAAACAGAAACTGGGAAAGTGCTAGCAAGGAAATCGCTGTCCCTAAGTACTTTCTTCCACCTCTTTCGAAACGGGAAACTTTCCCCCCCCCGCCCCTCCCTGCGGATCAGACACACCAAGCGCAGCAAAGAAATCGAGCCCGGGGGAACCTCTCGGCTGACCCAAGCAGGGTGGGAGGAATGCGATTTCTGGCCAATCAGTACCGTCAAGGAAGAGCGAGCGAACCAATGGGGAAGCGGTGGCGCGGCTCCACCGCCGCTCTTCACTTTGACGAGAAGTTGCCGATGCGGGGATGGGAATCCGGCCGTGAGCGGCCTTTCGAACTCGCCGGCGGCTCCCCCCGCCCCCCCCCCTCGCGTCATGCTCATCACGCTCTGCTACTTATACCTGTGGGCGCGCTGGGGGCCTTGTTCCGCTGGGCTCATCCGGCGCACAGTGCGCCGGCTGTACCGAACCAGGTGTTCGTTTACGTTCTGCTCTTCCTCCGGCTGCGGCTCCTCCTCCTCCTCCAGCTTCGGGTGTACTCGCTTCACGTTGCATCAGCAGGCCCCCCACCTTCCGCTTTGCAAACGGGAGGCGCCCGGCTTCTCCGACGAGATAATTTGCCTCAGGGTGGGCGACAAGGTTTTCTTCACTGGCGAGACTCAGGTGTGATATGCAGTGGCGGCGAGTCGGCCAGGGAGGGCTGGGCCTATCGTACGTTGCATGGAAGGGAAAGTTGTGGGTGTGGATATGCGAGGGTTAGGGGAGTGTTGCTGTCTCACGCCTGCATTTATTAGAGAGGCTGAGAACTTTCACTCGTGGGAATAGCTGTTCCTTGGACAGGTCCGAGAGGTAAGCAGGAGATACCAGATGAAGCTGAATGTGTGGCGCGAGCCACTGATCCTTTATGAACTGTTCAATATATGGTTTCAGCTTGCCTGCTTTCCTGCTTCAAAAATTTCCCAAGGCAGCTTGCACATGGATATACCGGTATCATAATTTAGAAGCACTTGCTATTAAACAAGTGACGAGGTGGCAGAATTTCAAAACTTTTTATCAATTGAAATCTGAAGAAAAGCAGGTTTCAGCAAATGTAACAATAAGTGCCAATATGTATTTTTTTTAGAGTAATGGACTGGAATGGCGTTCCTTTAAAATCCTTGGCTGTTGAAAACATCAAATTGTTTTACAGATTGCATGATAACAATATTCTCTCTTCCCATTGGTACATGTACCTAATAAATGTATGTAGTCATAAATATGCTTGTGTACATGTGTGTTTTATTTATGTGTTAGTGTAGAATGTCTATGTGTAATGTGTGAACTTACCAGAGTGAAAAGTTAGCCTTCTAACCTGATCAACCAGAAATGTTGATCTTCAATTCCCAGAATTAACAGCCCACGTTTTATTGCTAGGGGAATGTGGAAAGAAGTGCAGTGCATCTGGGAGGAGTACAGTAGGTATTGAACAGAACAGAATTCCAAATATATTTTCCTCATCGTGGGGAAATATTTTGCATCTTGAATAAATAATGTATAGCAAACAAACAAAAAAATCAAAGAAGTTACAATTATATCATGTCCCTACTCTTCCCATAAGATGCAAAAATTCTGGTTTGGCATATCCTAGGAACTTGTAGGTAATAATTATGTTGATTTCCCAAGATCAACATTATATAAATGTATGTACAGGTATACATCTAAAATACCAAATTGGAATATTATTAAGCACAATTATAGATATATTGGTCATTATTAACCACAATTATAGACATATTGGTTTTGTATTTACCACTTTCGCCCAAAATTTAAATCCAGAAATCTCATATGTTTGATTGAAACGGCAACTTCTTTAACAATGGTAAATTGCAGTTCCTACTTTAAATGTGTCTTTTTTTCTGCCCAAATATTTTTTTTCATCTTCATTTTTTCCCTGCTCATGTAATTTATTTTCTGTTTTAGGTTATATCATTGGCTTAATGTTTGTATCACATGGTTACAAGATCACTGCACTCACTTAATTCTTAAAGCAAAGCTATTGATGCATGGTGTAACTAAGTTTTGTTTGTTTGTCGCCACTTTGTCTCTGACCCTAAAACTGATTAGGGCTGAAAGGGAGTGACCAACCCAAGGTCCCTCTGGTGGCATTCATGTTAATGGAGACCTAGAAATTGGATCTTCCCATACCCTAGTCCAGTCAGCAGTCATCTTTTCCCCAAAAGACTAAATAATTTATGTTTCTACAAAGGTACTATTTTATTTTAATTATTTCAAAAGCAGCAAAAGTCTTAATATTTCAAATTTGTAATTTAAAAAAATTAAATTCTTATCAAGATTTTTGCTGTTCATTTTAGGTACTTTAAATTCTTTAGAATAATTAATTCTTTGCTTTATTATAGGATGAAGAATCACTCACCAAATAGCTTTTCCTGAACTGTTGCTCAGAAGTTCTGTTTTAGCTTTAAATTGTCATTTGATAAAATTAGAAGAATAAGAAATGGGAGACTTGTATGTTTTTAAGGATGTTTGATAAGCATCTGTGAAGCAGTTAGGTAATGTTCAGAAGTAAATCACACTGTAGTTCATTAGGTTTACCAAGTCTTTGTTTCTAAGTAAACAGGAATTATTTGAAGTTAGCAGTATTTTAGAGAAATAGTGGTAGAGGAAATGAAAGGGTCGCTACAGAAATGGGTAATCTACCCAAACTATATTTATTGGTAGTATTAATATTGAACTATTTCACACTGTTATTTGGCAGTGGCAAAACTGAAAACTTCTACCAGTCAGGTATACTTAAATACTAACCATTCAGAATGGGTTTGATTCTAACATTTTCCTTGAATATGAAATCTATTCTTGATTAAAATTGATTCACCTTTCTAAGGTCAGCATTTAAACTGCTGTAAAAGATGTCTTCCTGAATAAATAGGACAAGATCCAGATTTTGTAAAGTATAACACATGTTGCATTTTTTAAAATTATATAATCAATTTAAGCCACCTTTTTTTCTTTTCAGTCCCTTGATGATTTAAACAAATGGACATTATTTATTGTATCACATTTTAGTTATTTGGAACAAGTAGTTGAAGATGAACATATTACATTTGTAACTGAAGGTATTTTCATTCAAACAAGTAGTTCACAAGCTGTAACTTGCTCAGCAAAAAAGGTAGGTTTTGTTTAAAATACTTTGACTAAATACTTTTGCTAATAAGTCTTTAAACTACCGTATTTTTCGCTCCATAAGACGCTCCAGACCATAAGACGCACCTAGCTTTTGGGGAGGAAAACAAGAAAACAAAAAATTGTTTTGTTTTGGCCATGAAAATCTTGCATGGTTTTTAAAACTTTTAAGACTTATCTTCAATTGCCTCCTGTAACATGTTGTTATACAGAATAACAGAGCTGGAAGGGACCTTGGAGATCATCTAGTCCAACCCCCTGCTCAGGCAGGAAACCCTATTTCAGCCAAAAGCTCTTGAAGCTATGGAAGAAATTTCCCGTAAGTGAGGCTGTCCCCACAATGGATTTTTTCTTGTGGGACCCGGGTCTATTCTGTTGCTGCCGCCACCGTTCACCACTGCCACTTGCCACCGCCTCTCACTGCTGCCACTTATCAGCAGTTGGATCAGCCTCCCGCAATACCGCTGATCAGCTGTTCCAGGCGGCAGGGATCGCCACCGCCTGGAACACCTGATCTGCGGTATTCCGGGAGGCCGATCCAACCGGCGATAGGCAGTGGCAGCAACAGGGAGTGGCTGTGACAGGCCGTTCACCACCGCTGCCCCAACCCCCCCACCACCACCGCTGCCCTTGTCTGTGATGCAATATTCACCCCAAAAGACGCACAGACATTTCCACCCACTTTTGGGGGGGAGGGGGAGAAGTGCTTCTTATAGTGCAAAAAATACGGCAATTTGAAATACTGACTTTTGTTTTTAATAGCCAGTTCTTAAAAGGGAAGGTAATGTGTCTAAATTATAACTATTCCCTAGTTTAAAAATATCTATGAACTCCATAAAAGCTTGATAATAGCTTTTTGTATAGCTTTTATATAAGATGAGTTGAGCTTCCATAAGAAATATATAGGTCTGTTAATTCCTAATCCTATATTTCCTTCTTTGTTCTCTATTTTCTCATTTACCATCATCAATATTAATTTGAATTTATTATACTTCTCATTGGTTTTTCATTAACCATGGTTATATGGAACATGACTTGGTAGATGTATTTAATCTGTTTTAACTTAATTTAGAAACTACATTAATGGTAGGAATATTAATTTAATTTTACAGTGCATTTCAATATTCTAACACTACATGCATTAATGTGAAAATTATTCTGTGTATCTTTCTTTAGATTGTGAAATGGTCAGATTTTTGTTCTCCTTTGGCCTTTAAAACTGGAAAGCCTTACATATTATTTGCTGAAGCCAGCATAGATAATTTTAGTAGCCTTGGAATAGCATTCTTAGAAGACAGACTCCAAATGGATAATGGGATGGTGCCTCAAAAAATTGTCTGTAAGTACACCCATTTGCCTATCCCTAACAAAAAAAAATATTTAAATGGCATATAAACTATTCTCAAATTCAGAGCTTCATCATTCTTTGCAAATTCATCTTGCTTTGATGCCTGTCAATTAGAAGTCCATCTGATGGTAGTCTCTTCTCACCCTTCCCCCCCACTCCAGAAATTTGCAGTAGGCATGGAAAGGATAGAAAAAAGGCCATTTGTGTAACACTGAATTATAAATTATTATGATTAATTATCACATTATGTGGTTATGCATTTAAGACTTAGTGTTGACCACTATTGCTCTGGAATATGTGACCAGCTTCAGCAGAATTTGCCTGTGACATTATTCCTCATTATGCCAGGGGGAAAATACCAATTAAATAACAAGATTAACTTTTGATTTGGAATTTGAATTTTTTTTAGATATATCATAATATATATTGGGTTGTGGAGAGCTTCTTAAATAAAAAGCACTGCTTAATAAAAAGTGTCTTTGCCATTTGCTGGTCCAGAAGGTCTCCTCCTGCCAAATTTATGAAGCACACTTAAATGATGCCTAATTCCAAGATCAAATATGCTTAGTTTCCATGCTCCTGTGGACTTGTACAATGATCAAAGGCAGCATAACATAGATTGAAATTCTTTACTATCTCTTCCTTGAGCTGCAGTATGCCCACTTTAGTATGGGTGGGTATTTGCTCATATCTGCTGAGTTATTATCACCTGTGAACAGACT